CCAGAGCCGCTGCCTGCCTGTATTCTACGAAGCAGCACACCTGTTGTGACAAATGTAATTTTTGTAGATCCAGCTTTAGCCTTTGACTCGCCCCTAATAATATAACCAACCTCGTCGCCCAGAGACGAGCATCTTTCGTCACTGACTCGGTCTGCCAGACCTAGTGCAGAGATCCTACGGGGTTGAGTGCAGATGATGTTTGCGGCGCCGCCGAGTCCGTTTTTAATCATGTCGTCGAGGATAAATTGCACCGATTGCGTACTCTTGCCGCTACCTGTCTCTCCAGAGATAATCGTGACTTGATGTTCATTCACAGCGCGTATTATTGCATTTTGAGTGTTCCAGGCTGGAAGCGATTCTCGCTGTTGGATCATCGCCCGCTGAGGTTTGGTAGTCTGCTTTTTCTCCCAAGCTTCTTTAACAGCAAGGCTTTTCGAAGACCCGGGAGACCAATCGACCGTTTTCACTTGCTTATGCCTTTGGTGCATAGGAAGTTCAAAAGACGATCCCGAGGGTGTAACGGGTGGCGCTGATATAGTTGAAATATCCCGTAGTTTCCCTGGATCTTGAATGATTTTTGGTAAATGAGTTTCCAGCCAGTCTATGATGTTGTAGATCATTTGTTCCCCAAGAAAATTCTCTTCTGCATACCTAACAGCTTGACGAACAGCGCTTAGGCGGATGTATGCAGGGATTTTTTCTGTTTGAATAGATATTATCGGAACGGAAGAAGGATAGTGTCCTGAAGGCCTCTGAAACCGAAAGGACACTGTCCCTGCACCACCCGGTGATTCACACTCAATCGTGCAAACATTGGACGATTTGGCAGAATATTGTTCACCGAAGATGGCCTCAAGCGTTTCTTGTTCTTCTGCCCAGCCGTCGTCGCTATCCATCAGTAGAGAGGCGCCCGGTGCGACCCCGTGTACAAGAGTCTGTTGAAGAGACTCTGCTGCAGCAAGCTCATCACCTTGACTACTGTCCAGCGTTCGCGCGCAAAGATCAGCCGGAAATCCAGCAGATGCAAGTCGCTTGAGTTTAGACTCTCTTGCGAGGTCGTCACTAACCAGCGTAACCCCGGCCGAATATTTCTCAGGCAGACACCAAGATGGCAAATCATCTTCTGGCACGTAGATAAGAAGCCACTCCAACACCTCTTCTCGGTCTTTACACGCAGCGCTAGCTTCTTCGATGTGACTCCGTCGAAACCCTAATTTCGTGAACTCTTCGACCAGGGCCACACGCTCGGGTCCGGGAATCTCTACACCGTATGGATTCCACATAGTATGCTCCTGCACCAGAGTTTCAATCTCACGACGGACTTTGTTCCCCAGGTCAACCTTGGGTGCACTAGACCAAATTTTCGTCCCTTTATTTTGACCGCTGGGCCCTAGGCCTAGATTCACCGTGCTATCGGATGATTTGGCTTGTGATGCCTCGCGTTCCTTTTGTTTCTTTTCAAGCTCCGCGGCTGCGATCTCCCGCTCTTTTTTGGCTAGGAAAGGGTCCGCCTCGTACAGCCAGCCATCACCCTTTTTCACCTCTGCTGCCTTCAGCTTCTCAAAGTCCTCTTTCCAAAGCTTCTTGTAGTCCGGCGGGAGCATCATATGGAGGTTTGTCTTATTGCATACATGGAATAGGGCGAAGGTCGCAGCGTAGTGGCGTGCTTCTAGCGCCGTCGATTGCTTGAAGTCGGCGGGCAATCGCATGGGAGGAAGTGTGAGCGTTTCTCTAGTCTTTAGATCAACACGTCTTAATATAACAGATGAGATGAATCCTCCTCCAATTTTGTTCTAGTTCGCACCGCGAAACCGTTAGCATGAAGCTGATTCTGGAATACGGGCACATAGCGGGATAATTGCTCGCCTCACCATAGTATACTCTGGCTTTTCCCACTTGTGCTTCTGGCAATGCTCCGACATCAAATTTACCGGCAATTTCCCAGTCCATGATGCGCCGCCAATGACCTGCTTGACCGTAGGTTTTTTCTGTTCATCCGCTGGTTGCGGTGCTTTCTTCGCACTCTCCGCCGTTCGTTCGGCCGCGGCTTTAGCCTGCTTCGTCCCAGGCTTGGGCACGCCTCCACGGGCGTCGGACTTCTTCTTGGGCGGCATCGCAAGGTGTTAGTATTCCTGACGTAGACGCCCGTGGAGTACCTTGTTTAAGTTGGTGGTTAGAGTGCGACAATGGCGGGCGATCATCCCGACTTGGGTCCCCGCCTCAGGCAGCTTTTTTTGTGCGCGGGTCCGCGGGGAAGGAATGGCATGCGCCACCTGTACTCGCTGGACTTCACTGCGTGCGGACCCCGACAAACCAGCATGACGAGGAAGCTGATAACGAGCGAGACTATTTGCTCTCATCGTGGCACTCAATACTGACGCCCATTTTGTGCTGGTGGAAACATGGAACCTGAAAGCAGCTCCGATCCAAGAGCTAAAGTTGCGTCGCAAGCTCAGAAGCAGCCGACCAAGAGAGATGCGTGTATGTAGATACCTCCACACGTTCATATACACTGCGCATTATTCTGCACCGGAAATGAATGGCTAGCTAATTGATTGCGATCCAGTTGCAGAGCTTCTGTCCCCTAAAACCAAACAGCCGAAACATAGCACTGAGGGACTATCAAAAGACATCCAACGGAAGGCTTATGCAGCATTTAAACCTCGAGATGGTCTAGGCACCTACATCGCGAAACCGGAATCATACCCGCCGAATATCGTTGTGTACTACAATGACGACTTTGTCGTTATCCATGACATGTTCCCCAAGTCCACGCTGCACCTTCTTCTCCTCCCACGCGACCCTAAAAAGACCCGTCTCCACCCGGTCGAAGCGTTCGACGATGTCGAGTTTCTGGAAAAGGTCAAGCTCGAAGCAAAGAAGGTCCGTACATTGGCTGTAGGTGAACTTCGCCGGAAATACGGAAAATACTCGGGCGGTGATAGAGTACGACAAGAGGCGCTTGATGCCGAACCGCCACTTGAAACATTGCCCGGAGGAAGGAAATGGGAGAATGATATCATGTGCGGAATACATGCGCATCCGTCGATGAACCATCTGCATGTTCATATTATCTCTGTAGACCGCTACAGCGACCGTCTCAAGCACAGGAAGCATTACAATAGCTTTTCTACGCCATTCTTTATCGATATCAATGATTTCCCCCTCGCCAAGGAAGACCCACGAAGAGACCCTGATCGACAGGGTTATTTACGAGGAAGTTTAATATGTTGGCGTTGTGGCCGGGACTTTGGAAACCAGTTTACTGCGTTAAAGAAGCATCTCGAGGAAGAATTCAACGAATGGAGGCAACTGTGAGTGAGCGAAAAAAAGGTAAAGCTTCAAGCTTTCTAGAACCACGGGACATGACATTCTCTACAGTAATACTGAGCGCGAAAATGTCAAGCTTAAGCTCCCCTGTTCATGTCCACATCCTCACAGAGGCAGTCGTTTGTGATCCAAACGCATCTCAAAAAGAAAAGCCCTAATCAGCCACAGAGTTCCATGTTTGTAAATATACAGGTAGAGAATCCAAGGTATAGTAAGAACTGTAGCCAATTACATTTTCAGTAATCTAGTGCACAAGTTCGCTAAACCTGACATCGGATTCAAAAAAAAAACAAAAGGTATCGCGGGAAAACCGGATCATCTTATAAACGAACGTTTCCGTTCGAATTCCAGGCCAAGGCTCCGAGCTCTCCTAGCTCGCAAGACACCAGACCTCAGACGACGGGTTTACGCGCGAGACTTGGACCGGGAAGAGCCCTTGACTTTCCTGGCTTCAGGGCGGTTGATGTGATGGGCGGGGATCCATTCGGCGTTGTAGGTGGTGGCGGAGGAAACAGCTGGGCTGTCAACAGGGGCATCGGCCTTCTTCGAGACGCCTGAGGGCTTTTTCGAGCCCTCTGGCTTGGCGGACTTGCGTTTCTGGGGGAAGTATGGTGCAATCCAAACGGTATAGAAGAAGTATACAACGCCACCAAAGCAAGCAAGGAGGAAGAAGTAAAGGAAGATACTAAAAAAAAAGAAAACATTAGCCGTTATTTCAATGAGGCATGGGAGCACACGAGCTTACATCTGAGGATCGAAAATGCTGGTTTCTGGTTCCACGACACTAACAGTGCCGTTGTGAGCGTAGACCGTAAAGAAATGGCCCTCACTATCGGAGATAATTGAGGCGAGAGAAAGCCTGAGGTCCTGAGGGTGCATTTCGGTAGCGAAGCTATAGCTCAGACTCTCCTTCTCACCAGCGGGGATATCCACGCCGTAGCGAGTTGCAGTCAAGTTGCGAACTAGTGTGCCCTCCTCGTCTAAAGTAGACAGAGTACCGCCAATGAAATTTACAGTCACCGGAGAGGCTTCATTATTGGTAAAAGTTACCAAGGCTTGCGTGGGGTGGCCATTGACAAGCTTCACGCCGAAGATCTCAGAGGCAGGGAATGCAGCCTGCGCGGTCACGGCGGGGGTCCGCGCTTCAAACGATTCTTCAGCCTTTTCAGCGGTATCCTAGATTCGAGAATCTTCACGTCAGCCATCCAATTGCGACATGTATTAGACAGTACATCTGCGACATACTGCTGCCAGAGTGCCGCCGATCAAGGCCTGAACCGAGAACAAAGCCAGGGAGAGGAAAGCGAAGCGAGCCATTGGGACGGGTGATGCCGGATCTGAAGCGACCTCGGAATGGTTGGAGGGAAAACGAAAGGTCGAAAAAAGAAAGGAAGGGAAAACGAGGGCGAGGACGAAAGATCGGGGTGGAAGAGAGACAGACAGACAGAGCAGGTTTGCTCCACGTTGGCGTTTCTTTCCCCAGGACCGCTGACTCAGCCCCAGCTCCCCGTTGCGGTTTCCGCAATTGATAAACGCGATTTCCATCAAACGGAGATCAAGAAATAAAAACGGCATGAAATAGACGTCTCCATTGTAGATTGGATTCTTCACTGTACCTATTCACGGCGACGAAGGAAGCGTTACCGCAAGCAAAACCTTCAAACGCATTCACCGTCTCATTCACCCTCTTCTGCCACGGACATATAAGCGCCCGGTTTATCTCGAATAATCAAATATCATTGCCTCATCAACCTCCTCTTTTTCCGATGACTACCCTTTCAGATAACTTCTCTTGTTTTCTCTAAGCACCATGTCGGTTCGTGAGTATTTTGAACGCTATCAACAGCTTACTTCTGTCGAGCAAACGAAAGACACTCTAATTGAGGTATCTCTTCGCATGGCCTTCGCCCAACCTCCATAGGGTTCTTTGTGTTAACACCCCATCCATTTGTTAGGAATTAATACGACGTATAACTGAGCTCGAGGGCGCATATCAACAAGAACAACTTGATCATGACCGCGAAAAGCGCTTTAACCGTGATATACAATTTCATGAGATAGAGTTGATGGAACAAATTAATCGCGCTAAAGCTATAATGGTAAACGCTTCCTGAATAGATTGATTTTCCCTACTATCCAATCGCAATAGCTGCTAACTTTTCTTTCTATCTCGCTGTAGAACCGCGAACCCTTCATAATTGTACTTCTGGATGGAGACGGATCAATCTTCAAAGATGAGTTATTACAACTGGGAGAAGAAGGTGGTAGAAAGGCCGCCAAAGAGCTGTCTCTGGCAGTGGAGGACTACGTGACAGACAATTTTTCGAGCATCATTTCCCCGAAGATTATTACGAAGATGTACATCAATATGAAGGCGCTATGCGATGCCTGTGTTCGTGGCGGAATCATAACGGATCCTTCTATACTTGATGAATTCTTGCGAGGCTTTAATCATAGCTTTCCGCTGTTCGACATTGTGGACGTTGGAACCGCAAAGAACGCCGCACACGATAAGATAAAAGGTATGCGTCTGTTGACCTCGGTGACCGGTTTCTTCTGAACCTCGAGGTGACCAGTTGTTGATCCGTTGCAGAAACCTTCAAACTACATTTATACAATTGCCACTGCCATCGACTTTTCCTGGGTTGCACAGAGGAATCGCCTTATCCTGGCATCTTGGAAGAAGCTTTAACAGACGTGGAACTCTCAGGACGGGTTACATTGATTGAAGGGATTCCATTCGGCAAGAACCTGGAATCCCTTAAGACGCATTATGGGTGCACTAGATTCCCTGGTATTTTCCGAGATTCTAAGATAAACGCTACTTGGGCTCCGTGGAAGGCTGCGGTGGCCACCAAACCTCGCAGTCTCCTTACTCCGTCGCCGAGCCCTCATGTAGCGGCACCACTGTCTCGAACACCCAGCAACATAACAACAGCCAGTAACAGTGCGCCTAACTCGTTGACACCCGCGAGTTCCAATGGCTCCGATGATTTTCAATTGGTGCGTTCGAAACCTGCCTCCTCCCGTCCTAAAGTCGTGGAACGGAATAAGTTCGGCCAACGTGTAGACCGACTTGACGTCCAAAACATCCCTCGAGAAGAAGTGAATCGCATTAAGAAACTGAAACTATGCAATTATTACTTTCTACAAGGCGAATGCCCGAATGAGAATTGTCATCATGACCATTCTCGGAAACTAACCAAAGCTGAGCTTTTAACCTTGACAGCCGTTGCGCGAATGACACCGTGTCGCTATGGACTGGAATGTGATGATCCTGAGTGTATGTATGGTCATCGTTGCCCTCAGAGCGACCCTGGAAAAAAAGACTGCTATTGGGGTTCAAGTTGTCGATTTAATACGGCCGCACACGGCGTTGACACAAATATTGTCAAAGTGACCAAGGTCTAGCCTTTGATTTCTGGATGCAAAATAATTTCCTGATGAAACATTTATCGCCTTTTATTTCAAGTAACCCTGGCTCTAATATAATGGCGTCGCGGCCGCTGAGCTTCGAATCTTGTATCGTTCTGGGGGGCTCCTTTTTCTTTCTTGCTTCATCCAGGCTAAAAGCTATGTATTTAGGTAAACTTGCTGCAGTAAAATCCAATACTGTACAGCGCTCAATGCCCCCAGGGCGGCAATGACTAGCCGTTCTTATTTCATACGTGAACACTTATTGTGTCTGATAATCAGTGAATAGTCGTCTTCAACAACCCAAATCGCCTTTCCCAACCAAAACAATCCTGATTAGTACAACCACTAAAGCCTGCGTTGTCGCCAGCATTGTTCGATTCACCAAAATGACTGCATCGAATGCCATATTCCATAAGACAACAATTGAACGGTCGTGACGAGATGGGTCCAAAATCTAGGGGACCCTTGCCGTTTTCCATTGCAATTTTCTTCTGCTCTTCCAGATTTCCCCATAAAACAAAGAGCCTTTCCCTCAATTGATTCAAAACGCCCAGGTTGAGGCGCAGGCTGCAAAATAATAATCATGTCAGAAAGCCAGTTAATTGACTGCCATCAGGGCTTGACTTACTCATATGCACTCAATTGTAGGAGATGCTCTGCCTCGGCATTAGAAACAAAGAGTTTAACCCGCTCTTTTGGCTGTCGACCCGTGGCCGGAGAAATACTCTCTACAAGAAGACAGAAGCGCCATTCCCATTGTGGGTCAGTTCGGGACGTAGCAGGGTCACGTCTTTTGTCGTATGTAAGCGAGATACGTTCCTTCTGGACAGCGAAATCCTCTAATAGGGGAGGATAGAAATCTACAACACGAACTGTGCTGAGATAGCAGAGGTTCTGGAAGGGAAGACGGTATTTGATGCCGCTGGGGGATGAATTAATGTGAGACGGGTTGCTTATGATATCCTCAAGGGTCTGAGAAGGCACGCCTGGAGGAACCCGTGGTTTTACTGAGAAACGAAGATTAGTATATGCTGGCCAATGTCCGTTATAGATAGAAGACTTTTACCGTAGTCGTTCACAGCAATCCGTTTGCTGACACCCAGAGTTGTCTGACCGGATTCGGTTTTCGATTGTGTTTTTACCCTCTTCTTTTTTGAGTTGGACTTTTTGGAGGGCTGTTCCGGGTCCTCGTGTGGTTTTCGCTTTTCCCTTTCCGGGTGCGCTTCCAAGTAATCCGTTTTTCGGGAAAGCAATTCCTGAACCCGGGTGTCATTGCTGTAATTGATTGGGAAAATGTTCGTGGCGGCTGAATTATCGCGATTGGTATGAATGACGCCTTCCAGAGTTCCTCCTTCAACACGGCTTCCTTTGATACGAACATTCTTGAGGCGAACAATATCATTTTCGTTAAAGTTATTCCGTAGGAATGATGCATGTGGTTCCCATAGTGTTATCTGAATAGTCATACGGCCGGATGGGCCGTCCCATTTCCTTTTGGGGCGTTTTATATAGTTGTATTCGTCGCCCTCGCGGCCATGGTCTGGATAATCATCGTTGTCAGACGCATAGAAGAACAAGTTCTCGTTTTCCGTGTAGTCAGTGAGATAGAGAGTTGCCTTTTCGCTATCGTTACTATGTATTTTGGCTATCTCTCCAATAAGATCCACGAATTGCCGATCTTCGACGTCTTTAAGCAGCGAAAATTTTCGCTGAGTAGCTGAAGTTGACCTGGATACGGAAACCTGCGCAAAATCTGGTCTGGGAATAGTAGTGCTACGGAACGACGTCGGGGTAGCCTCTAGTAATGTCAACGCGCAAGATTTCTCCTGGTAAGTGGGATCGAAAGGTACTGGACCAGTGAGTGCAGATTGATGTGAGGTCGGGTCCCTATCTGGGCGGAAGATGGCCCATGGAATTTTTTTATCTTGAGCAGCCACTCCTTGAGGCGCGCCTGTTATTACTTTAACCTGCACCAGCAAAGTGTCAGAACAAGAATACATGAGACTTGGGATAGACAAACCCAGAGATTACGGAGTAAAACTACGTCACCTTGTTGAACGGGGGGTAACATGGTCTCTGTTTCCGTGAAGTACCTGACTTTCAGGCCATCCCACGTATGCCCGTTATTCAGGTTGCAGTCCTTGATTGTAAATGTTATGCAGGTGGAGGTGCCTTGGCTTTTGAACGCGCCACCCCAGATATCCACGACCACGCCCATTACATTGATAGTACCTCGCGTTTCAAGCGCTTTGGCCACGTCAACATAGCCTGGGGGCAATTGAATCGCCATTGCTGCTCGATTTGCGGGCTATCGTGGTAGGTACCGTGATCTGTAGGACAACCTTGTGGAAAGGGTAGAGCTGGGACCATCTCTCATAGCAGCAGCATTATGAAGGTCAGCACCGCCACGAGCCCTGTCCGTAAACAATCAACTGAGAGGTGTCTTGGTACAGACGCCGTACCTAATTGACGCGTCTGGGCGGTTGTCCGCAAGTATTGTTGTCGAGTGATCCGCGCTAAGATCGCTTCGGCGCCTCCAGATAACGCTAAACCTAAAACAGCCAAATAATCCCGTGACTGGCCCGGAGCGTCAAACACTCGTTATTTTTCCCCTCCTTCACTTCCTCCCTCCTCCTGCCAGGCGCCCCGCGAAAAATAAGAGTTTCCATCTCCTTTATCTGGCTATAATTTTTTTCCCCTCCCGCTTTCGCTTGGGCCTCCCTATAATCACTTTCTAATTAGCTCCTATCATCTTCTTTCGTCGCATACCTTTGCGCCCGCTTGCTCCTTTTTTCCTCTCTGATTAAGTAACCCGTTTGTGGTGGGCTTTGTTATTGTTCCCTCTCCTCAGCAACCATGGCCGAACGCTACATCCCAGAGCATCGCCGCACCCAGTACAAGGCCAGGAATCAGTTCCGGCCTGACGAACTCCGCCGCCGCCGTGAGGAGCAGCAAGTCGAGATCCGAAAGCAGAAGAGAGAAGAGAATTTGGCCAAGCGACGGGGTATCCAGACTCGGGATGGCGGAATCGGTGTCGGAGGTGGCATGGCTGCCGCCGAGAGTGACGACGAGGCAAGCGCTATCGAAAGTGAGGTATGTGATGACTTATTTTCTTTTGCTGCTGGTTATGTCCTCCGCGTCCCTTTGCCTACTTTATGGACTCCTTTGTCTTATTTCTAAGGCTCACCGCCCAAACATGGGATCGGGACATTAATCCGACATCATCGCGGGGCACCCATCCAATTGAGTTTTGGTTTCTGTATACTTTGTTCATACAGAAAATGCGAAAGTTGCTAACGGGCGCCTCATCCAGCTCAATGTCGAACTACCAGAGATGGTCAAGGGCGTGTTCTCCGACCAGATTGAAGCTCAAATCCAAGCCACAACCAAATTCAGAAAGCTCCTCTCCAAGGAGCGCAATCCTCCCATTGAGCGTGTCATCGAGACCGGCGTTGTCGCCCGCTTTGTGGAGTTCCTCCGATCCCCTCACACCCTAGTTCAATTCGAGGCTGCGTGGGCTCTGACCAACATCGCATCCGGATCTGCTCAACAAACTCAAGTGGTCATCGAGGCTGGCGCTGTACCGATCTTCGTTGAGCTTCTCAGCAGCCCCGAACCCGATGTGCGCGAGCAAGCCGTTTGGGCCCTAGGTAACATTGCTGGTGACAGCCCTCAATGTCGCGATTTCGTCCTCAACGCAGGTGCTCTGCGGCCCCTCCTGACTCTGATCAACGACGGTCGCAAAATCAGCATGCTGCGAAATGCCACATGGACGTTGAGCAACTTCTGTCGTGGAAAGACTCCTCAGCCGGATTGGACTACCGTATGCTACTTCCCATCATCCGTATATGGTTGATTATTGTACGTACTAAACGTTTTATTTAGATTGCACCAGCTCTACCTGATCTCGCCAAACTGATCTACATGCTTGATGATGAGGTCCTGATTGATGCTTGCTGGGCTATCTCCTACTTGTCTGATGGCCCCAACGAGAAGATCCAAGCTGTAATTGAAGCTGGCATTCCTCGTCGACTAGTCGAACTCTTGATGCACGCCTCCACTTCGGTCCAGACTCCTGCCCTCCGTTCTGTTGGAAACATCGTCACTGGTGACGATGTTCAGACGCAAGTGATCATTAACTGCGGCGCTCTTCCCGCCCTCCTCTCTCTTCTAAGCTCAACTAAGGATGGCATCAGGAAGGAGGCTTGCTGGACTATCTCTAACGTTACTGCTGGCAACTCAAGCCAAATCCAGTCTGTTGTTGACGCTGGGATCATCCCACCCTTGGTCCACCTGCTTGCCAATGGAGACTTCAAGACGCGCAAGGAAGCCTGCTGGGCTATCTCCAACGCCACCTCCGGTGGATTACAGAAGCCAGACCAGATTCGATACCTTGTTACCCAAGGCTGCATCAAGCCACTATGTGATCTTCTTGCATGCCCGGACAACAAAATCATCCAGGTTGCCCTTGATGGCCTTGAGAACATTCTTAAGGTCGGTGAAATGGATAAGGAGGCTGCGCAGTCTGGTGATGCTCGTGTTAACCGCTATGCGTTGTTCATCGAGGAGGCCGGTGGTATGGAGAAGATCCACGACTGCCAGAATAACGCCAACGAAGAGATCTACATGAAGGCATACAACATTATCGAGAAGTATTTCTCAGATGAAGATGAAGCTGGTGGTGAGATCGATGAGCTTGCCCCTCAGCAAACACAGACTGGATTCACCCTGGGTGCTACCCAGCAGCAGCCCGGTGGATTCTCGTTCGGCGGTGCCAACGGTGGCGATACCATGGACATGTAAGGCGAGAAAAAAAGGAAAAAGAAAAAGAAAAGCGAGTGAAAAAGAGCAATCTCGGGCGATTTCACGCTCAATCCCTCATCCCCTTTCCCCCTGGCAGGTGGGTTATGGCTTCGATTCATGTTAGATCGTTCATGTGCAGGCAGGAACCCGCCACCACAGTAGGCTCTATGGGCGTCAACGTCTTGAAATGGTATTTCATTGGTTCCTTGAGCTGAATATTGCTCTCCTGGAGTGGTTTGGGGTTCTGGGAGTCTATATCAGATACCACATCAGGTCGTTTCGGTTTTCCCCATCCCTTTCTTGACACCTCGACATTCCACCTGCTTCCACCCCCCCCCAATCACACTTCTATATTCAAACCCTTCTATTATATTTTTTTTATCACCGTTTGATTTTTCACGATAAACAAGATTCACCGTCATGTATCCCTTCTTATTTCAGGCCACCCTAGCATTCCTCATACACGGGCGTAGTTTTCTATAGGTTTAAATCGGTTTCCTTTTTTGTTCCTATGAACACTTCTCTTTCCACATTAGGCGTGATAAGTTGCTTGGAGGTCAGGTCGTGTCCTTGAACTCGTATTTGTGGCCCGAAAGATGCCCTGAAGAAAGCTGAACTGCGCCAAAAAAAAACCCTAAGTCAGCTATCACGGGACGTCTCAACAACTGTTCCGTATTTACACCAAAAGAATGTAGTACCATATGATGTTTTTGCAATATACACTCCCCCAATAGATAATAATACTTAATAAAGTCTTTTGTACTACATGTGTACGATTCCTCAAGCCAAGATCTATAGTGGAGCTACTCCTGTAAACCATGAGACCACTATGCAACTCGAACATTAAGACAATATAGGTAGACCCGACACGACAGTACGAAAGGAGAAAAAGATAAGATTTAAATTGGTTGGTGCTTTGAAAGTAAAAAAGTCAAGTAACTCGAGTCGATTGCCTTAAAATCGAGACTGAAACTATATCTTCAAGATAAGTAATCCATTACATGAGAACGTAAATTGGGAATTAGCACACAGCATCAAAGAAAAAAAGAAGTAGATGGAAGTACTGAACAAGAAAATCGTAGGAAAGGATGACGAAAAGTCGACGGAAATAAAGGGGGAAAAGACCTAAGCTAGAAAGCCGCCAGTGCGCAAAAGAAGTAAATCAATTCGTAAATATGGGGACGTGGGAAATCGAGCATAAAGCACTCCTATTGTATCGCAACGATAGAGACGTAAACAGAATCAGTCACCCATTATTTCGTCTTCATCTGGTTCGGGTGCCACAGTTAGGTTTTCATCTTCCTCGTTGTCTTTGTCGATGTCGACGTTATCTTCCTCCATCTCCTCGTCGCTGGCGCGCTGCTCCTCGTCTTCTTCTTCGATCCTTTCGGCTGACTTGGTCTGCTCTGGGAGTTTATTTAATGCAGTTCCGGGTTGTGGCTTGTTTGCACCCTGTGCGGCAGACTGCTTCACTTTAGACTGGGCAGGCCGTGAAGCGGCGCGTTTGGGAGCCTTTTCTTCAAGGAATACCAGAACCTCGCGATAATTCGGGCCAAGGCGTGTCTTATGCTTCAATAGTTTCTTCTTTAGCTGTCCGCTATTCGACCCGGAGGCGTCGATTATACGTCCAATGATTGCGAGGACGAGCTTTCCAGTCAGCTCGCAGAGGCGTTGTTCTGCGATGATCTTGGTTCGCAGCCGCTCGTCATGAAGCAATTGGTTCTCCTCGTCCTCGTCGTCCATGGGTTCTCTTTCGAGTTCGGAGTCTTCAGCGGGGGCGTCGTCTTCAGCGGGTTCGAAGGGTACGCTTGACTTCTTAGCGTATGTCCTGAACGCTACCCCATGAACCTTGGTGATAAGACTCTGGACATCTACATCAAATTCATGTACCAAGCTTTGAGCCTGGAAGATGGTGTCTTCATCATTGCCAGCACCCGGGCCCACATTCCGGAATGTACCAAAAAGAGTCTGAAGATCAAGAAGAGTGGTAGTTGCAGAGAAGCGAACATCGTCCAACCCGGATCGCTCTTTCATTATACCAACAAGGGCTTCAACGAATGACTCACGGCTTTTGGTCAGAGCCTCGAAATATGCCGTGTTGAACTGGGCTTTCCCAGCTTCTAAGGCTGTGCGTAGATTTTGTACCTTCCACATGAAATAAAACAAGAGGGTCCTGGTACTGTTTATCACGACTTCGGCCTCTATTCTCGCAGCTTCCTCGTCTTCCTCGGTGTCGGCCAACGTTTCTTCGCGCAAGCCTCTTTGCACCAAGCGCAACAGAGTGTTGAATGGTGCCTCTACTTCCTTCTTGCTTCTACCCTTTGATCGGTTGGAGAGCGGCGTCTCAAGCAACTGGGTGCAATCAGTTACACTAGATAGATTAGAGACCCTTATCGCGGTGTTGTTGAGTTCATTAAGGATCGAAAATGGTATGGGACCACCGCCAGTTACTTCCTTTTGTTGAGACAGTCTGCTGAGAGTGTCAACCATGTCCTCCCAGAGTTCTTGGATTTTGCTGTCAAGTGCTTCACGCATATCGTCAGAACTCTTTGCATGAAGGAAAGCAACACTGGCTTCGGCTAGAACATCTTGGTCAGAATGGGTAAGAAATTGCTTATTGATGTCGTTCAGCAAAGATGTATAGGCTGTTGCGTCTTTTTGAAGGTCTTGTATCTTATCAAGATCAACAAGGTGCTCCAAACGTAGAACCGCGGAGGCGGCTTCCGGTGAAGACCCGAATTTGTTCAAGAGTTGCGGGATGATCTGAGCAAGACCATGAGCTATTTCCTCCTGTAGCTCTGGGATTCTGTCAGTCAATGCTTTGATCTTTCGGCCGCGCTTGTCAATGTCGGATTTGGCAACATCGAGAATCCTGAGTTTGACAGCACAGCAAAGCACTTCCAACAAGATCACTTCTTGGCCCTCCTGCATTTTGTACATTTTCTTGACCGCCCCGCTGGTATCATCGTCACTAGGCTCGTCGAGAATTTGGGAATGATCAAATAAAAGGTAGCCAGCCAGGGACTGCCAATTCGCCAATTCATCAAAGTAAGGGTAAATGGCCTCAGTAGCAAGGACAAACCGCGAGTCCATTGATATACCTGACAGTGCATCCCTTGATGTTGCGTTTGGCTCGAGCGCGGCACCATCATCTGGAGTGTCGTATGCCTGGATAATGTCCGCGAGGCACTTGAATTTGATCCAAGAACGCTTCGGTGACTCGAAATCATCTTCGTCTTCATCATCGCCGAATACTTCATTGACTTCCTCTGAAGACTCTTCGAGCGTTGAGTCGAAAACATCTTGCACATTCGCAACGAAGAAGGGTCCTGCTGCCTTGCGCACACGGGACTCCAAGTCAAATATGAGTCTCCCGACAGTGTCGACATCAGCAGGCTCGATCAGCCCAGCATCTCGGACCAAATCGAGCAATTCAATCGCCATCGTACGCATCCCAACGTCGGAATCATGAGTAGCTATTTCCACAAATCGATGACGGAAACGCTCCGTGAACGATCGCGCCCCAGCAATATTGTCTTTATTCGAGTATACATTCAGAAGTTGACGTAGCGCAACGGACCGCGTATGGACATCACTGTCAGATATAATCCAACCACAATATCGAAGGAATTGGCCTTCGAAAAAGTATTCTCTGTAACTGTGCATCCACTTCCCCAGCGCCGCTATGCTTTCTGCGCGAATTTTCGGGTCGACGTCTCGATAGCGGTTAACGAAAAATATGTTCACACCATCCTTGAGAAGATCATCTATCAGTTCAAGTTTAGTCTCGCCTTCTTGAACTGACGACTTAATAGCGTCCACACGGCCTTTGTTGACAGTCTTCTTCTTCTTCTCATTTTCCAGCTGCTTGCGTGAGGTTGAAACCGTGGCCATCACTTCATGAGCAATCTCGCAGAGAGCATTCATATTCGACAAGGCGATAATGGTTGCGGTATGCCTAAAAGGCCTGTAGCGGGAAGAAGAAAAGGAAGATAGCCAAGACTGAAGGTTTTCATAAAGGACTCTGTCGTCATATAAAACCGAAGAATGGTGCAGAGTTTGCATGAGAGTGACGAAGAAATTCTCTAAAACAGGCTGGAAGGACTTAAACTTCCGAGCCTTTGAAATTAGAGGGTATTCAGAGATTTTCTGAGCGGCATATTGGTTCTGCAGGTCCTCAACGCGTTTGTTTATATGATCGACGTCCTCGATATCCCCTGTGGTGACTTCAAGATCAGTTCCTGAGCATCTGAACACAAAATTAACCAGATCACGCATCGCAGTCGTCTGCGCCTCTTGGTATCGTGTGAGCCACTCTGCGGCGACAGTTTCAGTGTTACGTCCTTTGCCGAAGACCTCCGCTGCACGAAAGTATTTGTTAGCTGGAAAATAAATATAGCATGTGATAAAAGAGGCCCAGAGCCGTACCATAAAGACCGCTTTCACCAGCAGCCAGACTAGATCGCACTTTTGGCCTTCTAGGTCGCGAGGCCGGCTTTCCACCATTTGCTGCCGGTCGCAGAGCTAGCTGACTTCCAATCCCGTTCCCAGTTACCTTGGGCTTCTTTGTACTTCGAGACCCTTGCGACTTGGCCTTGCTTTTCGTTCCAGAAGATGTTTTCTTGCCGGATCCCTTGCGCGCAGCCCGTCTCTGTTCCCGTAGTTCTTCCTCATCGGGTTCATCTTCCTCTTCGGTATCCTCACTTTCTGATTCAGACGCGTCATCGCCATTGTCGATATCATCCTGGTTTTCGTCACCGGTAGCAATTCGCTTTCGCTTGGCGCCGCCTGCGGTCGCACCATTGGCATCGCTATAACCCTGGGAAAATAATTCGGGCCTGCGCGTCGCACGACCAGATTTTCTCCTGTCTCCGGACGGTGATGGGGTCTCCATGCCCGGCCCGGGTTGGGGGGAAGAAAAGCGTAACTCGGGCTCCATTTGCCGCGTAAATTCGATATTATGCCTTAACAGCGATGCAAAGTTACCCTAACCGAGTATTCCATGCACATTGATGGATGATAGACGAAATATGTAATTCAACGCGGGGTTGTTGCGGGCTGAACGGAGAACGCGACGATGGAAATGATTGACCGAGGATGTTGTTGCGCGCGCGTTGTCCTCCACCTATCCAATGCAGGATTATAGTAGGAAAGGGCGGCAGTAAGTGATAGAGCTCAATGAGAGATCGTCTGGCTGCGCCAGTCGGGATGAGACTTGCGAAGGAGTAAGGGAGGAATGGAGGACGCGGAGTTGACTTGAGAGTAACTGGACGAAACAGACGCGCCTCAGTGCCTTACAGTGCCTGAGGCGGCGGGATATGCTTCTTCATAATTAGTAATCCAAAGTAATGCGCATCATGTGATTTACTAACCCTAGCCCTCTGCTTCTGCGCCTGTGCGGGGAAGGGGAAGAGGCCGAGACAGAGCAACTGATGTCGTAATGGAAACACATCTCTGCTCCATCGTGGGGCGTGGTTGAAACTGCTTTGAGCTTTGAATTGGAGAGCCAAGACGCTCGATATTCGGTCCCTGGTCCACGGCGTCAGAGGACCCCGCTCTAAGATCTTCTCTCTCAACGTTGAGCTCCAGTGGTTGGACAAGAGCCCGAGCATCCGCAGATACTCCATTGAGGTAGAGGAATCTTTGCGACACCGATGTTCTTGTCGCTGCATCTCGACGTTACTGCTCCCTCAACCATAATAAATGCCGTCATGCCACCAAATCTGAAGCTGTTGAATACCGAAATCTTCTCTCCGTCACTTTCACGTTCCGTCCCATAAACCGCAGCCAGATAAACATAAACAAGCATGCCAGTCAAATCACCCTTTGAGTCTTCGGTTGCAAAGGCTGGACAAGGCGAGGTCGTCCTCTCGCTCCTCCCTCCTGCGAATCCTTCTCTGAGTACCCTTACCTACAAATACCCCCTCAAGCTCCTCACGCGCACCCCTGGCTTCGTACCGCAGTCCGTATCATCGTCCGCGTCTCAGCCGGTCCATCTATACCTTCTCACATACGGTGGGGGCCTCCTTCCAGGCGACCAGATTGATGTTTCGATAACCCTCGAGCCGCGGACCAGAATGGTCGTCACGACACCGCAAGGAAGCACAAAAATATTCAAGACGGAAACAACCCCAGGTCGAACATTATCAGACCAAAGCCGGCAAACGTTAGACGTCCGCATTGGCGAAGAGGCCGCGCTGTGTTACCTGCCTGACCCATCAGCACCATTCAAAGACAGCCGCTACGAGCAGATCCAAACATTCACAGTCAACAGCACAACTAAGGACTCGTCCCGAAGCAGCCTCTGTGTCTTAGACTGGGTAACGCAGGGCCGCGTCTCACGAGGTGAGAACTGGGACTTCCATTTTTGGAAGGGAAAGAACGAAGTATGGCTACATGATGAACCTACAGCCCCCTCTGATCCCGGCAGAGACGACAAGAAGAAGAAGCTCTTACTCCGCGATTCGTTAATACTCAATGACGAAACCGCCAGTACCACCGCCACTCAAGGACAAGAGCAGACACAGGCAAATAACCCAGCAAAAGCTCTGGTTCGCGAGCGCACAAGCCCCCATGGGGTAATTGGCACTTTAATCCTCTACGGTCCCGTCTTCGAAAGGCTCTCCTCTTTCTTTGTTGACAAGTTCACGTCTCTCCCACGCATAGGAGCGAGGAATTGGTCCTCCTCCGCCGCCCCGGCTGTGGAAGCACCCGAGAACTATGACTCCCGGGTCACATTTACGGCGGCGCGCGTGCGAGGCGGTTTTGTCCTTGTTAAGTTTGGCGCAGCCGATTTTGAGACGGCGAAGGATTGGCTGGGTGGGGCTCTGAGGGAGGAGGGCAGTGTTGCGAACGAGTTTGGAGAGGAGGCGTTATCTTGTCTATGAGGGACGGATAGTACTTTTATTTATTTCTTTTCATTTCATTTTCGCCCTGTTCTACCTGCCTAGGCTGCAAGATTTTGTACGAGATACAGTCTATTTTCTACCTTCGTGATACCCAGAACCATAGGTTTTACATCTGCCTTCTATTTAAACCATGAGTATCTAAGTCCTATCTAATTCCTAGTAACTTATTCTCTAAAAGCGTAACAACAGACATGAAAATTCGTAGCGTCATCGCAAAGATTCCCGCTTATCATTCCCAGTCACTAAGACAAGAAAAACATCATAACGCCAGGGGTATATTGAAACGAACAAAATCAAGAAGCCAAAGCCAAAGCAAAGGTCTCGAGGACGTGAGTCATGGTCTAATTGAACCGATATGTCCAGAACTACACATCCTCAAAGCTCTTGCAATCGTTAGAGTCAGCGTTCAGACGCGTGTTCAGACAATTAAGTTTGGCGAAATCCCAAATTTCCTTTGCTGCCTGATCCGCTAGTCAACCTAATTCCAGTGCCACCAGTCCGAAATCCTAGGGGCCCAGTCCTTTCGTGTTGCACTGACGAGGTCGTCCACATTGAGCATATCGACGCCTTCACGGGTAAGAACACGCCAGACGTGGTTTCGTAGGCTTCGTGGCCAGTTAGGTGTTCCCCAGTATCGGACTTTTAGACCTTGACGGTGAGCAGCCCTAACATGGGATCTTATGGTTTGCACCTGGCGGTCTGTCAGATGGAGCAACCATGGGGTCCCGACGGCCTTATGGAAGGAAATTGAAGCATAATAGCTATTAGTTATGTTGAATGTGTCGTCATCCACACGTGTTCCGGCTTCAATATGGTCGATATCGTCTACTAGTCGGTCTAGCGGTGCATCGAAAAAGATATCACGATAGGTGGAGCTTTCAACAACCCGACTGAAAGGAGTGTTTCCGGTCCCAACGACGGTAATAGGACCACTGATAATGTCGCTGCCATTGTAGTGGGTTAAATAACCACTCTCACGGAGCGGGTTCAATTGCGAATGCACATAGTCCCAGGTCTCCTCGCCATCGGTCTTAAAATCAATGAGCAGAATTACCTGCTGTGAGGGATTTCTGTCAAAGACGCCATTTCGAGGTTGATCGAGGTCATGATGGAATTGAGTAATGGGGTTCTGCCTGCGCAGGATTTTCACCAAGGGATCGATGTACATGCTGCGTAATGTGCGACTTGAAGTGAGAGCCGAAATAGAATGGCCGACGTAGAGTTCGTCATCGAAGAGCCATACGTCGGCCTCGACGCCAATACACCCAGCCTCTAGGGCGGAATAAAGGGGCACGCGGCGCCAGTAATCATTGTGCGAGTGACATGGAACAGGGATGATATCCTTTGAAATGTCCGTAGGCCAGTGAGCGGTGTCCGCTGGATCAAGCCTTTGGGGTTGTCGCCAGTGGTCGGTTACACGATCAATCTCGTCAGGGAAGAATGAAATAACGATCCCACAGGCAATCGAAATGAACTGGAAAACACCTCTGAAAGACGCATTAGTGTTTGCTAATTCGGAGGCAAGTCAGTTGTGCTTACAACATGGCGAGGAAGCCCACCAAACAATATAAGAAGCAGCAGGAGCGAGTTGGCTTTTTAAGCCACCGAGGGTGAAGCTTGGAGCGGTTGCCGTCAAATGGGAGTAAAGGAGCAGAAGCAACTGAGGTCTTGTTGCGTTCGTTAGAAGAAGCAAATAGAGGCGAGACCGCGGCTAGGCCTCGGCTCCATAGCGAGCCCTTTCGCTGCCATTGTGGTCTCTCCGAAGCTTCTTCCAAGTCGGAGTCGTAAACAAGTTCTTCCGGCACTCCAACCCTCCCAAAAGTGGCAGGTTTATTGTCCGGTCTATTCCCAGTGTTGCTCGTTTCATCGCCGTGAGAAGTGCCACCGACCGTGTGCAGCTCATTGCAAGCAGCAGCAGGAAATGGGGTTGTGAGGCGTGACTGAGGGTGGCGAGGCGAAGAAGACGACATGGCTAAGAATATCTTGGCGCGATAGCCATGGGGAGATGATATCAACGGGGATATCGAGCGGAGGACGAGATCGTATTTATCAGGGCCATCTTGCGCAACTCGGTCGCTTCTTTCCCTCTTGATCGGCGCGACACCCGGCCTCGCAATAGGGCCTTCGCAACACTGAATCGGGCGATCGGGGCGTGCTCCGCAAGAGGCGCAAAGGATTCGTCGTTGGCCAAAGCGTGAATAAGTGGGCAGTCGCAGCGAGCACTTGGCGGGCGTATCCAGACTCTCCAGAGGATCCAGAGCGCCATGTGCTGTGCGGGCGGCTTTCATTGGCCGCCCGTTACTTCAAATCCAACCTCTTCACAAGCGTCCAGAGTCCCCGTCCCAAAGGGTCTTCACTACTGTCAATCATGCCTGATTCATCCTCACTACAACTGTGACTGCGACTGAGGAGCCTTCTCGGCAAGCTTACTTAATTTAGATACAGACCCCAGTTGTGAGAACTCGCCATGGTTCAATTCAGGACGTCATATCTCGCAAGTTGCCGTCCGCAGCTTTCACCCCAGACCCAGGTAGGGGTGTTTCCGTCCCTCTCACTCGCTCTCAAATTTGCATGAGTTACACCATTCGGATAGAAGCATTATTCTGGAAAATTAGGCCTAGTGTTTCCCTTTTCGAAAATCGGTCGCACGACTCGCACGGTTCGTACCGCGCGGTTCGTACGGAGTACATATGTCACACTCGGCACATTATTATGTTGCCTACCATCGGCGTCAATGATTCATATACCATTATACTGCTCCTTCCGCAGGTTATTAGGCCCTTTTGTGCGGATTGCAGAGTATAGACTGATGAATCCTCGGTTTGACTCATCAGATCTCGCGGACTGGCGACGTATTTCCTGCCCCAATTCAAACAACCAAGTCTATGGCATCCAGGGTCATCAGAATTTATCCATGATAGCGCCCTACGTCGGTTTTGGGGCTCTCGCCGCCCTCGAAGTCGAGTCTAGACTACTGATTACTGTCTCGAGGTTGAAACTTGTGTCATTTCTCACGCACTTTGGCCCCTTCAGCCCCTCTGGGTGGTGATCAGCGTAATCGTGTGCGTATGGAGCCGCATGGGCTCGCAGGATCAATGGCAAGAAATACCAGACAAGATCCACTTGGACCTCAACAAGGATTAAAAAAAATCGACTCTGTCAAGACAAGGGAATACGCCCGCCATTGCAACCACGCTTCCTAGCAATATAGGCTCCCTCCTCCGAGCCCAAGGCCAACTCAATAATACAGAGCTACTTCCTGGGATGGCTGTGAGATGATCTCGCCATCTACGTATATGTTGCAGGATTTTTCACTAAGGATCACTGGACGAGGCAGCGTCAGACTGAGTCAACTTCTGATTGATAATCAAATAACAGCACTGCCACTCATTGTATCCAGAGTTTCAGGCAACTACAAATATTTAAGGGAGCGATTTCGATAATAGCCCCCACTACGCAACTTATGCGACTTTGGCCAACTAAGGCGGTTTAATCCAACCAGACAAAACTGCTCAGTGATGAGAACGCCCGTAGGGTCTTCAGATGTTTCTGGTGAATGATCGGTAGCATCGTTGATCTGTAATTATACTACACCGTACACATTCGAGTTATCTCATCGAAAATAAATTCGCCCACACTGGACGATGCCCAATGAAAGAATGTCCATCCAAATATGTCTCCATCCTGGTCTCCAACGAGGAAGCGAGTTTGTGCATGCCTCGGGTGGATATTAAACTGTATGTGCCAGGGCATCTCTTTCCCAAACCACTATTAAAATGGCAAGCTACGAATTCTCACATCTTGTAGAGTCTTTCGCAATTGAGAACACGCAGAAACGAACCTGCGGCAGCAAGTTCTCATCCAGCAGTCATTTGGCTTTCCCCAAGGCGAGAAGTACTTGAACTGTCTGGAGATAACTCATACGGTCAGCCTTCTTAGCAGCTGAGATAAGAAATCCTACCCCCGCGTTTAGCCCCATGCAATCTCCACACAACTACAGGCGCCTTGAAAACTGGAGATGATTTATGATATCATGCCACTCAATCTATGCCGGGTTTCCCCCAAAAACCCTGATTTTGCCCCTCCATATACGGTGTACAAGGAAATTGTGGCTCCAATCCATTGTATTTGAGCCAACCGGGAAAATCGTGGCAACCGACAAGCCGTGTATTTTAGCCATGCAAACTGAGCGAGCAATCTGAAAGCATTTTATCATTCCAGATCCGAACATTTACCGAGAGAACTACCTGAGTGGCCCGGCGATGCGTTGACAAAGGTGATCAACACTGCTTCCCCCCAGTCAAGTGTTGATAGCTGATCTACACCCCACACTTGCTTGGGGAAGTTCAGCATCGTAGTCGCGGTTAAATCCAGTCGGCTAATTTCTTGATGGTGTTTTCAAGGTAGGCCAGCCCAGTACAGCATTATTTAACTCGGCCATGGTTTCCATCAACCAATCCAGTCTTCAGGTACCAGTTGCATTTCTCTTCTGACAATATGCTTCTTCGTCCGTTAGTGGCCCTTGTGGCTCTGACTGCCGCAGGTGTTGTTGGTGCTATACCTGGGACATCGCGCCGTCACACTTCCAACTCTTCAGAGCAAGAGCAATTACTTGCGCCCTCTCTCAAGCGCTGGAAGCGTGGCCCTCACCTTGCTGTCGATTATTACCCATCACAATGGCCGGAATACATGTGGGAGCCCGATATTTCTCAAATGCGAGATGCCAACATTTCATACGTGCGTGTAAACGAGTTCGACTGGGCCATCCTTGAACCTGTTGAGGGACAGTACAATTTCACTCTTCTCGACAAAACTTTGGACCTGATTGATCGATACCAGCTTAAAGCAATCATCGGGACACCAACGGCAGCTCCACCTAACTGGCTCACTGAAAAGTACGACATCAGCTTCGTGGACTACACCAATACTACAAAGGTCTTTGGCTCGCGCCGATACTATAGTACATCCTCGCCCGACTACCGTCGGTTAAGTCAGAAGATTACACAAAAACTGGCAGAGCGCTATGGGAACCATTCTGCTGTGGCGGGCTGGCAACTGGACAACGAGTTCGGATGTCATGATACCGTGCAGAGCTACGATCAAAATGCCATCAAGCGATTTCAGACATGGCTTCGGAAGAAATACGGCTCTATCGAAAATCTCAATGCTGCCCAGGGCCGTGTGTTCTGGTCAAATCAGTATATTAACTTTGATGTGATTCATCCTCCGTTCCTAGAAGTCTACACACCACCACCTAGCCATCGCCTCGACTGGTACATATTCAGTTCGGATATGGTGATTGAATTTGCGCAGGGGCAGTTGAATATTCTAAGACAATATGCGCCAACGCACTTCATCACACATAACTTTATGATGGGCTTTACCAGCTTCGACCACTTCAAGTTTTCGCGTGATGTGGGACTAGATCTTGTAACCTTTGACGAGTACCCTCTTGCTGGTCTAGATTCATTATCGTGGCTCTCCCAGGAGGAACAGATAAACTACCTACACACCGGTCTACCGGATTGGCAGGCGCTGCACCATGCCCTCTATCGTGGTGTTTCCGGTGCTGCCTACAACAAAACCTCCGGACCATTTGGCATCATGGAGATGCAGACGGGCGTGTTAAACTGGAGTCCTTACCGGGTATCTCCTTTGAGCGGCATGGTACGACTCTGGACGCACGAAACGTTCGCAGATTTGGGCGACCTGGTGTCATATTTCCGCTGGCGTCAGGTCCCGTACGGGGCAGAGCAAACGCTCTCTGCCTTGTTTACCTCAGATGATTTTGCAGATGAAGGCTTCCTCGAGATTCAGTCTTTTGCAAACGAAGACCTACCCACGTTAGTGGAAGCACTTGACGCTGACAATGATCAAGAAAGCCAGGCGGATGTCGCTCTCGTTTTCGATTACGTTTCTTCCCAGGTTTGGGACATCGAACCATACAGCGGGACGTGGAGTGCTGCAGACAACAGCTATACGGACCCAGCTGTCAAGTACCTCGATATCGTCTTCAAATTCTATTCCGCTCTCCGTCGCCTGGGTCTTTCCGTCGATGTCATCAGCCCTGAACAGTCGATTCAGAACTACAAACTCGTCATCGTTCCAAGTCTACCAATTATTCCCAAATCATTTGACCAGTCACTAGCTAACTACAGTGGCCCTGTTGTCTTTGGGCCACATACCGGTTCTAAAACATCCACGCTAAGTTATGCGCCTGGTCTCAACCCCTCGCAAGGGCCACTCCGCGACCGTCTACCTCTGAGGGTCCCTCGCGTAGAAACACCACCAGATTACGCCGGTAGTGGGGTTTCATATGGAGGAAAGACATACAACATCTCAGGCTGGGAAGAGTGGGTAGTCTGCGCACGAGAAAACCGTACGAGCGCCGAGACAATGACATATACCTCACCCCACCGCCGTGGGAAACCTGCAGCCTGCTCCAAGAATGGCTTGCACTACCTTGGTTTCAATCCTTCCATCGATTTGCTCGTGTCGTATCTAGGCGATGTCGCCAAGGACGCAAAGATTACTGACTTTGCGGGGCGACAGGCTAGTGGCCGCAATGACCTTGGACCGAACCTACGGTTTGCGAAACGAGGATCCTTACTATGGGGGTTTAACTATGGCTTGGAAGCTGCAAGTCTTCCAGCCATTGAGGGTGCTGAGCTGTTGATTGGTAGGCATGGTTCGGAGATTGCGTCGGCGGATGTCGCTGTCTGGAGGCTGAAGAATGAAGACCCTTGATTGAATGTAGGGCTTCATTGCCAGAGCTACCAAGCTACAGCGCACACAGAAACCACCATGCGTGATACAGTGTTATAATATAAGCACTATCCATAGTAATTAGATAAATATTGAGAACTCTATAAAGCCCAAAAAAAAGAGTGAATTCGAGAGGATATAACAGTGATAGCCGGCAGAATAATTTAAATGGGAAGCGGTGTACAAGATAAGCTAGTTCCGATAAGATAAGCCCTTGACCGCCCTCGCCGTCTTGAGAAAAAGTTCATTGCTCCACTAGGAAACCAACTCGAGAGGCAGCATAAACCAAGTCCATAATCGAGAAAGCGCAAGATGCCCCACAAGCACAAGCGCAGGCAAAAGGACTCCAGGTACGCTTTCTAATTTTGCTCAAAAAAAAAAGGGCCAAATCTCACATATTTGCAAAAACAGTACATACGATCTCCCACCAACCCTCATCGCCAAATCTCTGCCAGTCCGAGACCCATCCAAGGAAGGAAACGCCAAAGGCAAAGGAAAAGGAAAAGGAAGGCCAAACGCCAACAACAAAAACCAGAAACCGCAACCGAAAGATGGGAAAGGCCCTAAGAAGCAGAAAGAGGCTGCAACCTCCAGACACAAATCCGATCTGGACGATGATACACCGCGCGCATTCCGACAATTGATGCAGTTCCAGGCCAAGAATCAAGCCAAGGCTCAGAATAAGCGGAAACACTCTGGATATGAAGATGATAGCGTTGATTCGAGTAGCGACGACAGCGGTAACAATGCGCCTGCTGTTTCTCGAAAGGCGAAGACGAAACAGGCCCCCGCCACCTCAACGCAGACAAACTCAACGGGAGAGAAGAATCAATCAGCGACTGCACCGAAGATTCTCCCTGGAGAGAAACTCTCCGACTTCGCTGCCCGTGTGGACCGTGAAATGCCACTTGCCAACATGAAGCGCTCCTCGAAACCGACTGCGTCTACCGAACTTCCCAAGATTCGAGACCACCGAGTAACGAAACATGAAAAACACTTGAAGCGATTGCAGGCTCAATGGCGAAAGGACGATGCTCGGATTAAAGAGCGCGAGGCAGCGGAACGCGAAGAAAAAGAGGAGGAGATGGAGGAGCAGTTGCAGCTTTGGAAGTCTTGGGAGGTTGAGGCGGGCAAGAAAAAGAAGAATCCCAATCAATCTGGTGGAAAGAAGAGGAAAGGTGGTGATGATGATGACGGCCCAGATCCATGGGCGAAGTTGAAGAAAAAGAGAGCCACTGTGAATCCGTTTGAGGTAGCGCAGGAGCCGCCGCAATTGAAGAAGCCGAGGGAGATATTCAAGGTGCGCGGCGGGGCGAAGGTCGATGTTGCCAATGTTCCTGCTTCTGTGGGAAGTTTGAGGCGGAGAGAGGAACTCGCGAGCGAGAGAAGAAATATCGTCGACGAGTACAGGCGGTTAATGGCAGAGAAGAGGGGAGAATAAATATACCCAGAGTTACTTTTCATCTGAAAGAATTTCCATCTATTGTCCAGGAATACATTTGTAGAATGACTTTTGTCTTCAATGTCTATGGAAAAGAAGCACAGGCTATGTATGATGCTTTTTATGTACAACGTACCAACCCAATTAAACACCGTAATCATCACAAAGAACAATAAGAATGATCCCAAATTACGTAGACGTTCATTCCTGCTGCAGAGACTTGACATACTCCGCTGCCTTAGCCTTCGTTTCTTCAACCGTCTTCTCGTCACCCTTCTTCTCCTCAAACTCAAGCCACTTCTTGAAGAAGAAGCGAGCCTGCTTAGGTTTAACCTTCTTACCCTCCTCGATAACCAAGCCGGTGCTCTTCTTTGTGTCCCTGATTCCAAGAACGCGCTCAAACAAGCGGCGGACCTGCTCTGCGTCGCCATTCTTGATTTCCAGGTCCAAAAGGACGTTCCAAAGATCAACACGCTTAGGGAAAGATGAGAGAAGGCCTTCGAATACGGTGCGACCACGTTCAACGTCACCGTTCGGAGAGCGGAATTCGAGCTGTGCAAATTTGGATGTCGTTTCAACGTGGGTGTGGGAGGGGAGGGATTGGAGGGCTCGAGAGAGTAGGCCACGTCCGCGATCGGGGGCAGCCATGGTATCATATAGGAAAGTGGCGTAGTTGATAAAAAACTTGGGAGAGGATGGGAAGACCTTCTTCTTGAGGGCAGTTCGGAAGAGATCGTCTGCTTTCTGTTGTTGGTTTATTAGTGTCTGCTTCGAACGTTTGGCGATACTGAGCGGCAAACTTACCTCGTTTTTGCCCGACTGGATGTAGATGCTCGTCAAGCGTTCATAGATTTCCTGCGTGTCGTTGTATTGGCAAGCACGCTTGAACACATCTTCCAAGGAGTCATCATCGCCATACGTGTTCTCCAAGTTGAGCATAGCAACCCAAATATTGAGCTTCTCGGTATCTTGGCCAATGGTAATGGTACGAAGAGCACGTTCGGCGATTTCTCTGGCCTTGTCGACTTCACCCAACTCCAGTTGGAAAGCCATGTATTGCAGCCAAAGCAAGGAAGAGTCAGGTTCACCAAGCAAGAGTCGTTCGTAGTCTGCAATCGACTGTGGCCCATTAGCATCAAGCTCCCCAGTACGATCAACTTGGATCTCTGGCTTGCGATGCTTCTTCTTCTTCTGTGGCGCCCTGTTCTCGTCAGAATCAGATCGCATATCCTCGTCTTCATCTTGCGCGTTGCCATTCCAATCAAACCCAAAGGCACCAAGGCCGCCCTGTCGAGTCCCTTTTGTGGGTTCGCCATCACTATCTTCCGAGCCGTCTTCACTCTCGCCTTCACTTTCACTCTCGTCGCCAAGATCAACTCCACCCATTGAAGCGTCACTGTCATTATCTTCGCTGTCGTCAAGCCCTTGGATGTCGGCACCGCCGTCAAGGCTGTCGAGACTAACCCCTTCAGATTCGTCATCCTCATCGCCACTGCTCTCATCTTCTGCATCGTCGAAATAGGAGGCCTTCAATCCAAAAGAGATCTTTCCCTGGTCACGGTCGACCTTGAGAACCTTTGCTTTGACAACATCCCCTTCATCATACAAAGTCCTGGCGTCTTCCACGCGGTTATCCGCCATTTCGGTGCGGTGGCAAAGTCCGCTAACATTAGACGAACCATCAATAACGATGAACGCACCAAACTGCTCAACCTTACGCACTTTGCCAGTGACAACTTGGCCGGGCTTGAGGTCGTGAAGTGTGACCGGGGCCTTGTAGTTTGGATCAAGAACAGAGTTCTTTAAACTGATCTGGAGCTTTTTCTGCTCCGGGTCAACGACGGTGACTCGGCCTTTGACCAACTGGCCAACCTGGAACGAGTCTTTCCACTCCTTAAGGTACGAGTCGGAGAGATCGGAAATCCTAACAAAGGCTGCAAGGTCATGGCCGACAGTCACGAAAAGTCCTCCATCAGTAACACGACGCACGAAACCGCGAATAATATCATTGACCCCTATCTGCTTCATGGAAGTGAATTCCGGGTCTTGAACAGGAAGGGAAGAGCTCAGCACCTTCGATGGTCGTAAGGAGAGATAAATCTTCCGGTTGGCCTTGTCTACACCAGTGACACATGAACGGACGACCTCGTTCTTCTGATAGGTATTTGGATCAGCCTTTGAGAAGTCGTCCGCCAAGTCGATCAATTCAACAGCGCCAACTAATGAGTTGTTGAGTTGCATGAGGACTTGTTTTTCGGTAACCTTCGTCACCCTAGTAGGCAAAATCATGCCAACGGACAGGTCGTCAATTGTGATGCTATCAGACCCTTCCTTCGCTGAGAGATCAATGTGGCCCTTCGCAGCGTCGACCGCAGTCACATGGAACTTCAAAGCACATCCAATCGGGAATTGTTTTTGAATATTCGCAAGGAGGGAGAGGTCGTCAGACGCATCAACGAACCGCAACCTTCCACGGACATTGGGCGATAGACTGACCCAAAAGAAGTCGCTACCGATGTTATTGACGAATCCAAAAGATGACGAACCAGCCTGCACTTGCTCAATGGTCAAGGGCGCAGCGTTATCTGCCTTGACAAACCGAGGCTTCATGGAGAGTTCGTAGACGTGGAATTTTCCGGTGCGGTGGCTGATGGGTAGGAAGGTGTAACTGCGAGCATCATGCATACCAAGAACCTTTGCCGTCACGACCTGTCCGGGGCGGAACTTATTTAAAGGTTGTTTTTTGTTTTCAATGTCTTCCCATTTGTCAAACACCTCGGAGATATCTATCCGACCTTGAACATTATCGGCAAGCTTGACATTGATCTGGGTCCCCTTGACCGAATTGATCTTGCACTTCAAAACACGGCCGACGGTTATATCAGACTTGCTCTTTAAGCTCCCATCAATGGGTTCGACGAGAGACTCATCGCCAGCAGCTGCTGACTCCTTTGCGGATTTCTTCCCTTCTTTTGTGGACCGCTCCTTTAGACCAGCATGCGTCGCCTCCGAAGGATCCATGCTCAAAATGAAGCGCCGGAAATCAGTATCAAGAGAGTGAATTGTCGCAGACACCACCTGGAAGTTAGTTTTGTCAAAAGCAGGCTTGTCTACATCCGGTCCAATAAGCCGTTTCGGAACAAGGCCAATAAGTCCACCGAGGAATTGCACGAAAAGGCCAGTAGACGTAATGTTTCTGATGAAACCTGTTATTTCAGAGCCTTCCTGAAGCTCTTCGAATGTGCTCGGCATTTTCCCTTGCTTGGTAGCCTTCTTAAGGCTTGCTCGACTCGTCACATGAATGAGGCGATGGGCACGGTGGATATCAAGGACAACAAGCTCGTTAAGCTTCTGTCCCACTCGGACCTTGGATAGAGTCGAGGCCCGTTTGGAAGTAGATCCGTCCGCAATCTGATCCACGCTCAATCGAGCCACGAGTCCGCCGAGATCATCCAACTTTAGGAGCACATAATCGTCGGACTTTTCAAAGACAGTTCCAGTGACAGACTGGCCAGGACGGATAGTTTCAAATGCCGTGCGGTAACCTTCAGCAAGGGATGATGGGTCTCTACAAGACACAGAAAGCTTCTCCTGAGAGGCGTCGACGTTCAATGCATGCACATTGACGACTTGGCCGAGTTTAAAGTGTTGGGAAGGGTCCTTGATATAAGCCTCGCTCATTTCCGATACGGAAAGCCAGCCGCGGATTGAACCGTAAAATTGAACCACGGCACCATTAGGCAAGATATTGACAATGGTTCCCGGGGACTGAGAGCCGGGGAGTATGTCTCGGTAGTCTTTCCAAACGGCAGCTTCGCTATTCAGGAGACTCTTTTTCAAAGTCAAACGGACTTCACGCTTCTCGAGGTTAACTGATAAGACTCTTGCTGTGATTGTGGCATTCTCTCGAAATTTCTTTTCGGGGAACTGTAAGCGCGTATCTGCAAAGTGCACCGCTGGGATGAACCCCGTTATACCGTCGGTTAGAGAAACAATCAGGCCAGTGACTCCGGATTCTCCAACCAGAACCTTAGTTATATTTACTTTGACAACTGCACCAAGGGTGACATCCTCTAGACGAAAGAAGGGTTGGTCAATAACCTTTCTCTCGAAAGAAAGTGAGTAGAGGTTATCAATAGCGCTATATCCAACAACCCTCGCCTCGTGAGTGGTGCCTGTTCTGAAGGGGCCATGATCGGAAGAAATCGTTTCGACCTGCCCATCTGCTAGTCTTGAAACATGGACAAATCCCATATGCTTCGTGGATCCAATTTGGACGTACACACCAAGGCCTGGATCTACATTCACAATGGTAGCCTCCGGTATCACGGCAGAGATTCCAGGAGCATCATCAGAGGAATTGGGGCCATGGCCCTCAGTTGTGAATTTTTGAACGTGGTCGAGCATTGAGAAACCAATTTTGTAGGGCTCCGATCCAGGGAACGTGCATGATATACGGCCCTTGATCTTAGCACCGTTGTGATACTTTTTCGTCAAGTCCGTTTTCCCTGTTGCGCCACCAGAGTGCACCAAATCCACGGTAGTGTCCAACATTCCCATTATTTTCCCAATCATTCCTGTTGAGGATACATCGGTGAGAAGAATTTCCGCCGCAGCACCCGGAACAAAAGAGCTGATGGTAGGCGCCACACTAAGGAAATGGGACTTTTTGATCGACCCGGAAGATTGGAGGTTGGCGGACAGTTTGACCACATTACCACTAGCGTTTTGACCAGTGACCATGCACAGGAAGACGGAACCTTCCTTGGTGGTAGAATAGTCCGTTTTGGGGTCAATCTCTTTTGATGACATGAATCCTTTGACATCAGATCCCTCAATACCTAGGTCCATGACCATACCATGATCTTCTATACTCGCAACAGACGCTTGAACAGCAGTGTTGACGACAATATCTGTTTTTTGAAGGCCGGTGTTCGCTGACCTTGGGTCGATTGAGAGTTCGATGCGCCTCTTGCTCTTTGAACTGGCGTCGGCCGATTTATTTCCAACTGATACGACGTAGGTTCGCAGATACTGACCCAGATAGAAATAATCCTTCAAGTCGAAATCCTCATCGTCTGAGTTCTGTCCCTCCTCCTCCTCTAACATCTTTTCAATTTTGTTTTCGAGCGTCTTCGACACGGCGGTCAAAGGGACGTAACCGGTCAGGTTGTTTGGGAGTGAAAGCCCAATGTTGTGGGCATTTATGCTTGATACTTGCCCTAGAATGAGGGCCCCCGGTACCAGACGCTGATTGCATTAGTGAATGGGCAACATAAATTAACTATGAAGGAATGAGCTATACCTTGAAGCTTAAGCCTTCAATCTTCACACCCTGCTTCTCACGCTTATCCTTTTTCGCATCTTTCTTGCCTTTGCCCTTTGGCTTTTGGGATTTCTTGGAGGGAGCTGTCTCGTTCTCCTCGTCTGCGTCTTCCATATCTGTATCATCCTCGAATCCATCGTCGAGTCCTTTAGAAGGCTTCTTGGAACCACCGCTCTTTTGCTCGAAGAGAACATCCTTTGTCGCTTTTATATGAATTTGTTTTCGTTCAAGTGGTGTCAAGACACTTCCGCCACCACGAGGAAAGGAGGGCTCGTCGTCTCGCACGACTGTGAGCTCAGAAGCTTTCGGCGCAGAGTCGGCGGACAAAAGGTTCTTGCCCTCTTTCTTGCGCTCTTCAGTGCCCACGCGCACACGTTTCTGAGGGTTACGGGCAGAAACATCCTCTGGGGCATTCCCCTTGCGCTTGATGGGAGCCATTTTCCGGAATGAATGAAAGCGCGCAAGCTCTCACTCTGAATTCTAGAAAATGTCTTTCCGTTCTAAGAAATTTTATCTTTTTTTCCCGCAGGCTGCGGCAGAAACCGACCGCCTGCGATGTATGGACCCATTTTCAGTTAAAGTGGTTTGTTGTATCACGTGACCATTTCCGCGTCACGAGTCACGAAACGCGCTGCGTGCCTGTTCGGTTTTCCCTGTTGCCCGCGACGTGAACATTGCTGGTGGATTCTCAGCTCCACCATGCCTCAATCCCTCCAGTCCAACTGAGCTTTCGTTTTCTCTTGCTTGCTCATGTAGAATGTCACTGTATGTTTATTTTTTTCATGGGACACAATGACTCGCAGTCATGATCTCCCCGAGGTACCACGATCCGAGCCCATCTTCTGCTCGCCATCCCAGGAAATCCCTTCTTCTCCGCCCTCAATAGCCTCCGATGCTGGGTTACGCCGCAAGCCCAAGAAGCCTCCGCCAGTTACTCCTCGATCCTTCAGGAGATTCTTCACTCCTCGTTCGTTGCAGGACAGTGGGAGCCTTGGAAATGGTGTCAGGACCAGTCGCCAGGCCCTCATGGCGCTCAGCTCACCGGCGGTCAATCGCCTGGGTCCTGCTTTTACGAGGACATTGAAGGCTGCTATGAGCAAACCCGAACCTACAGATATTATGCGAACGCCGAGCAAGAAACGCAAACTTTCGTTTTCCTCCATTGGATCTCCTCTTCAATCGTCACCCATACGCAAGGTTCGTGTTCGTGACTTGATCGAAGACGACGAAGAGGTCCCGGTCCCGGTGAAGGACATCAAGATCCCCGGCGGAAAGGTCAACGAAGATGAACCGGCGCCGCCTACGAAAACCTCACTCAAGGTCTCTCCTGTTCGTCGATCTAAGGCTTTGCAAACTTCTGGAGCTCTATTTATGCGCAGTGTCTTGGGGAATCGAGCCAATCGAATGACAATGCGAGCAAATTCCGGCGCTGGTTTGTAACCGTCTACTATAGTCTCGTCTGCCATTTTCTTACCATACTCTAGGCTGGCAAGATTTGACATCGACTTTCTACTCCCGCCCTGAAGATAGTCATGCCTGTACAAGCTCGTCAGGCGATCGTCTTGCGCTCCCATTTTGCACAGCAGCATGCAACAGTATGTCAAGAACCCACATTGTGGTCGATTTTACTAATCGTTTATGTAGCCAATACACTTGTTGCCGTTGGGGACGAAGAAGGTGGCATTCGGTTGCTAGATTCAGCGAGGAACGATAAAGTCGGCTTCTCGAAAGCATATCTTACATTTCGCCCGCACGCCAACGCCATTATGGACATGGATTTCTCGTCTGATGATATGTTACTAGCAACTGCTTCGGGTGATCAAACTGCCATCGTCATTGACATGGCCACACAAAAGCCTGTGTACTGCTTGTCCAACCATGTTTCGTCACTGAAGCAAGTCAAGTTTCAGCCAGCTGCAAACAATAAAGTTCTTGCGACTTGTAGCCGTGATGGGAATGTTAATGTTTGGGATCTGCGCTGTAAGGGTTTTGAGAAACCTTCTCTACAGGTTCAGTGTTCTCTGGAATCCGAATCTGAACTCAATCCCGCCCTTTCCTCCAAGATGACCTATCCACAAGTATTAAACACTGTCCACGGTGCCCACGCTTGGATGCCTCAAATAATGAACCCTGAGAAAGCGGAAGCTCAGGTGGCTCGTTCGGATATCACGGTAACTTCACTTGCATTTCTCCCACCTGGCCGTGAAAATCTCTTCGTCACCGCATCTGAAGCCAATGCTTGCGTCCGGCTATGGGATCTACGCACCGCACACAGTAATCGTCGCGGCCGCCCTGCTCTTCCACTGTCCACAACCAAAGAACCGGATAGCCATATCAAATACCGCCGGTTTGGTGTCACTTCTATGACACTGGGTGGCGATGGGTCACGACTATATTCGCTTTGCCGGGACGGAACAGTATATGCATACTCCACTTCCCACCTGGTCCTTGGTCATGCTCCTGAGCTCTCATTAAACAATATCCGTCCACGACGTTCGGGTGGATCTGATAAAAACGGCCTTGGGCCACTATACGGCTTCCGTCACCCTCGTTTACGGGTTTCCTCGTTCTATGTTAAGCTTGGTGTTCGGAAGGCCGTTGGTGACAAGCCAGAGATGCTGGCAGTTGGGAGCGGCGAGCCTTGTCCTGTCATATTTCCCACCGACGAAAAATTTCTTGATCCTTCTACACAACAACAAACCGACCAGCTTGACCAACCACCCAGAACACCATCATTATCCACTCGCTCTGGTCTGCGCCGTACTAACTCGGGGATTGGACCATCTGCCCGTCTAGAAGACATGGTCCCGATCTACCAGGCTGGTACACCATTAATTGAAGGCCACAAAAAGGAGGTCTCCGGCGTGTCGTGGACCGTTGATGGTGAGCTTATCACCGTAAGCGACGATTACAGCGCTAGATGCTGGCGCGAGGGCCCTGAAGCAAGAGACCTACGAGCAGGGGGGGAGACCGAGGGTCGCAGATGGAGATGCGGCTGGGCAGACACGAAAGACTCTTACGAAGACGAAGACGAATGATTCTTGAATACAATCCTTCATCATGTTGCGTTTGCCCCTGTTTGCTATGCATTTGTTGTGGTCATGGTTTTGTCTGTTCTCCATTGCGAGCATTTCCGGCGTTGAAGACATATCGGTGTTTTTTGTTTAGCGAGTGTTTAATGAGTTTTTTTGTTTTTTTTTTTTTTTTTTAAGAGGGCCTGCACCGCAATCATCATTTTTCTAGCGGCTACTTTGAATAGACCAGTGCGTCTGCATATGAGCAAACAAATCTAACCACACTACTAATTGACTGAGAAGCATCGTATCCATAATGGCCTCTGTTATACCTGAACCAGACCATGGTATGTCACCAGATTTGAGAAGTCTGGAGGTATCGGCGTCAAAATAGATTCATATACTAGGTACTAAGATCTTATTATACTTTTTGTCTAAATGCCGTACAGGACAGGAAGATCTCACATCCAAGGTAGCCCTTAGTGACCGTGTCCATCATCCTCCTTGCGTTCGGGGTCCAGTTTGATCATAGTATCAATGCGCATAATGGCAATACAAGCCTCAACAGCACTCTTGAGCTGCTTGAGCTTACCCATGCTCGGCTCCAAAACACCAGCCTTGAGGCAGTCGTGAACACGGCCCTTTGCCAAGTCGAGGCCGTAGTTGCGGTACTCCTTCTTCTTAGCAACGGCCTTCTCTTTCTCGTTGGCCTCTCCTTCCTGGACACGCTGGGATACGGCGTGTCTCTTGCGGAGTTGAGCAACGAGCTCGGAAGAGTCTTTCGCTGCGTTGACGGCTAGGGTCTTGGGAACAACAAGGAGAGATTGGGCAAATTCGCCAATGGCCAGTTGCTCACGGGAGCCCTGTGATAATGTTAGAAGGTGGAGCAAACAGTGAGAGAATTGTACATACCACTGTGACGGCAAACTCTTCAAGATACATGTGAAGAGCCGTCTCAACGGCACCACCTCCTGGGACGATGCTACCACTCTCCAAGGTTCGCTTGACTGCGCAGAGAGAGTCGTGAACTGAACGCTCCATCTCATCAAGACTGAAATCATTGGGTCCTCGCAAGATGATGGACGCTGAAGTGTGGACCTTTGTACCCTTAATGAGGATACACTCGTCGTCGGATATCCGATCCTGCACAACCTCATCTGCGTGGCCCAGGGACGAGGCCTCAAATTTCTCATCGCCATTTAGGTCGGAGAGGGAGCTCACCAAAGTAGCTCCGGTGGCCTTGGCAATTCGTCTCAAGTCCTCCTTCTTGCATCGTCGGACGGCCATAGCACCCTTCTCAACAAAGAGCTTGAGAACCATATCGTCAATACCCTTGGTGGTGAAGACAACGTTAGCCCCGGATTTGAGAATCTTCTCTACGCGCTCGATGACAATTCCGGATTCCCTCTCACGAATCTTCTCCAGCTGATCGGGATCTTCGACTGTGATCTGAACTCCAAGCTTCATTCTCTCCTTTTGTAGGTTCATATCGAGACAGGCAATCTTTGCGTCCGTTATCCGAGTCTTCATAGCCTGGGAAGCAACGGTACAGTTGAGAGCATAGCCGTTGACGAGAACCGACTCGGTCCCACTTTTTCCATGAGCTTTTAGAAGGTTCACTGCCTTGACTGGATATTTGACCTCGTTTTTCTGGTTTGTTGTCTTCACCAACAGCATCGCATCGACGACCAAGTTCGCAAAGAAATCGGCATCGGCACCAATGATCTTGCTAGACATGGACGTTTTGGCAATGCTAACCAAGCTATCTTTTCCGAGGTTATCAACTTTCGTGGCAATGTTCTCGTTCATATATTTCACGGCCTCCCGAAGTGCAAGCCTGTACCCATTAATGATGGTTGTGGGGTGAATGCGGTTCTTCATCAATTCATTGGCTCGGCGGAGAAGTTCTGCGGCGATGAGGACGACGGAAGTAGTACCATCTCCGACCTAGATTTAATATCAGTAAATGTACTATGATGTAGCTGAGTGTGGGCGGAGGGGTAGAACACACCTCCCTATCCTGTTGCTGGGCCAAGTCCACAAGAATTTTACCAGCAGGATGTTCAATATCTAACAGACCCAAGATAGTAGCTCCATCATTTGTAACCGTGACATCCTAGGATTTGTCAGTACAATACCCAAAAGTCGCGGGGTTAAGCGGCGTACACCAATATCGTCGACCATCATCTTGTCCAAGCCCGAGGGGCCAAACGAACTCTTGACCACATTTGCAATCGCCTGTGTCGCCAGAACTAAATTTTGTCAGGCCTCGCAATAGAATAGGATAATACAACGCGAATTTCGACTCGACATACCGCACTGGTCTCGAACATCGGCACCTGTGATTTTCTGGCCTCCCAGGACTGTGTGGTTTGGTTAGTTTGAGCGGGGAAACGGGGTGTTTTTTTCAATGGGGGGGGAAGAGAACGCACAGAGAGTGTCCGCATTCCGCGGGGCTTCAAAAATTCCAGCCATTTTACTTCAGATGCTGTGTGAGCGAATGTCAAAAGCTCCGACAGCTGCTGGGAGGTTCATGCACAATGGACCATGGTGCTCCCACTAGGTAAAAGTTCTGCCGGTGCGCTCGGGCGGTGTACCAATATTTCATCCCACTTTGCCTGGTGACTCAAGTTTCCCCGACTCAGGAACCCCAAGTCATTGCCTCTGTTCTTCTTCGGATTTCCCTTCCTGGTTGACTCTTCAGGTCTCGATAAGGTCTTAACTAAAATGGCCAGCCAAGCCCCTGCCGACATCGCGGGTGCCACTCAAAATTTGCCTGACCGCACCCAGAACCCCGCTGGGGAGGCCGCTCAGGCAGATGTTTCGAAGAATGCCGCAAAGAAGGCTGCCAAACAAGCCGAGATGGCTGCTAAGAAGGCTGAGAAGGCTGCGAAGGCCGGAAAGTCTGATAAGGGCCAGAAGGGCGCTGGAAAGGGACCGAAAGCAAACCCCGATAAGGCTTTGATTGGTATTGATGTTGGCAAGGACGAGGACTTCCCCGACTGGTATCAACAAGTCCTCACAAAGGGTGATATGCTCGACTACTACGACGTCTCTGGCTGTTATATCCTAAAGGTGAGAATTGTTTAACCTATATCAAATAGTTCTTCGCTGATAACTGCTAGCCTGCCTCATATAGTATCTGGGAGGAGATTCAACAATGGTTCAATGTGCGTATCAAGAAGATTGGCGTCAAGAACTGTTCTTTTCCTCTTTTTGTTTCTGAGGATGTTCTTCAAAGAGAGAAGGACCACATTGAGGGTTTCGCGGCTGAGGTGGCTTGGGTGACTCATGCGTATGGAATGACCCCTGTTTCCTTCGATTGACAGTCATACTAACCATATATTTTCTGCATCAGTGGCTCAACCCCTCTCGAGAAGAAGATTGCGATTCGCCCCACTTCCGAAACTGTCATGTACCCTTACTACGCCAAATGGATCCGGAGTCACCGTGACCTGCCTCTCAGGCTAAACCAGTGGAACTCGGTCGTTCGGTGGGAGTTCAAGCATCCCCAGCCGTTCCTTAGAACTCGGGAGTTCTTGTGGCAGGAGGGACACACGGCGCATCTTACTGAAGAGGGCTCTCGCGAGGAGGTTCTGCATATCCTTGATCTCTATGCGCAAATCTATGAGGAACTTCTGGCTGTTCCGGTCGTCAAGGGTCAGAAGACTGAGAAGGAGAAGTTCGCGGGTGGTCTCTACACTACCACTGTTGAAGGATATATTCCTGCTACGGGTCGCGGTATTCAGGGCGGTACTTCCCACGGTCTGGGCCAGAACTTCAGCAAGATGTTCGGCATCACTGTTGAGGACCCTTCAGTTAAAGGCGATGAGAAGAAGCCTCACCTCCACGTTTGGCAGAACTCTTGGGGTCTGTCGACTCGTACCCTTGGTGTTATGGTCATGATCCACAGTGATAACAATGGCTTGGTTCTTCCTCCTCGTGTTGCTGAGACCCAGACTGTTGTTATCCCTGTCGGTATCACCGCCAAGCTTAGTGAAGAGGACCGTGCCAAGTTGTACGCTGAAGTGGATAAGCTTGTCGATACTCTCACTGATGCCGGTGTCCGCGCCACTAGCGACAAGCGCGAGGGATACTCTCCTGGCTGGAAGTTCAACGAGTGGGAACTCCGTGGTGTCCCTCTGCGTATTGAGTTCGGCCCTGGAGAGTCCGCGGGCAACTTTGTCACTACTGCTCGTCGTGACGTCCCAGGCAAAGACGGCAAGGGAACCATCGCCATCCCTGAACTGTCGACTGCCGTCCCTGCTCTACTTGAAACAATCCAGAGTGATATGTACAAGCGTGCAGACGATCAGTACCGCACTCACAGGAAGCTTATCACCAACTGGGACGAATTCACTCCAGCCCTTAACGACAAGAACATCTGCATTATCCCCCACTGTTTGACAGAAGAGTGTGAAGATCAGATCAAGGATATGAGCGCACGCAAGGCGGAGGAGGACTCTGGTGAGGCCCAGGACTCTCGGGCTCCAAGCATGGGTGCCAAATCCCTTTGCATTCCCTTCGAGCAGCCCGAGGGCATTGTCCCTGGCGAGACAAAGTGCACCAACCCTAAGTGTACCCGACTTGCCGAGAAATGGTGCATGTTTGGCCGTAAGTTCTTTTCTCCACCACGGCCATTGGTCCTAAAAAGTCTCCAAATGCTAATTAATCACTCTTATAGGTTCCTACTAAGCACCCCAACCCACTCACCAAGAAATTTACAGGGCCGTTTCTCCCTGATAGACAACATTTTTCACCTCCGCCATTTCCGTGGCTTCCACGAACGACTCATTACGACTCTAACGTCACTCTATTACCGTCACGAGCATTTTTTTCCATTTTTATTTTTGCTTCGATAACGGTAATGGTTTGGTTTTTACGAAGGTGTAGAAAAATCATGTAGGGGAGGGCAGGGGAGCTGGCGCAGTTCGGTTGTTAGGCGGGCATTATTGGCAATTGGAATTGCGTCGCATTTTCGGGTTAATATTCATTCGATTCGGATACCTTAGCTATGATTATGGATTTACCTAGGAGTCTGCTTTAGGGTATGTAGTAGCGAATGTTAAACCCTCATATTTATTACTCTTTCCCTCTATCAAGAACATCACAGTTGGTATATATATATATATATCCGGCTTGTCTAGTTCGTATTGCCATACGAAACCAAGGCAAAATAAAATAAAATCCATATGCGAGTTTATTCATAATCATTTGGCAGTTATAAAATAGTAACAATGTATGCAGTTCCGAGTGTCCTATGTGAACCCTAATGCAAGACATATAGTGACCTACATCGAATGCAGATGGATATAGTACAGATAAGCCAACCAGACCACAGGGAATATTCTTTCCAAGCAACCCCAAAAAAGGGATGATTTAGTGAGAGAAGTACAAGAAAAATGCTTATGCTAATAAGGAATAGAGCAAGGAAACTAAATGAAAGGATTGGTCCTTTTCCAAATAGGTAGGTCGATATGTGAATAGACAGATAAGAAGAATCAGATAGTAGGCTCGGCCACCAGTAGCTTGTTGCGTTTAAGTCATGGATGTAATAAAACAGGGACGAGAAGAAGAGTAGAGTAGTGTGAGGTGTGACAAGGCCTCGTGCGTTTCAGAGTCGTATAAGGATATGTAATGAATGGGCTAATAAGAAGCAACCGACTGCTCACTTGTCGTACGGTTCTTCGCAAAAGTACTTCGCAGACTTAAACTGCGGCTTGACTTCCTCGGCCAGCTCATCAACCGATAAGCATTTCGAGGCGTCGTGTTCTCCGCGGTATAGGTCACGTTGTTCTCATCGACACCTTGGATCTGGACCTGCGGGATCCCACTGATGCTGGGGAGATGGATGATGTCCGAGTCACCGTCATCATCAGCAAAGCCCACATTGCCTTCGTTGGAAGGGCCAGTTTGAGCGCGCATGTAGAGAACAGAGGGGGTCGCGGAGTGAGGGCTCCTTCCGGTATTTACGGAAGAGGTTCTCTTCCGCTTGGCCACGCCTGAGTTCTCAGACCGCAGTAGCAGGTCCATGTATGTGACTGAGTTATCAGGGTGGCTCGGATGTTGCGGGATCAAGGTGTCGAAGAACCCAGGAGAGGGAGGTGGAGCGTCGGTGTGCCGTCGTCGGCTGGGGGCGCCGGAGTCCCCGAGGGCAGTGTTAAGCGGAACACTTGTGGAGATACTCTTGTGTGTATCTGACTCACGTTGGTGCTTTTTGCTGAAGGAGCTCATGCGACGCCGTCTTTGTCCATCTTTGAGGGCGATTGGTTTCGGCGGAGTTGCACTCTGGTCGAATGATTCCTCTGAGGGCGAAGGAGTGAATGGTGGGCCTTGGTCAGGAACAGGGACCCTCTGAAAAGCCTCATGGGAATTGATCTCGCGAATAATTGCATCCTGAAGAGTTTCAAATGTCGGGTGCGGTGTAAATGCCTGTGTTGAGGTGTATGCCTTGCGGAACATATCCATTATCTCGGCTACTTTTTTATTCGAGCTTGGTAACGGGGATTGTGTTGGAGTTGCAAGGGGTGCTGGGCTGTTCATGATTTCTGCGATGCTGGGGTTCTTCTTCCCGTCAAGAGTGCTGGGAGTTGGGGGTTGGATGGCTCTGTGAGTGATCTTCTTAGGTCTTCCTCGAGCGGCCAACTCGGTGTTGATGGAGAGATCCAAAATATTCTTTTTCGAGCTCTTTCGACGTGCCATTGGGGGCCGCACATCTTTGGGAGTGCTTGGCAAACGCGGACTAGAAGTAGTAGTGGCAGGTGAGTTTCGTGTCTTCTTGTCATTTGAGCTCCTTTTGACATATGTGGCCGTGGGTAATGTTGGACTGTCCGGCAAAGGGGTGTTGGTCCAAGAACCCCCTTGTTTATGGGCAGGGGGAACACCTAGATGTGGCGAGACACGTTCTTCTGACAGATTCTCCTGCTCGGACATCACGGTTGGAGCCGACCTCTGTGTTCGCAATGCTGCAGCGCTTGATTCGTTTCCGTCGGCAACCACCTGATCTCGAAAAGATTTTGGAACAGAATACAGAGCTTCTTGTGAGATTGAATTGACAAGCTGGGTTTCGTTAGATATCGAACGGGAACGACCTCTAGTCTCATCTCCCTGACATTGGAAGTCCATCTGCTGGGAACGACTCGTGGTGAGTCGGGGTCGACTAGTGCTGCGAGAAAGTGAGCGGCTCCTCCTTCTGTTCTGAGAAATATTCCGATCTGCCACATCCTCCTGATATAGAGCAGATATAATTCGGGAATAGGCATTTCGTTTCCGTCCATTGCGCGGCCGAAGAAATGGCACCATGTTACGCTCAGCAACGTCCTCATTATAGGGAGTTATCGGAGACGCAGTCGTCGCGCGAGGCGTTACGCCGGGAGACTGCTTCTGGTACCGATGGCCCGAGAAAAGAGCATCGAGAAGGTCGACATGCCGAGGATTCCTGGGCGTGAGGCGACTAGAAGCACGGGCGAGTGGGATGTGCGAAGGGCGTGCTTTCAGCTCATCATGCAACACCTCAAACTGCCTCTCAATATTCTGAAAATGCTCATTCTCGCTCAATTCTGGAGACGCAGCGTTGGAGGCGTGGGAAAGAGGGCTCTGTGTTTGGGATTCTCGATCCCCCGAAGCTGGGGTTGACGGCGTCTTCTCCGCATGGAAGAAGCGCCTTAGGGCAACCATACTTGGTCAGTGCGCAGTGGTGTGTAAATGAAGAATGAGCAACGAATGGAGCTCACACCGTCCGTGAAATAAACGTCCGGCTGTTATTGATCGAAAAGAGGGCGGGGCCGTTTCGTAATGAGTGTGATTAAGCCGTCATAGTAGAAGAAAGAGAGCAAGAGAATGACGGGCCCGGCTCACAGCATTTCGTCCCTGGGCGCCGTCGAAGGTGTCAAAGTCCGCCAGAACGCTGAAGCTGAGAAGAGGTCGAAGGTCGAGGCCATGCAGGAGGAGGAGGAGAGAAAAGAAAAGCAGCGCCCACGGGCAGGCAAGGCAGGAAGAAGAACCGGAAGTGGAAGGCTATGGGGTTTGCAGATCACACGAAATAATTCTCGATCAGGGGGACTACAGGCACTAAGAACTTAAGAAGTGGTCCAGGTCTCCATCTCTTCCCAGACCACCGGCGCTGCCATGGATGGGGCAGCGGTCGCGAATCGGAAGAGGGCGACGCAGAGTTTGAGCACGCGCTCGAGAGCTGGATTGCTTTCTCAGTTTCTCTGGCCCCCCGTCCGGTTTTCGGGCCTGAGTCTTGACTCTTTTGAGCCGACTCAGCAAGTCAAGCCTGCGGAAAATTGGAGAACGTGCGCTAACGTCTGGATTCTTCATGCAGGTTGGGCCCTTCGCCCCAGTGACAGGTCGGCAGTAGGCGCAATCGTCGTCGTCGTCGTCACAGCTGTCGCAGGCCCTGGAATTTGGATCTACAGTCACTCTACCTTAACAGTGTGAATAATTGCAGCTCTGGTGGCAGAGTCCGGCACAGCTCCCTCTGCACGGCTCGTTCGCCGAGACAACACGCGGTCGAACAAACGAAGCCGGGGGTCCTAATTAGAAGCAAAAAGCAAAACGGAATTTGGAATGGCCAAAAGCAAACAAAGACATGAGCCCACTGCCAAATTTCGAGACAGTCCAGGCACAAACCAAGATGGGGGCGATCGTCGCCTCCAAATCAACCGCGCCCTCTTTTGACGGCTGCCTCTCCGTCCCCCATCCTATCGGAGCTGCCCACTCCAGCTCTGCTCACTTGGCGAAGTTGGCTTACACTGGCAGTCACAGACCCAAAGGAAGATGTCAGGGCGAGCCAGGAACCGGCCGTGCTATAATAGGTTCCCGCTCCCGCCCCATTCGCGAAAATCGCACTAAATCTGGCTTGCCTTGAAGTAGATCCCAAAAACTGAAACACCGACTCGTGAAAGCACGAATCTTGATCCCACTCGTTCGATCGTATCTGCTCGTCGAGTTTACGCTTTGTTTGAATCGATCGATCGATATGAGATCTATCGAATATGCACAGCTCCTCTCGAAGCCTTTGTTATTGAACATTGAGCATCCCTCTGCAGACTGCAGACCTCCCTCATCATCCCTCGCGTTTCTCCCCACTACATACTGATTGCAAGGGGCAAACATGCACGGGGTCAGACTATGCAGCCATCGTCAAAATCAGCGCTGGGTTAACCACGTCGCCGCCTTCATCTCGTGCAGCGAGTCAAATCCTCTCGAGCTGGACTTGGGAATCAGCTGCCCCTTTGAGAAGCTGTTGCGCGATGGTAACATGTCGCTTCGGCGGTTCGCGACGATCAAACACTGCCCTCGTGCCTGGCTCTCGACTCGAGCCGAGGACCTGAAAGATGGAATACTCAAAACTCGAAGCTCCCATTTTTGCGTGGCTTCAAACTCCTGAACCAACACTCTTGAGCCCAGCAAAAATAGAAAGCTGCCTGCAAGGACGGATACGGAGTATTAGTCCCAAAATGTTCCCAATTATTCCTGAATCTAGCTTCGCCCGAGGTCTATAAAGCCGCGCATCCTTTCCGGAATGGGCGAAAGTATCCGCGATCTATTGACCGTTCAACAACTCCCTGGGTCGGCCCTCCCCCTGAGACTAACAGTCAATAGTCGCCCGGGAAATCAACTGCTAGCTGCCTGATGCACTTTTGACAGCGTTGACAGCTGCGACAGTTTCACAAGGTCAGGAGCACGGACGGTTTGACATCATGGGTTTATGGTACCAGTAGAAGAACCCTTCTGTCGAATGGGTGTCATCCAGGTACACAGAGAGGACATATTTGCAAGATTTAGGGCCCTATGAACGATAATGCCATCGTCGATGCGCTACTTAACAACCGGAATAGTCGAGACAATTTCAGACTTAGCCTCCTGGCTAGTTGGCCAGCGCTCGATCCGATAATCCGGCTGTGCATCTCCTGATCGCCTCGTATACTACGTACTATACTACTACTAGCTTAGTATTATTGACCACAAACTCAACACGCCTCAAGACCTGGAGTAAAACCGTCCACAAAGAAAGTCAATATTGAGCCTAGACACTAGCCGACAAAACGGCCATTATCCCGCTCGAACGCCAACTTCCAAGCTTGGCTATTCCGTTCGTGTCAAGAGCCAGGTTTTCCACCCCCAAGGAACTCGTCACCAACGCAATGCTGGATCCTTTTATTATCGTTGGCTGTGGGGCGAAAGGACCTGATTCGGTGATTGGTTAGTTCGAGTGTGATAGATCAGCTCATTCGGCCGCTTTGCCCGCTCTCACAGCTTCAGGCGCGAAGGATTTCCGCTCAGCGACCGTGCGATTCTTACCCGTGGCATTGTGGTTGTCAATCATAAACGAGCATTGCCCTGGAACCCATCATTGGCGGGAGGGGCCAAGACAGCACGTTGGACCTGCTTCGATCGACAAAAATTTCCGAGGGAACGGACAACACAAGAAGACGAGGACTTGGAGAAAAGGTATGGGACTGTAGACAATACTGGACACCGCATATGCGTTTGTTGACATGGAGCTGTGATACTTCTGAAATTCCCAATGATCCTGTAATCAACCCTGTTCATATGAGGAACTCGATCCTATCCATGTTCGGTTCGCATCTGTGCATATGCACCCCAGTCACAATAATATGGAGAACCGATCAGCCAAACCTCAACCGCCAACCCCAATCAATATCATCTCTCTTGCGAATCAACATCCATAACAGCCCTCTTCACCCGGCGTCCCAAACACGACGAACCATTGAAAAGACCTTAAGTATCTCCCATTTCCTCATCGTTCACAATCCCCACTCCACCATCCTCGTTCTCCTCATCAGCATCACCAAGCTGAGCACCCTTCCCCTTCGCCTTCACCTTCTTCCTCGCTGATCCCGCCTTCGGCGCCACCTTCCTCTTCTTCGATGGGGACGGGGTCATAGGCTCGGCCATGACTTCATCGCCATCCTCCTGCTCATCAGAACCAGCACCGGCGCTCAAATTGAGTTTACCGTCGACCAGACCACTCTCAATCTGCTTCTTCAGACGGCTGTAACGCATGCGGGCGGCAGGAACCTTGAGACCTGCTGCAGCGCCGACAGCTTCGTAGTTGATCTATAGTATAGGTGAGTGCTAGTGGTCATTTGATTCCATATGTGTGTATGCTTGGTAGAATGGAGTGGAGTGGCTGTGGGAGCTTGTCAGGCTACACTTGGCTTGGCTTACCTTGGTCATGTCGGAGTTAACCAAGCAGAGGTAGAGGAACATGAGTCCTGGGTCGGGAAGTGAAGCGGCAGGCATCGTTACGGTTTCGTTTTTCAGATGGTAGCTGTGTGGGAAAGTAAGGTGTGTTTGATGCTTGCTTCTCGAAGCTGGATGTAGAGAATAAAGTAGATGTAGTGTTGAGGTAAGTTTAGAGAATGAGGATAGGAACAAAAAGTCAACAAGTGAGATATCCTGTAGACAGCAGAAATGCCTGTGTTATCCAGAGAAAGGAAGAAGAGAAAGCAAGATAAAGAAGAACAGAATGGGTAAATCTTGTTGTTCAGTGATAATAGTAACACTGGCTGCGACATACGCCTGGAAACAAACACACATCTGTGTTTTCATATTCATCACTTATTTGACCCTTCACCATGGACTTGAGGGATATTGCAGGGCTCTCCTTGATGTCCTTCACCCTATCAATTATGTCTGTTGCTGTTGCAGCTTAGATTCAGATATCGGTTTAACAAACAGTTCTACTTCCTTCAAACAACCAATCTTACTAGTTTACCGGTAGAGTATACAAGAACTCTGGACTAACAATGTGTACTTTCCAACCAAAGGCACCTGCCAACAAACCAGCAAACCTATATCATAGAGGGCACAGGAATCCCTGGGCACCACTCTCTTTGCTTTCGCACTATGCTTCTTGGGCGACATGCCCCAGCAGAATGATAATGCTAGATTCAAACGACCAACTCCTGCCCACAGGTAACAACAGTATGGGAATTTAAATCTCCATCCTAATAAACGATAGGTAAATCAACATCATATCCACTATTCTGCAACATTTGGAGCTTAGCATTGATTGTATCACTGTCGGCAAGTTGATGGCCCTGCATGCACCCGCGCATTCATGCTATGATACCGGTGTTCAATTCTAGCAACGCATGAGATCTTGCCCATTGTTGGATTGGATTTGGTAGATTCCCTGGCTATAAGATGGTTGAACCCAGTCAGCTGTGATATTGCAAAACGGAAGAGGAATGATTACTGATGGTAGTTTCTTCTATATTTCTTTCGGTAGGGAGAGCTGATGAGTGCTAGACTTCAGCAACTTGTGATGCAACCGATTCGGTCCCGGAACTGCCCGCCGGCAAGTCTCACTTCTAGAATCCAGTAACGTTAGATAAGGAAAGAATAACTCATTTAGGACAGCATAGTGGCAACTTGAAGGCGAGTTTGGTTTGATTATGACTTGCCCGAAACAGAATGGAATCCGACGATATCATTTCAGTGATGTTTTGCTCGGACTGACAAAAGGCAGTTGCTGGGCTTATCAATATTAAGAGCTTCATCTGGAAAGTAAGGTTGATGTACGCGGAGAACTAAAGGTCTACTTCGTAATTGGAAATATAGTATTGTGCCCTTTGACCTGGATAGCCCCCACAAACAAGTTCAGCTGGAGGAAGCGATGACATATATAGACCAGTGCCCCTCTTCCCCGCAGCATTTCACCTTCATAATATGTGCCTGAACCTATAATATTTTCCTGACGCATCAAATCATTTCCTTGAATTTGCTCCAACACGTCCAATTCTTTCTCTGCTGTCCACAAACATATCTCATAGGAACCCCGGTATTGGCACGTCTATGATAGGCACACGCAAGTCTGACCAGCTCACCAACAAGATTATTATTCTATCTTCGATCAGATTTGCTAGTAACAAAGGAATATCAATTTTGACCTACGGCCAGAGGGTGCGTCCGCTGAAATTTGAGGCTCACCTAATGAACTGACCACCTATACTGAGAAAGCTTTTACATAGTTAATTTTGGATTCGAGCCAAGATGAAGGTCGCGATAGAACCTTATGATCCCACTTGGCCCTTGAAATTCAGCGAGATACAAGCCGAGCTTTCTGATATTCTCAGAAGTGTGGACATTATATCGATCGAGCACGTAGGAAGCACGACCATTCCTTCGCTCATGGCCAAACCCGTTCTTGACATCGATATTATAATCCCTAATTCTCCCCTTGAGGCTGCACGTAGTGCTCTCAAAGACGCAAATTATACTGACTGTGGCGAGATGAATGTCCCAGGTCGGTTTGCGTTCCGACAACCGGGGTATGGAAAGCTCGACGCGGCCCATGGGAAAGGCAGAAACGGGGAACTACGATATAACACCTACCTTATGATTCAAGGATGTGTAGCCTTGAGGAACCATCTCGATGCAAAGAGAGTATTGTTGGACAGCCAAGAGCTGCGCGAAGAATACGCGAGAGTAAAGACCAAGCTGAAAGAGACTGAATTCGAAAATATCGGCGAATATGCCTCTGGGAAAACAGATATCCTCTGCAAGATTTTGAGAACAGCCGGGTGGAGCGAGGAGGATTTAAATCCTGTGATTAAAGCCAATAGCTAAAGTATCATTTCCCATGTCTCTTTTAAAGCGAAGTTCTTTTACGCGCCTAAGCATTGTCCAAAGTTTCTGCATCCAAATAGTTTTCTTACCATCTAACAGCTTTCACGCCCTCGGCGTTCTGTCGACTCATCAGCGTTGACTAGATTGTATGACTGAAATTTAAAGATTATGAATGCTGCATTCAGGTGCATCCTCCATTTGAGAAGATTGGCTTTGTATCATATCATGAAGGTCTATAACTTCGGTAGTAGCTCTTAATGCTATATTGGGCGCATCATTCCAGCCAGCGTGGGTAATAAGTGTGCGAGGAAAAAGGAGTCTGGAGATGTGCCCATGAGAGCGGCCTTGTAAGTAAGGTATAGGAATCATTGAGATCAATAATATTCTTAAATGCGTAAAGGCATGACAGTTGTATTGCGTTACGTAGAATCCCCATTTGATAACCCAGCAAAACGCATGGCTGATTCCCGAACGGCTTCCGCGAGGACCGAGTGCGCTCCTCGCGCTGCATCCACAGCACCATCTATCAAAGTTTCGTGACTCAGGCCCTGGTCTACGGACCCAACCGCGGCCTTTGAATTGTCGCCCTTCAGCCAGAGCTCAGTGATTTCATCCCGCCCAGGCATATAAGCAACCACACAAGCCGATAATATTGATCGATGCTCTGCCGGATCCGTGTCAAGCATCAATTTTGGAGCAGAAGTGCTCCCATCGGCATATTCATCGGCAACAACAGCAGCCACACCTCCAGAGACAAGATCAAGGCAATCAATACGAGCATCAGAAATAGCCGCAGAAGCTGCCGTAATGCATCCAGCGAGAACATTCATCATTCCCCAAGCCGCATCATGGGAGTCGGGTGCGTCTGCCCACCACCGGTCATCCTCCGCTTCTAGGATCGTGATGGTGATATCGAGGCCACTTTTTGGCCACCTTTCTGCGACAATCACACCCCGGAGGGCGGTTTCTAAGTGTACGCCGAGATCACGTTCGCTGGCGTCGCGGATATGCCCTTTGCGCTTGCGGGCGGCGAATGGTGCGTATTTGACGTGAGTGGTGAGAACTATATTCGGAGAGAATGTTGCAGATCGAGGGAGTGGTTTAGGTCCATGGACTGTGCATGCTAGTTTTAGGGATGAAGAAGGTGGTATTAAGGATTTAGGTGATGTCCGCGCAGCGGAGAGAGATGCTGATGGTTCGAATTCGAGGTAGGAGGACCCAGATGCAGAAGGGATGAGACCGGTTTTAAGGACTAGATATAAATTGTAAGCTTAACCCAGGAAGGCAGAAAACATATATCCTTACAGATCTTTCGCAGCTCATTCGGCTGCCTTTGTCGTTGTGGCCGCTCTGCCTTAGTGGGCTCGATGGAAGAGGCGAAGACTGGAGGCCGAGTGCCGCCAGGCGGCCCATTGATTCTTCGTCTGTCAGTCATCACACATGCCTCAGTTCTCCTGTGGTTCCTTGAGCGACCGAATGCGATCGAAAAGAAATAGGTAGTATGAAGGCTCGAGAAAGCTGCCGTCGCAGCCAAAAGCGGAATCTACAATTTTGAGAGTGTTTGCACTGTTTGGACTGGTGGAGCCGGTGCTTAGCTCGTCTGCCCTCTTATTTTTTTCTTCCTCCCGCTTCGCTTTCTCTTCTTCTTCTTCCCACGCACAAGCACTCGAGCTCTCGACAGCTCGCCCTTCAAATGGTGGAAGGCAGCTTCTATTGCTTTGCTTCGTGATACAATCAACCGTCAATCTCTATTGCTAACCATAAAATGTGAGTCTTTCTCTTCTCCGAACCAACCACTTTCATGATGAAATCGATTCCAAAAATCGTAGTTCTGGCGACAAACAAATGGGCCATTGAACAAACATGCATCACCATCTGATCCACACCGTTCGAAGCTATACAGCCAACAGCTTTCTTGTTCTGGATGTCTTGCTGACGGCTTCAAAAGGTAGTTTAGGCGGCCCAAAACTGTCAACATTCCCGTCCTGCAATGGTAAGAGTTTTCACCTTTCTTTCTTTGCACCAATTCTTGCATGATGAGAAACATTTTTTTTCAGTTCTGCTTCTGCAAACATCTTGAAGAAAACAAAATACCTTACCAAATCTCCTGATGCATTTTCAATTTGCCCATGTTGTCACCAACAGAACTTATCCTGGTTTCTAGCAAGTGCTGACAAGCTTCAAGAAACAGGACCTGTGCTCACAATCAGTAATGATGAGCCTCATTATCATGTAAAAGGTACGGACTTGCACTTTGCACAATTTTACATCAATTTCACTTCCTACGATGCCTTTATGATGACAACTAGTCAATCCATTCAATGATTCTCTTTGAGAAACCGCCTTTCGAGCTTGCATATGTCGATGAGTCCCTGCAATAGGTTTTAGCGATCTACTTATCCACCTCCCTGATACTGGACCTTTTCTCACTCGTTTCTTCGGAAGTTGAGTTGAGAACTGGGAGGATGGTTGTGGAGTGTTGGATGGTGGGCTCATATCGCTGTATTCCTCGCATTGTTCGAATTGACTATTTGCTCGCTTGACTTGTGTCAGGTCCGTCTTGGGACTTGTTGTCCGTCTTGGATGGCTTGTTGCTAGATTGGGACTGGCAGAGGATGGGATGAATTAACCGGCTTGCCTGATCACTACTCGCTACAAGTGCATTGGCGAGGACTTTGCTCACACAACCTGGGCCTTCTGGTTACAGTCTGCTGACAGGTGTTCAGTGTAGTTTCTACTGGAATGACTCGTTGCTGAGCGTCTAACCATAGCTGAGATACTACCAGCAAGTTTTCTCTAGGGTGAGTACACCTCTATTTTAAGTCTCAACCCCTATATGCTTCGTTTTCTTTCCGTCACCTCAATTGATCTTTGTCGGTCGATTGGATGATCATATGATGAAATATTTTCGGATGTAAACTCACAGACCTGTTCTGAATTGCGCAAACAATTGTGTGGAGATTTCCGTTGCCTTCCTTCTGAATGATCATATGCCCTTGAAACTATGTTCTATTTCTACTTGATGAGACGAGGAACATCTGGCTGACCTCGCTCATAGAATTTAAACAACCTATCAGTTAGACTATAGCATAACCCAAATATCAATGCAAACTTCGAATATGGAAATATATTCCGATTAACGTAATCCATAATACCACTATCTAATAAAGGCTTACCACGGCCTCCCTGCCTTACGCCTGGCTATCAGGTTAAATTTCCATGTTTTCCCATCTCAATATCAGACGAGAAACAAACATTCATATATTAACAGACTGTGCCTTACATTCAGTGCGTAATCTTATGACGTTGACCTTGAGGGGTGGCCATCTTCAGAAGTATTTCGAATGGAAATGTATTTCGCTTTGCTAACACAACTCATGTACTAAAGCTGGAATTTACAACACAATCCTGTCTTGTCATCTTCATACAACTTAAAGCATTTCTAATCATGCATCGTCATAATCGTGTCTCTATGGAGTTGGCCTGGAAAACATAAAAAAAAACCATCCCGCCGAACTCCCGTCCCCTTCCCCTTTATACTTCCACACGACATCTGCCATGATACTGCGTCAAATAAACAGACAAGGAAAAGAAAAAATCATCAAGTTCCGTAAACTGATATACCGCGTCTAAACACATCTCTCTCTGTCTATGGTCGTTGTGGTTGATCTTTCCGAGTATGAGAAAACAGAATATTTCGACCGGAGAGTTACGCTTTGCTCTCAGTCGGTGTAGTAGCACCATCTCGTGTCAGACTGTAAGGGGCCTATGTATCGGGGGTGGGCGAGGTTAATGACGCCGAACGCTAAGATTATGGTTGGACTTCCACTGAGACCCAGGGAGTTAGGAATATATGCTTACCAGGACCCTCTTTGCGTTACAGATTCTCCAGGCGAGGTTGCGGACGTTTCCATCCGAGCGGACAACTTCAGGGGCAAATTCGACGCCGAACCTGGAAGTCGATTAGTATCAATTATAGGAGGACGAAGGAGGGGTGGAGGGCGTACATTTGGTGAACCGCAAAGACCACTCTCTTAGCGAATTTACCGTCCCGATCTACTAGGCTGCCATACTGCTCTTCCACAGTTTCAGGTGCAACATCCAGGTTTTGGTCGAAGCAGTTTTGGACGACAGGCAAGAGGCTCCTTTCGACTGCTGTCTGGGACATATCGAAGTGGTCTTCCTCTTCGAATCGAGGGATGCGGATCTCGAATGGTCTAGAGAGAGCCATGACGTTGTGCTTTCCATTATGGTGGTAGCGGAATTCAAAGACGCCTTGAGTCCAGAAGAGCTTGTCTCCGGAGAAGGTGACCTCACCGGTTGCTATGTCATGCTTTTCTCCATTTGAGCCTTGGGAAGTTGAAACGACTACGTCGCTGGTAACGATGCCTTGCTCGCAGGTGAGATTGTCGTAGGAGCCTTCGTTGACCGCAACCCATCTTCCTTGAGAGGATACGCGGGACACCTCACGAGACGTGTTATCGGTGACCTTGTAGAGACCGATCCAGTCCTTCTTGCTATGGTTGAGGGGTGCAGTCCATTTAACCTTCACTGTTGCGCCGTATGGGAGGACCAGGTTCTCCAAGTCACCCCGCCGATCAGGAGGGGTTTGAGCGTTATCCCCCTCCTTGCTGAGGTCGCCTTCGTCAAGAGGTAAAGAGTTTGCTTCAACCGAAAGAGAGTAGTCTCGCAGATCATAGCCGGCTAGGTCGGCGTCGATGCGCGCAATGGTAACACGGGCAGGATAATTTTGGAAGAGTGCCGTTGTATCCCGAACAAATGAGCTTACACCAGCAGCCAGTTTTGGCCGCGCTGTATCAATGATATCTTCAATAAACTCATATGACTCGTCGAACATCTTGTCCACGCTTCCATGCAGTTGCTTCAACGGCGGCGGCAGAGATCGCTTCAGGCTTTTAACAAGGCCTGCATCTTGACGCAAGCTCCGGCCGTACAGCTTCTGCATGTGAGGCCTTTCCACAAATTGAATGAATCCTACGCCTAGGATATGGCTTAGGAAGGCGAGAAATGCGACCGTGCCACTAGTAGTGATGAGAACTGCTCCCCACACACCTGCGAGACCCAGGACGCGCTCGGGATTGTTCAAGAAGCGATAGATGCCATTGTAGGTCAACTTAGGGGACTCATCAAAGAAGAAATCCCCATAGAACCAGCCAAATTCGCCAAGTGATTCGTAGACGCTCACAGAGGTCCAAATCTGCAGGGAGATTAGGCCAGCACCCAGCACATGGCGGAGGATGGCAAGACCATAGCCCCAGTCAGACGGGAGAGTGTACATCTTCCATACAGCGGCAATGAAGCTCGCGTAACACATGATCATGCTTAGGTGATACGTGCCCTTCCACTGATTCCATGCCTCGTGGGGAGTTTCGCCATATTTGACAAAGTGTCGGGTCCACGATTTACAATTTGACTGTCTGTTGAGAAGGTATCCGACGCCCACTGAGTACCAGAGCCTCCATACAGCGGCGTTGACCACAAATAGAAGCTGGTACCAGGGTGTCGAAGGTGTCAGAGCAGTCAGGGAGAACATGAGGAACTGAACGAGTATGGAAGAAGTATCCGTGATTCTATGCAAATCTAGATTGTGGAGCCCTAGGAGGTTGTGGACAGCTGGAGGTGGGCTGGTAAATTTTGGCGCATAGGGTACATTTTCTTCAGACTGGGATGGCGCATTTGGATATTCCGGAGACTGCGATCGGGTAGACTCTGCGTCTTGTTCGTTGATAGTACGTTTTCGCGGTGGGGGTGGGTTGTACGTTTTGTCAATATGTGGGTTCTCGACCAGGACGAGGAATGCGAATTGAGCTGCATGGGCGATAATAGAGATGAACAGCACTTTATAGCTTGCTGCCATTAGCGAAATACCGTAATAGCCGGCATATCCGACCGAATACATGGGATGAGGTGCCATCTCAAAGACCCCATCAAATGTCAACTCTTGGTCAACGAGATAAAAGAAGTCACCCCAGTACCACGCATAGTCCTTGACCACTCGGTGTGCATCTAGTTTGACCCATAGGTTGAACATGAATAACGCGATGCCAGAAGCCCATCGCACGATAGTCATCAGCACGCTCTCGTTAGCAGGGTGGTGACTACAGGCCATCGCAAAGAGGCAGTAAGAGGCGAAATCGCACATCAAGATCAGATCCACAAGACGTCTAAAGACGAGCCAAGTGTTATACTCAAGCGGCGCTTCCTCGAAGGAATAGTCCTCGGGGATTTTGGTTTCCAATTCACGCTTGATCAGGTAGTATATCTGAGGGTAAGGATTTTTGCCAGTGGCAGGATTCACGAATATCTGAGACTTTTCGGCCCAACGAACAAGGGTCTTGTGATGAGACTGGTTGTGGAGTAACCATCCAATCCCAGCATTGTAACAGGAGCGCCAGAAGAGGTAGATTACCGCAAAAACGGGAATCTTGGCCCCTGAAGGAAGCTGCCATAGCAGAAGAATGTGAGCAGCAAGTATAGTCAATACAATGAGATCAGAGAGGTTCTTTGGTTCGGAGGGCGACAAGAGCTGGGAGACCATATCATGGGTTTGAGGTACGGTGAACACTGAAACAGCGCAGATTAGCTCTTCGAATTCCATAATAGACAGCGAAAAAAGCTCAAGAGTCCAATTGACCGAGTGACCGCGGGGTAGACATACCTGTACCATCTGGCGTACGACCAAAGGTCTTGCCAGCCTTGTCTTTGCCATTGTCATCAATGACGGCTGATTTCTCGGCATTGACGTTTAGGTCAGACTGAGCGGCCACATTTCTTTCCCGAAGCCCATCATCAGGGTGGTGGGCGCCTGTTGAGAGGCCGCGATCCATGATTTCGAGCGTTGAAGGAAAGAAAGTTGTTGGGACTGACTGAGAGCGGCATGTGACGGTGGATGGTCGCTCTATTTAAGAGCTCAGCAGGGTCCTGGCTCTGATTGGTCTCTGGGGACCCCAACCCGCATTGGGTCTAGCCATAACGTCACAAGAACTTCGGAATCCACCAGAGTGCACAAAGACACAGCGACCGTCTCAACTCTGAAGGCGATTCTCCGGAGACCCTCCCTAGCCAGGCGGGAAAAACATGCTTCGGGGCAGTGCACTCCCCTCTTCGACCCCCACCTGGGAAGGAGACTCCCGAAGCCTGCATCGGAGATGCAGAGACCTCGCCTAGGCCTGTCTCTGGCCAATCGTGGAGGGTCTCCCGAGAGGGGAAGGGCGATCAGAGAAGATGAATTCCTGCTTCTGACCGTTCAATATCCCTGTGGAAAGCTAAGCTCATGTAGTCTTTTCGCATCGTATACTTCTCAATATGCATAAACAGGGCGGTTATGCATGGTCTGTGTTCCTGTGTTAGCGGTAACCGCGGGTGCATGCTTTGTGGTTGACAGCATTTCCCTTACTTGAATTTATTATCCTAGAAATTCCATGCGTCTTGATTGCCTTTATTCGTCACGTTTCCTGGTCATCCATGGTGGGCCAGACAACCATTCAGGGCTGCATCTCCGACACGCTTTGCATTTGCAGCGCAGTCGGATATTCCCCTTCATCCCTCTTCTCACGGCTCGCGAGGCTTCCGGTTGTTCGCCCTCATTTTATTAATCTGCACAGGCTTGAGCTATTCTCTAACTTCTTTGAGACCGCTGAAATAAAAAATAGTAGTCAATGTTTTGGACGGATATCTCCCCGACTCCAGATTCTACCCCGCCTTTAGTCCAAGTGTCCCTATTTGTGGGAGATGAAAACACTAGATAGCCTGGAGACCTCGAGGACTACGGGATAGCTTTGCTACACTGTCCTCTTAAGTCTCTAGCAGGGTCTCATTCCTCCTCTATCCTCACTCATTAGTTAACTAATGGCCAGTGCACACGCATATTGCATCATATTTTAGGAAGCACCATAGCGCCAAGACTCTGCTCCGATACCTCTGCAGTAGATGTGGGTAATGCAGTTTTCTCGGCCACCATACTCGTAATTGTACCGGGTTGCTGAAAATCGCCCATGATGTATCAATACATGTCTTGATCACTGTCTCGATTGTGGGCTTGTTTTTCCAATCATTTCGGTAGTGGGCCGGAGATCCGGGCCTTGCTTTCCTATATACTATCACACCATTTGGTGACAATATTATATTATACTTCAATAATAAACATTTAATAAACGATTCGAGGGAATCCGCTTGCTTAGGGTTTGTCGAATAGATTCCTATGCGATTTGTCAATGCCCCTGCCCTGGGCCAACTATGTATCCAACAGGTCCTCCGACACCGCAATCGGCCAAGTCCCCCCGCCAATCGCCACCCGATCGTTTGTCAGTTCGGCTTATCAAGCATCTCCTCCATTTTGCGGAACCGCCACTGCTTTCTATCAGACCTTCAATAAATTTCATTCGGATACTCTGATCTGCCTCTATATCTGAACTTGTCAAAGAGTGAATCACTGCTGGCAAACTAGCGTGCTACATTTCCCTCACTCTTCCGACCGGCTGCTGGTGCAGTACCCCGCCACATCGGGGTTCGCTCAGTCCTACAGAAACCCATCGAGGTTCACATCCATAGTATCACGATATAAAAATGGCACCCCATTTCACAGAACCTACGTCGACCTACCTCGAGCCGCCATCAAAGGCACCTCCAAATCTAGTTGCCCCCGAGCCAGGTACGCCCATCAACGCCCGCTCAACACATGCCCTTCATCCCGTATCTCTAATGCTAATTATCCCCAGAACATTGTCCAGGCCCAGAATCCGACCAAGCGGGCCAAGGCGATGCTTGCGCCGGTTGTCCCAATCAATCCATTTGCTCCTCCGCACCCAAGGGTCCCGACCCTGACATCCCCCTCATAACCTCCCGACTCGCGTCCGTTCGTCACAAAATTCTCGTACTCTCCGGAAAAGGCGGCGTCGGAAAGTCGACTTTTTCATCTCTCCTCGCGCATGGCTTCGCATCAAACCCAGACTCTACAGTCGGGATCATGGACACAGATATTTGCGGGCCCAGCATCCCCAAGATGATGGGCGTCGAGTCAGAAACCATCCATGTTAGCAACGCGGGATGGAGCCCGGTGTGGGTATCGGATAACCTAGGGGTGATGAGCGTACAATTCATGCTCCCGAATCGTGACGATGCAGTGATATGGCGTGGTCCGAAGAAGAATGGTCTCATTAAGCAGTTTTTGAAGGATGTGGATTGGGGAGATATGGATTATTTGATTGTCGATACGCCACCTGGGACCTCGGACGAACATCTTTCGGTAAATTCCCTGCTGAAGGAATCCGGGGTTGATGGTGCTGTTGTCGTTACGACGCCGCAGGAGGTTTCGCTTCTTGATGTCCGGAAAGAAATTGATTTCTGTCGGAAGGCTGGGATCCGCGTCCTTGGACTCGTTGAGAATATGTCTGGGTTTGTTTGTCCGAGTTGTGATCATGAGTCGACGATTTTCCGGGCTACGACGGGTGGCGGAAAGAGGCTTGCGAAGAAAATGGGGATTCCATTTCTAGGCGCTGTCCCTCTGGACCCGAGAGTTGGGATGGCTTGTGATTACGGGGAAAGCTTTGTGGATAATTTCCCGGACAGTCCAGCGTCTGTGGCTATCAAGCAGGTTGTAAGGGCTGTTGGAGGGTTTGTTGGTGAGGATCCAAATGATGTTTTACCGATTGACGCCGAGTAAATCATTTACAGTTGACTTGATCGTTTTGTTGCATTTTCGTGGAGTTTTTCCTGGCGCTGATTAGAGTCATTGCATTTATACCATATGTTTTCATTTGATTTTTGCTTTGAGAATCGGGTATTACATGCAAATCCCAAGTCTAATAGAAGAAAGACTTCAGGCATATCCATCTAACAAAGGTCTTCAATACATCTCCCAGTTAATCTGTATACAACAACCATCTTAGGCATGCGATAAATCTCACTCTCCGTTATAGTCAGCAATCAAATCACCTGGATCTTCAGCTCGGTCTTCTCCATTAACGGAGAGTATACCATATTCTCCGGTGTTGTTTCACTGGAAAATGGCTGGATTGGCGCCTCCAAAATCTGTAGGCTCTCATTTCTTTGTCAGTGACATTCGGTGGTCAGCCAACAATGACCATTGTATACTTACAAAGGCGAATCTGGTGTGACTCGTTCAAGCTGACCCACCAGGATTCTGAGCTTGGCGGACGATCGATGTCAACACAGGCTGAATTAGAGGCGCTTGGACGGCGTTTGCAGATTCCTCAAACTGACACCGTTCCGTAGTTTATTGCCCAGTTTTGCTGTTGCCTACGGTGCTCGTGAATTGAAAGAGTCAGTTCCCCTGAGGCGGCCTGTGACTGATAGCAGAGTGTCCGCTGGCAACTGCCCAAGCCAGCGTTTCACTTCTACACCAGGGGCTTTCGTGTTTCAACTCCCCGTCCACAGTCCAGGGACAGCCTCCTCGTTGGCCACCAAAACACTCAGCTTCTAGGCGCCAAGTCATACTATGCGCTTAAAGGAGATCTCCGACTGCTCGAAACGATGACCCAGCAATCCACCGTGTCAGGAAAATGAGTTGAACGCAGTTCGCTGATTCGCATTTACTCGCCCAGACAGTTATGGATTTGCTGTTAAATCTCCACCAGAGTGAGCCTGGACGTTGACAAGGCGTGCCCTATTTTATTTATTATTCCTGCACCCCGGCCTGATGTCTTGAACCGTTTTGTTTGTGTTCGTTCAGTTTCTTTCTGGCAGTAGGTGTGACATTCGCTCTGTGAGACTGTCCCCTATACTCTCCTTCTTTCTTATTCCTTTCCTTCGTTTGTGTCAGTCAGGAGCCTGGTCAGGACTTGGCTCCAACACACTCCTTTTTTATCGTTTCACGGTTCATTGCTCTGGGAGCAAGTCCTGCTGCAACCGTCTCGCCTGCCTTCCAATCTTTAGGTGTTGCGCGATACATCCATTCTTTTCATTCCGGAGGTGCAGTAACCACTAAGTAGAGATGAGGATAACACAGTCCGTCTTGGTCGCCCTTGGGCTCTGCTATGGAGTCGTCTCAGCTCCCACGTCCCTGAAACAACCCGAGCGCCGATCATTCAAGGTCGAGACTGCCAGACGGAGCAACACCATCCACGGCCCAGCTGCTTTACGAAAGGCCTATGTCAAGTATGGGATTACCGCTGCGAACATTGGGCTCGACTTAGATGACTTCGAGCCGAAGGTCAAGACGTTGAGTGCCGCCTCTGATGATACCAATGATGAGGTGGTTGAGCCCGACCAAACCGGCGCCGTGAGCGCTGCATCTGTCGAAGGAGATGCATCCTTTGTCTCACCCGTCACAATCGGTGACCAGAAGCTCGTTGTGACTTTCGATACGGGCTCTTCGGATGTGTATGAAAAAGACGCCCCTTGGCTTTGACAGACTGCGCTAATCCTGCTCGCAGATGGGTGGTGAACACTCGACTTCCTAATGCTTCCATTGAAGGGCATACAGCTTATGATCCCTCTAAATCTAGCTCATTTGAGGAGATGAAAGGATCGAAGTTCAATATCACCTATGGAGACGACTCTTACGCGTTTGGTGGTGTTGGAACTGACACAATCAATGTTGGAGGCGTTACAGTGACAGGTCAATCGATTGGTCTTCCCACCGAAGTCTCCCCTTCAATCCTCTCAGACACCCACAGTAACGGCCTAGTCGGGTTGGGATTCAGCTCGATCAACACTGTCACGCCAAAGAAACAAAAATCCTTCTTCGAAACAGTTGCCGAAGTCCTGGACGAGCCCGTGCTTGGAGTGTCGCTTGTGAGCGAAGGAGTTGGCGAGTTTGAGTTCGGTACCATCAATAAGTCAAAGTTTACGGGTGATCTCGTTAATGCGAGTGTCGACGCCTCGGGAGGATTCTGGAAGTTCGAATCCCCCCTCTATCGCGTTGGGGACGGCGAGATGAAGAAGCACGACGCGGCAACCTCGACAATTGCTGATACGGGAACCTCGCTCATGCTTCTTGAGCAAACTGTTGTAGATGCCTACTATGAGACGGTGCATGGTGCCCAATATGCAGCCAGTGCTTCAGGCTGGATCTACCCTTGCAGCGCAGAATTGCCGAATCTTTCCATTGCTGTTGGTCCTCAGCATTTGGCCACAGTCCCCGGCAATATGATCAATTTCTCGGAGGTCGGTACTAATACGACCACCGGAGAGGCCGGTATGTTTAAAACCCTATACCCAGCTGCACCATTTTTTTTTTTCTTGCATCCCATAACTTGCTGACCATTGAAATCCATAGTGTGCTACGGAGGCGTCCAGTCCAACCAGGGTCTTGACATGCAGATCCTCGGCGATACGTTCCTGAAAGCATTCTACGTTGTCTTTGACCAGCGTGGCCCATCGATCGGTGTTGGAGTTCCCGCCTACGCCTAATTCATCCCTCTCGCTCCTTTCCCTAACCTTCAGCCCGGCTGTCTTAATATATCTTAATCGAAGATAGAGCTGCGTGTAGCCTAATTGTACATAAGCCATACAGCCAGAATTTATCTAGTGCTTGAACCTGTAATACACGAGAACATACTCAAATGCCACTCAGTAGTTTGTACCTGGAAATATTTCTATCGCTCCACATAGGTACTTCCGGTTCTGCAATAAAGCGCAATTCTTACGGTTTCAACTCACCATTAGAACGTGGCAACGAGCTTCTCTTTTCCTTTTCTTTCCCCCAGGACTTGCTCATCTAACTCATCCAGCATGAACTAAAAAACCCCATCGTGCACGAGGGGGCAGACTGCGGGGCTCCATTCCACATTTACTCTCGCTCCTCTCCAACGGGGAATTTCCGACCAGATCTGGGGTTAAGCCATGTTCCGCTTCGGACTTGACATTTATATGCGGGACGGGCCCTAGAAACGCTATTTTGTCCTTGAACTGCACGTCACCAGCATACGAATCTATTGGGCGATATTTATTTCTCGCCTTCTAAACCAACAACCGCATCATGAGAGCAGTCCGGTTTCATGGAGCCCGGGACATCAGGGTCGACCAGATCGAGGAGCCCGTTTGTGGAGAAGATGAGGTTAAGGTATGTATCACCTCTTTCGCTGTAGCTGCTGCGCTATACTTTTTTCATTGGATCTGTCTGGCTAACATTTACCTAACAGATTCGTCCTGCCTTTGTCGGGATCTGTGGGAGTGGTGTGTACAAACCCCTCCGGTCACACAACCTACAACATGCAGGCAATATTATAATTGATAATACGTCGATGGCCTAACACCTGTGCTTCTCGTCAGATCTGCACGAGTACCTCGCAGGCCCGATCGTGATCCCAACGAAACCCCACGTCCTGACGGGCGGACAGCTGCCCGTGACCCTAGGCCATGAGTTCAGTGGTACGATCGAGGAGGTAGGGAAGGGTGTCACAGGTCTCAAGGTCGGAGACCGGGTGGCTGTTAGGCCTAATCTGTCTGATGGGACTTGTGCGTCGTGTTCGTATGGCCGGCCGAACTGCTGTCGGAGTCTTGGGTTTATTGGGTTTAGTAGTGAGTTTTGTCTTCGTCCTGTCGTACGACTTATCATCATCTCACATTAGGTAACTTGCAACAGGTAACGCGGGGGGTCTATCAGATCATGTCGCCGTTCCAGCGAAGCATGCTATCCCATTACCGGAGAGCGTCCCACTTGATCTTGGTGGTGAGTCGTTACCTATCCATGAACCCTCCAACTTGACATCCAACAGCTCTTCTGACACAATCCAACCACCAGCGGTCGTCGAACCTCTCACTGTGGCCTGGCACGCTGTAGACCGCAGCCCAGTGGAAACAGCCAAAACTGCACTCGTGGTCGGCGGCGGCCCCATCGGGCTCGCAGTCGTGCAAGTCCTAAAAGCACGAGGCGTCCAAACCGTCATCGTCGCCGAAGTTTCCAGCCAGCGCCGCGAGTACGCCCTAGCCCTCGGCGCGACTCACGTCTTCAATCCTCTCACAGACGATGTTGTCGCCAAAACCCGCGGATTGACGGGCGACGCAGGCGCGGATATCAGCTTCGAGTGTTCTGGCGTCCAAGCAGGGTTTGATACGGCGATGAAAGCAATCCGGGTGCGGGGGACAATGACTATCGTGTCGCTGTGGGACAAGAGTCCCGCTATCGATGCGTTTGATGTTGTTTCGTATGAGAAACACGTTATTGGCGCGGCGATTTGCGAGGATGGTGATTTTGAGGCCGTTATTGATGCTATTGCGTCGGGTATGTCATTCCCCCATCCTCCATGACACCAGGGAAACATATCCTGGGTCCCTCCGGCCAGTTGAAAATAATAGAACCGAAAAAGGGCAACTGGCTGACTCGCACAACAGGGAAGCTCAATCCCCGCCCCATGATCACCAGCAAGATCCGGATGGAGGAGGTCGAAGAAAAAGGGTTCAAGGCCCTCGTGGACGAGAAGGACAAGCACGTTAAGATCCTAATTGATATTGCCGCGTGATTAGATGAAACAGGACCGAAGGACTGAATGAACCATGTCTTTAAGATTGGTGGATGCTACTCTGGTGTTGGACAAATGTGTCAGGAGGCTCACTGTGACACCATGGACCCGGCTGGACGGGTTAATCTAGCTATAGTACGGGGATTGTGCCTAAAAATATACGCGAAACCGAAGCCTCCGGGACCTGAGTAAATAAACAGCTTCGGCTGAACCGATATGATTTGAATGTCAATTAAGTTTCCTTGAAACGTATCGGCGACTCATGAGGCCTTAGTGTTCCTGGCGCTTGGTGCTTTACAACAGACGGAGAGAAGAAATGAAACTATCTCAAATGCAAGCGCCATGAGCGCTCATGCAGTCATGCAGTCAGACACGTGTGGCAATTGGTGAAAAAAAAAAAAAGAAAGAAAGAAAGAAAGACGTGAATTATCCTGCAACCGCAGCCCAACAGCCCAAGGTATTGGGACCGAGAAAAGCCGCTGCGACGATCAACCGTTTGGTTTAAGAGACTTGTAAAATGAGTGGCCTCATTATAGATTTGAGGTCCATGGGTCATCCTGGAGCTCCGGATGGCTAGCCGTATGCAGTATGAAGAGAGGTGGCCCACTGGGCGTTCAGCTCAGCTGGGATGCAGCTGAGTGGCAGCGCGGTGTGTTTTGGTAAACAGTCGGAGAATATCACAGTTAGACGCAGGGTCTCATAGTCCTTATTTTGCCAGTGAGACGCCGTACAGATAAGTAATCCCCGAGTCTGAGGAATCTCCGGGAAGAGACTGGGAGTACAAGATCCTCGATCATCCATGTGGGTATCGGGGTTTGGTTCTCGGGCATTTTGCGTGCAGGGTGTTCGTCTTTGTTGGGAACATGGGGAGTTTTGGGTTTCCTTTCCTTTCTCTTCCTTGATGTTACTTTTTTGGATGTGGATTACTGGATCCATACAATTATTAGGGTTGTTCTAGGTCCGTGGGACACAGCAGACGTGAGATTGGAGGATCTGAGTGCAGCCAGTGATGGCGCTCCCGTAACTTTTGTCAGGCGTAAAAGGTTATGATGAATTTGATCAGTTGAGTTTTCACGGCGCGACAAGTCAGCCAATGTCCGGGCCTTGAATTAGGCGAGACGAGGTTTGATTTGATTATTGGTAATGCTGTTTATTCTTTGGCATTACCACCTCTATAGGATTTTTTTGACTTTGCTTGGCCAAGCAGCCGGAAAAAAAAAAGAAAGAAAGAAAGAAAGAAAGAAAGCTGGGCAATATCGCAATGAATAGAGAAAATACGCAATAAATTAGCACGACTACAACACGCAGACTCGGACGGAGGCGAAGCAGGCTGCAGATAATCCAGTAGTGCGACGATGACACGTCCGCTGCCTGTCCATGTCTTGCTTTAGTTTGGGGTTAATTATAGGAGGAACCCAAGAAAAAAGAAACAGGAAAAAGAAAATATCCTTGGGGAAAGCCGCCTCTTGCTCGCCTTTGGGGCTGCGAGGCATGCGATTAGTGGACTAATATTGGGTTCCTTTGCTCACCCAGCAGACAAGAGTTGTCTCAACTGCCGCTTTTCCGTATATTCGCTTCTCTCGCCCAAGCTGAGGTGCGTTGTCAAGTTATCCTTCGTTCTGACGGATCCTCATCGAACCCCACTTCCTCGAGCAGCGCTATTGCCCGAGTCTCAGTTTTAAGATCTAGATTTGCCTGGCGCATCTTGGGACAAAGCTCGGCATTTCCCGTGCGGGCCTTCTGCCCAATTCTTTTATTTCCTCGTATTTCGACGAGAGCGCGCACGCAAAACCCACCTGTTGATTGCTTCCAGAGAGGTTTGTTCTGTCCGTGAAAACTGACAGCGATGCTTCTGCCACCGGTCTAGTCCCGCAAACACCAAAGTTCAACTTACACTAGCCCTTTCCCTGAATTTACAGTCCTGAACAATAATCTTTCCAATGGCCACTCCGCTGGTCGGCACTGCCATCATCACAGGAGGAAATGGGTCGCTCGGGTCAGAAATAGCCATCGCGATTGCGAAAACTCAGCCATACGTCCACCTGCTGCTCGTTGCGCGCGATATCAGATCTGAGAACGTCAAAGATGTCAGGGAACGGATCCGACTGATTGGGCCCCGGTCCCTCGAGTTTGTCAAGGTAGACCTCGCAAGTTTCAATTCGGTCGTCAGCTTCTCCGAAATCACAGTTGAGAGGGTCCAAAATAAAGAAATTCCTCCTGTGACATTATTGATCAACTGCGCCGCCATGTCGTCATACGTCACCGATCAGGTAACACGAGATGGCCACGACCCTGTCTACCAAACGAACTGCATCGCGCCATTCTTATTGACAGTCAGTCTTCTTGAGGCATTCAGAGCAGGGGACGGCACCCCAAATGGCGGCGCACGGGTGATCAATATTGGATGTTCTTCCATGTCAGAGGGTACACTCGACTATTTTGAGAATCCAGATCCAAATGTGAGCATATGTCCGGGAACGCCGTTGGGCGTGAAAGAAGCGACCAAGCGCTTTGGAAGCAGTAAACTCCTAATGAGTGCGGCTATGTATGCGCTGCGGCGAAGCTTGGTGTTGGTGAGTCGAATATCATACCCCTTCTTCCCTTTGAACCAAGTGGGACTGACTGTATATAACTTGGAGACCGGAAACATTTCCCTCAACGTATACACCCTTGATCCAGGAGGAATGACCAACGACGTCCACTCGGCAACTGCCGCTCCATTGTCGGTGAGAATGGCTCACCAAACACGATCTGGGCTTCGACCGTTCCTGCGGGTATTTTCCAAGAGCGCCATCAACAAGGCTAGTGTTCCAGCCAAAGTGATATCGAAAGTTGCATTCCAGCGCGACACAGTGGAGAACTGGGGCAGGGAACGGTATTATATCTTGGACAGCGAGTACGAGGCCGGATCCGTCATTCCTGCGATGCGAGACCACAAGCAAATGGATGCACTGTTAAAGAAGATGTTGCAGCAGGTTGAGGTTGGAGTCAAAGGAATGGGATCCCCCTCCTCGAGGGTATCGCGGTTAAGTGGCTGATTGAATAATGGATGCGATGGAGTTTCTCGATCGATTTATTCACGTTCCATGTCTTTGGGTCTAGAATTGTTCTTGCATTCCTGGGAGTTTGTGGCTTCAACCTCATATTTTCTGTCAATTGCCTGCCATCAGCGTTGAACAGCGGTACTTAATACAGTCTGTAAATAGAAATGTTCATTAATGAGCGAATCGAATTGATAGCCAGAAAATGAGAAGTTGAAGAGAACCTTGGAACTGCGACCTTATGCTGCAAACGGGCCAGGCGGTGCTCCTCAGCCGCATTGGGGTGTGAAGGCGGCATGCCCACTCCCGCCTTCCGACCAACCCTGGTCCAGGCTCGAGGATCGTCATCGTTTCAACTGGAAGAAGCGATGCTACATGAAAAAGGCACAGTCTACTTCTTGCTGTTTCTTCTTCCTGTCGTATCACCTTAGGATTGTCCTAGGGTTTGCCTTTCGCTCGTTAATCTAGTTTTCTTCACCCGCTGGCCCCTTCGCGACGATCTCCTACTACGAAGTCGACCAGGTGGAAAGACCGCGACACCGTTACGCCTCATTTTGCGACCCGAGGAGGTTCTGGGCTTCTCGGGATTGGATCGGAAGCCGGCGACAAATTGTGAATGATCGGTAGCCATGAGTAGGCACCAAGCCCTTGCCAACGGGTATACAGCCTACCCTCGAGGAGGCCAGGGTACCTTTTCCATCTCTCCGCATAAGTAAGTAATATTGAAAGTTGCAATTAGTCGCCAGAGGTCGCTCTTCTAACTAGGTGCTCTTCAAAAAGGTTTCAACCGCGCTCACATCCTGCCTTTCGACGACGGAAACAACTTCTCCAGCGAATTTGCTTGTTCGGCGGCATCGCATTCTTCCTCCTCATCTTCATTTCTCCCTCCTGGCGAGCTTCGATTCTCCCCGCGCTATCGTTCGGCCTTCTCTCCCCTTCAGACCACCTACAGATACAAACGGTCCGATATTATGATCTTGCGAAAGTAAAAGGTTCCGCAAAAAGCTGGGAGCATGGGGACCGAGTGCTTATGTGCACGCCCCTTCGAGACGCAGCGTCCCACCTGCCGATGTTCTTTTCCCATCTTCGAAACCTCACATACCCGCACCATTTAGTAGATCTCGCTTTTCTTATCTCGGACTCAAAGGATCGAACAAATGAGATGCTATTGGAAATGCTGGAAGAATTGCAGCACGATGAGGACCGCGATATTCCCTTTGGAGAAATCTCAGTCATTCAGAAGGATTTTGGACAAGAGGTTAACCAGGATGTGGAGAGTAGACACGGATTTGCTGCGCAAGCTTCCCGCAGAAAGCGGATGGCCCAGGCACGGAATTGGCTACTAAGCGCAACTCTCCGGCCGACTCATAGCTGGGTCTATTGGAGAGATGCAGATGTGTTGACTGCACCGTCTACCATTCTTGAGGATCTTATGAGGCATGATAAAGATGTCATTGTACCAAGTGAGTCGGTGTAACTACTTACGATGCAGGGATGATCTAATTATTTGCAGATGTCTGGCGGCCATTGCCCGAGTGGCTCGGTGGGGAGCAACCATATGACCTAAACTCCTGGCAGGAATCGGAGACTGCTCTCGCCCTTGCGGAAACGCTAGACGAGGACGCTGTCATTGTGGAGGGTTACGCTGAGTATGCCACTTGGCGACCTCATTTAGCCTACCTACGTGACCCCTATGGGGATCCCGACATGGAAATGGAGTTAGACGGTGTAGGTGGTGTCAGTATCCTTGCGAAAGCGCAGGTATTTCGTGCTGGAGTCCATTTCCCAGCCTTTAGCTTTCAAAAACATGCCGAAACAGAAGGATTTGGCAAGGTACGTCTTCCCATTGAAGATAATTACTGAATCCTGTCACTAAGTGCATCTAGATGGCCAAGCGTATGGGCTTCTCTGTGGTTGGCCTCCCTCATTACACAATCTGGCATTTGTATGAGCCGAGCGTGGACGATCTCAAGCATATGGAGGAGATGGAATCCGAGCGAAAAGCCCGCGAGGAGGAAGAGAGGCAGCAAGCCGAACGTGCAGAGCGCACCAAAACCTATTACAAAGATACGAGGATTGAGTCGGAAATCGATAATGCATTTGTCCGTGAGGCTGTGAAGGAAGAAGCTCAAGATATAGAGATGCGCGATTCGGAGAACAAGGAGCTGGACGATGTTGAACTGGACGATCTAGTGGGAGATCAGAGCAAGTCTGACAACGCGCAGGTTGATGATCACAAGAAGTCTGCTCCTCAGAAGCCACAAGTTGACAACTAAACGATTGCTTGGGACTGGACAACTGAATGTCCACATAATTGGGTCCTGTGCTGGCCATAGGGTGATTATTCTCTTGACGAAACATATTGGTCTAGTTGTGACTTTTCTGTAAATGGTTGGCGTTGTTAGAGGTATCTTATTTTAACAATCTTTCTTGACCTGATTGAGCCGTAATCCCAGTGCATAGATTGAATACGATTAGATTAAATCCGATGCATTCTTTATACAATTCTATTGTCGTTATTCAAGTCCCCAGCCTCGCCCTGTGCTGTACCTGGCAACCTGCCCTGCCTGGTGCTCATTAAGCAGTGGTCCGTGCGTGGCCCCACGGCCGTCGCGCTTCAAGAAATAATGGCACGCGTTCCGTGTCAGGGACTCAAGACAACATCTAACCCCAAATTCGACCTGGGATCCAAACGGCGGTATCCTCTCATAACCAACCTGCGCACAGAGGACCGAAGGGGCCAATGAAAAATGTCAACCCAATCCACACCCAGTATCCTCTTCACCCACCAGTCCCCGCAGCAGGGCTTCCGACTCCTCGAGCTCCCGCCTGAACTCGCAGAGCTGTTGTCCTCTGATAACCCCCCAACGTGAGATTTCTATTCATTGAATGAACCCCGCCTATCTACCGGGTGGCGAGTTGTTTCTATATAGCTGTACTGAGCATGATGCTAACTAATCGTTCGAAACCGTCTAGACTAGAACTCAAATCCCCGGCTCCCGCGGCGAGCACTCAGAATGGCTCGAGCTCGGCCACACCTAACTCCGAATATGTAAACCTCTGCACCCCGTCTGAGACATACTCGATTCGCCAGGTCCAATCGTCTAACTCGCTGCACATCCTCCGACCGAGCAACGGCGCTGGTGTCAGCAAAAACGATCTGCGAATTGTTGGAGCTGGTGGAACAGAACAGGATGATGGTGATGGGGGTGTCGACATGGATACCGAGAAGGATCTGAATATTGAAGGCACAGTGACGTCTGTCGCGAAATGCGGGTCGACATTGGAATTGCATAGGCCTGCGGAGGGTTTTTCGGCTAAACCGTTTTTCAGGTCGTCGCTGAAGCTTTATGAGAAGGGGTCTTGGGAAGATGGGGGTGAGGGCAGAGATGGAGAGGCGAGTATGGCAGATGCGGGAGCTACAGAGATGAGGACAGAAGCCCTCGATGGCTTACTCGCTGATGTTCCTGTGTCGAGAGCTCAGTGTAAGCGTGACTGGGTGGAAATATGTGCGTTTGTCCTCCCGCGCGGATCTGCTGCATCAGATAGTATTGGGACGCCATTAGGCTGGCTGCCTTCGGCTGAAATTAAACTGGAGGTCTGGAAGAGAGTTGTCGAAGGCTCGGTGCTGCACGGGATTGATTTGGGCGCGCAGTTCCTCGTAAAGGACCTGTGGAAATCTGTCCTTGATGATGAAGAGCTTGCGCCGTTTCCACGTCCGTTATTTGAGGCAGTTGTTAGGAGGATCTGTGAATTGCCTGATGGGACTGAGCGGGACTTTGCTGAGTCCGAGATAAAATGTGAGTCTTAACCCGTTCCTTACATGGGCCCATTGAGCTGACCGATTTAGGGGCGAGTATTGACAAGCAGACGTGCATTCAATGGGTGGGAGAGGTTTATCTAGAGGCCAAGGCAACGGGGGCCAGCTCCGCTATTGACGAGAGCGAGTTTATAAATTCTTGGAAGGATCAGCTTCCAGAGTCATGGAGGGAAGACGTCGCGAAATCCATTTTGCCCGTAAGTGGCAATCTATCATTACTATTGCTAGTTCAGCGGTTTGTATTCTCGCTAACGTCGAGCTAGGATAATTGCTACATGCATCCCGAGCCAAAAACCATATGTTTCACCACTGAAACCGATCAACAGAGAGTCAAGAAGAATCTTCCCACGGACACCAATGCCGCAACGGCTGCTAAGAAAACGAGGAATTGGCATGAATTATTCAAGAACCAGAAGAGGCAGAAACGATGAATCAATAAGTGCCATCCGTGTATGCAAAGCCTTCTATGTCTTATTGGCTAAATGCGCGCATCGTGGTACTCAACACCATGCGTACTTCTCGTTCAAAAACCATTCCACGTGCTCTTCTGGTTTCCCGCTCCATCTAAGAGACGCAATACTGTCTTTTTCGCGGTGAACTACTTCAGCAGTCGGGTCCAATAAAGCAACGGCCTTTTCGAGAAGCGGGGTTGGGTTCCAGAACGTAACATTCGCCATATTCCACTCGTGTGCCTCCAGTTGGGCACATCTGAGGATTGCAGCCATCGCCTTGACCGTCATCTCGGTCTCTTCCGGAGAGGCGGGCTCGTTGTACACCCATCGGAGAATGTACAATGTGTTCTCTGCCGGTGTAGCGCCAAAGTTCCTGTTCCAGGCACAGTACACCTTGGCGTCGTCGTTGCCGGCGCCCTTTGCCATGGGCATCTCTCTCTTAGGGTAGAGCTTTTGAGAATAAAACTCTTCCCTCGCCCAGTGCCATAAAAAGTGGTTGAAATCTGGAGCAATTGCAACTTTTGGATCAGAAGATTTCAGCGAAGCCTGTCGCAGAAGTTCTCGCTCTTTATCAAGAACGCTAGTGCTGCACATGCAACGTTCAACGTCCTCGGATCGCAGTACTCGCACACCTGGCAGTTTGCTCGGTATTCTAGTCGAATGTTCCTCGCTGGAAATAGGGGGAAGCGCAAAGTGTGAAGATGGGTGAGCCTTCCAGCCGAACTGAGCATAGAACCGTTTCCCGATATCGGAAAACAAAACACTGAATAGCGGTCTCTCTTTGGGCTCGACCTCCGTCTGCCACTCATCTATTTTCTTGCTCAGCTCCTCCAGCATTCTCTTCGCATAGCCTTTGCCTCTGAACTCTGGCCGACAATAAACACTTCCGACACCCTGAGCTGGCGCTTCTTCCACTTTCCCGCTACGGGCCACCATCGTTGTCTTTCTGTACGTTTCACAAGAACTGAGGATTGTTCTCGTATTTTCGGGCTGTCGGCGATCAACTAGAATCCAGCAAATCAATCCTCTCTTCGTCAATCGCTGTTGGAGTAGTGTGTCCTCCCGCGCAAGATACGAGTCGAGATCCAACGGACCCTTCCATTCTGTGCTGTTCAGCTTAATGGACTCGACACGTTCCGTTGGAGTCGCCCGAGCCAGTACCAGCTCGGGAGAGTCTCCTGGGGGCAACTCGATGTCTGTATAAGCGGCAATCATATTTCCAATCGGATTGTTTTACTGAATGTCGTTGATAGCACTGGGCAAAGCGAGAAAGATAGGAGTAGAGCTCTGCAACAGGGCAGGTGATGTTGATGGATCATGAGAACTCAAAAAATTGTGCTACCGGTCATGAGGGTCCACAGCCATTGATATAGGGAATGGAGAACAGACGCAATGGGGTTCCCCAGAATAGCGACGTAGTTTCCATTTGTCACTCCCGATGACAAGCGATGGCAAGCGGGAGCCATGTGAGCCCCAGCCAGAGGTTGTACCTGCTTTTCTTGGCCAATCCCAGGCTGACGTCAGACACCAGCTGTCATGTACTGGTTATACAGTCAATTCTGGTCTCTGTGACTAAGTATTGTTCCATAAAATACGTACTTTTTCGCGTAATTTCACAGATGTCCCCAGCTTTGAGTAAATCTCCATTCACTCTGATCATTTCACTCATTCACTCCAGTGAGGGGCTTTCGAGCTTGAGGGCTTTGTATTCTTGGCGCCCATGAAAGAACTTTTCGCAACTAGGATAAGAATGCGCTTCCAGGAGCGCGACGGCTTTTAAAAAGAAGCCCAAGAAATAGCCAATAGAGTGACTGGCAACTGAGAGCAATCTAAAGGATCTGCGGGGCCCTTGTTAACGCAGATTGTCCATATCTTCAATCCAGAGCTCCCACAGCCCCACCATTACCTTCTCCTGTGGTGTAAACAACAAAACACACAGATTTACCTAACAGCTGTGAGGGGATTTGCAGATGCTTTGATATTGACTTGATAAAGTGCTGCAATATTCACTATTCGGGTTCATCTTGTCTTTATCTGGCCACTGGTTGTCAGTACAGGCCAGTGTTGTGCCACCCCCCTCACCTGGTTTGGGCTGGATGCATCTGCCCTTTTTTAAATTCTCCTTTCATCTTCATCCCCAGTCAACAAATTTTTATGATTTTCTCGTCTTTCCCTTTTTTTCTCCCCCTGTCAAGCGAACGTCTATTCTCTCTTGCTTTAATTTATACATATCAGGGTATCTCGGAGAGGGGCCCACCAGCCCATCCAGATCTCCACTGGTACACTTCGGCTGATCTGCATCTGATCCTAGCGGCACGTCCTCGAGACCTCGAGTTCTCTACTTTGGATATTTAGCGAATACAATACCCGATTTATATGTGTCGACTCGAGCTAAGACGATATTTTGGAACTGGATGTGAACTGACAACAATTGTTGAGGGTTTACCTCTGGACAATCATCCGACAACCTTAAGTTTCGTCATCAAAAAGTTAGGAACGAACTACTGAAGCATTTAGAACTCTCTGAATCTCACAGCGATCTCTACCCTCTTTGTTTCTATAATATTTGGCACCTAGAGTCATTTGAGAAACATCGTACCCTGCTTTCATTATCCAACCGACTCGGCCTTTTCGCTCGAAGATGAACACCTGGGGCCTTCAACGAGAACCTCCATTCGAAGCGGACAAAGCGACATATATTTCCCTGTCTAGTGAAGATGAATCAGATGGTGGCATATCCCTTTCGCCAGATAACCAATTTCCCGGACAGGACGACACTTGGGATCCTGACTTTGACGGAGAAATCCCAAAAGAAGGTGTTATAGGCAGGCTTCAAAAGAAGCAGAGTCCAGGCCTCAAGTAACATCTCTCTTAGTCAAGATTCCTTTGCGCCAATTGTGTCCCTAGACCCTGTTGATTCGCAAATTCCCACAACTCTACAGGAAACTGATTTGATTCCATCGGTAGAACCAGCAGACGACGAGACTGATCCGTTGCTACTACAAATCCTTGACACGTTTCCAGGTATCAGTCACAAATATGTTACTGATTTGATAGCTCGACATAGAGATTTTCTGGCGCTTGACTCAGGTGTCAGTGCAAGTGGTATCGACTTAGCGTTCTACAGAGATGCTGTCTATGAGGAAATTCTGGCGCAGCAGTCATACCCTAATCAAGACAATGAGAACGGGAAAAGAAAAAGGGAAGAATCACATTCGAGTGAAAAGGACTGGGAATCAGACAAAACACATCAGACAAACTCACATACATATTCGGAGGCAGCGTAAGTTAGCACTTGTCCCCGCAGGATCATGTTCGCAAACTAACCTACAAAGGGCCGCTGTTCTAGCAAACGAGTTTCCGTATATCCCGATGCATTACATCAAGAAAATCATCCGAGAGAGAAAAAGATTATACCATGCTTACCTGACCCTTCGCTTGGACGAAACTCTAGTTGAAAAACGGATGGACCCATACGTGAGGTTGAAAAATCGGAGGGGTGCTGGGCTATCAAAGAGATTGGAACCGCTCCCTGAAATTATTACACGCGAGTTCAGCGCGGCAAAAGAGCAAGCACGAAAGCTGGAGAGTGAGTTCTGTAACTAGATAATTGAGACATTCACAGTTTGCTAATTTGTGCTTAATAGGTGATATACAGAAGAAGAAGGAGGAAGAGGAAGCAGAGAAGGCCAACGAAGAGGAACACACTCGGACTGGCAATCTTATCGAATGCCAATGTTGCTATAGTGATGTTCCAGCAAATCGGTGCCTGCCCTGTGAAGGAACCGAGATTCATTTTTTCTGCTTCACTTGTATTCGCAAATCCGCCGATACCCAGATCGGGCTTATGAAATACACCCTGCTATGCTTCGACGTCAGTGGATGCCAGGCTCCATTTGCCCGAACTGATCTCAAGGAGGTCTTGGGCTCATTGACTATGGACAAGCTAGACTCTATCGAGCAAGAAGACGAGATCCGGAAGGCGGGTTTAGAGGGCCTGGAGGACTGCCCCTTCTGCTCTTTCAAGGCAGTCCTGCCTCCTGTGGAAGAGGACAGAGAATTTCGCTGTGAGAACTTTTCATGTTTGGTAATTAGCTGTCGACTTTGCAAAGAGAAAAGTCATATTCCTATGACTTGCGAAGAAGCTCGAAAGGATAAAGGGCTCTCTGAGCGGCACCAGGTTGAAGAAGCCATGAGTAAAGCTCTCATTCGAAAATGTCCCAAGTGCCAAGTCCAAATTGTCAAGGAGTTCGGGTGCAACAAGATGACTTGTACCAAATGTCGTACTCTGATGTGCTACATATGCCGGAAGGATATCACAAAAGATTCATACCGCCATTTTAAACCCGGTGGCTGTCCCCAGGATGACATGAACACGCAGGACAGGGAGATTCAGAGAGCTGAACGAACGGCGATAGATAAGATCCTTGCCGAGAACCCAGGAATAACCGAGGAGCAAATCCGAGTGGGACATGTCAAATCCCAAAGATCTCAACGACTTCATACTGCCGGAGCTCCCATATACCCGGCCGAGTTTGTCCCGCACCAACCATGGGTGCCGGGTCTTTTCGGCATCTACCATGGACAAATGGCTCAGAATGCGGCTTATAACGCAGCCCAGAACGCAGTCCATAATGTGCCCCAACTTGAGCAATATGGTCAACCTGAGCAAGAGGGAGCGGTCGACAGAAGAGCTGCGCGCGCTTTTGCCATTAACCAGGAAGGTGGTCAAGTTGGCAACCCAGCACCACAGCACACCAGAGGAACCCAGTATGAACCTTTTCAGGACCTGTACCGGGACCTCTATTTACAACCTAATGCCGCCGTTTATGCCGCAGTTCTTGCACATGGCCACACAAACCCTCCCTTGGCCGATGGCAGAAACCCGCAACACGCTGACCTATTTCAACTTGAGCCCCAACAGAGACAGTCTGATAATCGAGAGCCCCTTCCTCACCGTCATATGCATGATTTCTTTTAAGTTTCCCTGGATAATCTCCCAGAACCGGCTTATCGCATACTCCATACATTGCAGGTGCCAAAGCCCACTCTAAGCGTTTACTCGACAGGATGTTTGATATTGATTTGATCCTCTTGGTTGTTGGATCCTACCTATTTTCTGCCATATACCCAAATTTTGCTCACATCTCGTTCCAGCGTTGCTTCGATTTGTCTTATTTTCTTTCTTTTCGTTTACTTGCCCTCCTTTTTAAGAGCGGGCGTCTTTCCATATGGTAATCATGCAGTTGCCCTACCCGGTGGTCCTACTCAACAGCTCAGAACTTACATAGCATTGTCCATGATGACCTCAAGAAAATTCAATCCATGGTTCAACAGCATCCAACGATCCCAGTATCATTTTCCCCCTTAATGCATAACCACTTACTTGTTCTAGGTACTTAGTAATTCAGTAAGCCCCAGCTTAAACGCTTACCACACTACTCACATTAAGAAATCAACAACAACCTCATTACCGGCTAACGAAATGCATCACCCTCTACCCTATCCATGGAAGTTCGTAAGTAAAGTAAGGTAGTATCCGATACCCTTCCTATACTAATACTACCCAAGATAGATCTACATACCCACTACTGGACCCCTTTCCGAGGGAAAAACAACCGAACGGCGAATGGAGCCTTTTTTTTAGTCACGTTACGTCATTTTCGATGGGGTTCGCCGATATCGTCGGCCGATATGCACACACACAATAATATTCTTTTTAGTTTATGGAGTGGGAGGGGTTACTTAAATAAATTTATTGGAGGGAGGGGTTTCGTGCGAAGGGTTAATTAAGAGTGAAGATGGCTTGCTTTGATCTCGACATTAGGACGGTTGGATACAGATGCTGCAATAAATAAATAAATACCTTGAGCCAGATATCATACGTCAGGTATATAAACCAATGGCCGGATTTGTTCCTCTCTGTCTTTTTTTTGACTCTTTTTCCCCCCCTTTTTTCTTTTCTTTTTTCCCTCGTGCAGTCTGGAATAGTAGATGCGTTGTATTGAGTTATATCAACCTACTTACCACCGACATTACCTGAATCTGTGCCATGAAAACAACGAACAAGACGAAGAAAAGAACCGTATGAGTAATTACAAATAAGATTCTTGGGACACTCGACTCTCCACCTGGACGGATGCTGGTGAAGGGGGAGGAAGGCAGCGTTTGTAGCTAACGCTAGATGTGTTTGGATTTGCTAGAACCGTGTAAGAGAAACTCCGACAAGACGAGAGAAATACAGGAAGTGGTATGAAAGGTGAACGGAGAATGGAGAATAAAGAATCGGTCGAAGGTTGGAAAGGTGAAGAAGAGGGAGAAGAGAATAGCGGAAGAGAAAAAGGCGTAAGGAACGTTGACATGAGAGGATATGAAACGGCGAGAACGGTAAGAAGAGTGAAAGAGATGATGAACCTGATCTATGTAAATGCCATGCGAGTCCCAAAATTCGTCCGCTCCCCATTTTATATATTTGCACCACTCATTGGACGACGATACCAGAATTTCTTCATCCATCATATATGTTCGATCATTGGTCACGCTAAAACAAGAAGATAATGAGGTTAAGAAAGGTTAAAAAAAAAGGAAGCACCCCCATATGCTCCACAGTATAAAACTAGACAGGCAAGAAACATGAGCAGTGAGTCGGTTATTTATTTATGGCGGATGTTCTGAATCCACCGGTTCATTGAATTTCTGCCGTGCCTCTTCCACCCATAACTCTAGACGAAGTTCGCCAGCCTCTACCCGACGTACTGGCACCGTCTTGGCGCGACCATTCGATACTCTTGGAGGCGGTTGTTGCGGCTCACCATTCCTCAGCTTCGAGACTGAATATGGAGCCGAACATGATCGGAGATGAACCTTGCCTGGTTCCGCCACAATCCAGGTCTGTTCTTCTGTTGTAGTCCCCGCAGGGGGTAAAGCATCCTCACGAACTTCGATGCAGACGGTAAAACTAAATTCATCATCACGAGGTAAAGGGGTCAATCGGGCGCAAGCGGACGCGAGTCTTGCCAGACAAGCACGAAATTGCGCCTCGAGATCGACTGTTTGGGCAGTGGGGACACCCATGGTGGCATCGTCCATTCTGTCCTCGAAAGTGGTGTGCACCTCGCCGGGCGGCACACGAGGGAACCCTGATAGATCGAAGGCATATCGCTCGAGGGGTTGATTTGTGCGTAGAGAGGATATAATGATGCTGACGGCTGTAATTGTGCCTTTTAATATTTCTGTTCCGACGGCAATCGAGGCGTCGTTTATGTAATCGCACACCTTTGGATGGCGGGATTGTCGGACGGGATAGTTGTACGCCCTGACGGGTAAAAAGGTTGCTCGCGGATAAACCGATCGGAGGAATAAAATCTGGTGTACAGAGACGGTGAGGAAATTTGTGAAGGAAGCGGCCAACGCAGCCTGATTATGGGGAGACCGAGGTGCGGTGACCGGGGCAGAAAAAGTTGTCATGGTTGCCGTCGTGGTGGTGCTCTCACTGGCTATAGGCATCGCCGCCGATGGCTCTGGAGTCGTCGTTTACACGGGAAATATAGAGTTGTCGGGATCTTGAAGAGACTGAGTGTTCCACCCTGAGGATAATCATCGCTCTGCCTATTGTTCACACGAAGGGTCAATAACCGAGTTTGTTGACAACTTGACAGAGGCTGAATGAGCGGTGGAGCGGGGAGAGAGAGACAGGATGAGGCCCAGACGAATGACGTGATGCATTTTATCTCGAGCAGAAAAAGTAAAGACACGAAGAGATTAAGGCCGAAGGGCCGACAACAGAGTCATGACCTCGAGGGGCAAGCAGTGGCTTGAGACGCGAGGAGGGGAGACAGTGAAGAGGTTTACATACGTTGGGTGGAGAAGACGAAACAAGGGAACCTCAAAGCATGGGGTTTAGAGTCGTAGCGATCGTGTCGAGTCGTGTCGGGGGTATAATTCGGGATTATTCTCGAGGTAGATTAAAAAGAAGGACTGCGAAGTTCGAGAAACGACGGTTGGCGCTGGTGATGACGCTGATGCTGTAATCCCCTCGGAATTCCTTCGTGTGTAATGATTATTATTAAGGTTGCTTTTTTGGGGGTGGTGTGTCTCCCCTCTCCCTCGGAGGATTTTGTTCCTGAAAACCTTTTTTCTCTGGCTTAAAGAATACTTGTGTTAAGTGTTTAAGGGGGTTGGCTCTTTTTTTTTTTTTTTTATATATTTTTGGGTCTGGGGAGGGGAGGAACTGTGGGTGGCCAGAAAACAAGGAACCAATTCTTGGGGAGGAGTGAAGAGCGAAGGTGAGTAGTAGGGGAGGGCAGTGGCAGTGGGTTAAGGAAGAGGAGAGAGAGGAGGGCCGAGATAGCCGGGAGCTTCACTCGGGCGCTGCAGAGAGACACAGAGAGGCAAAGAAGGCAAAAGGAAGAGAAGAGGAAAGGAAGAGAGAGAAAGTGAGAGAAGAGGCAAGAGGGAAATTGGAACAAAAGAGAGAGGCGACTCTGGAGGGGAACTTCTGGTCCGCTGCGCTGTGAGTCGTGAGTCGTCGTCGTCGTCAGGTCCAAGAGTGGAAACCACGACCCAAGTCCAAGTCACGATGCTTCCCTGTCACGTGGTTTGCGTGCGCAGATCGCTGAGCTATACAATCACGCCCTCTCGATTCTACCAGGCCACTGCTCGCCGGGTGGAGAACTTCCCCGGCCCTCAACCTGAGGATTCAACACAGACTGGTGATCGCAAAAAAGACACCTTAGTGCACCAGATCTATGTCTTATATCCGTTGCCGTCTTCACCAATTTAAAAGATTAACCCAACACAAGGCAAATCCTTCCGCTTTAGACGGATCCACATTGGCTGCCCCTGCTGAATGGAGAGAACCAAACAAATCCGCGACCCTGCCCTGGCCTTCCACCGGGACGGACTGATCTGCAGCAGCCATCTCCCATCCAATGGCAGCCGGAAGCAATAATAATGCAGTTGCTTTATGCTCGCGCGTCTGTGGCGACGCTGTCATCAACTATTTGCAAAGCCCTTTATGATACCCTCCAAATATCCCCAGCGTCATCCTGGATGATTGTTCCTCCAGTGTCTTCCCAAGAGCCCCCCACTCCGTAGTCGGGCCTCTGTGGTGGCATGGCTTCCGAATGGGGGAAAGTCCCCTGTCGCATCTGCCCCTCCCTAGTACTAATAGGGCGACCCAACGCAGTGTACAAAGTACGATGAAGTACTCTGAGCGAAGAAACCTTTTACCGAGGGTATGCTAGAGACTACAGGATACTACATTGGAGTATACTCGGGCTTTGGCGAAGGAGTTTTCTCCAACTTATATCCTTTGTTAGCAGAGAGTTGTAGCTATCTCATTATGCAAACTTGCTCTTCTGGAGCTCAGTGACGAGACACTCCCTACGTATGCGATGGAACAGGATAATTTCACGCATGACCAAAGCCCCTCAGGTCTCATGATCTCCAACTTGTAGTCTGCTTAATAACACGTTATCTGCGAGGGCTGAGGGGGACGGCATGCTTGTAGCTGCCCTACGCAGCAATTTGTAGGCGGGGATCCTCACCGCCTCCCGTCTGCCCCTCTTGACGCGATCCATCGCGGTCTCCTTACCACCGCGTCTGGAGATTATACTGCCTGTGGCCCACTGCTGTGATACAAATACGTTTCCTACCGAGCTACCCTGTTGGCTGATTCAGACACTCCTTTTCGATCCCATTGACCATTTTCTCCTCCGTCGCCTCCCACAATGGAGCACGAGCTCCTCTCCCTGCTTGCCGACACGCAGTCGCCGGCTGCTGATACGAGAAAAGCCTCTGAGCTCCAGTTACTTCACCTCTACTCAAACGAAAATTTCCCCCTATCCCTCGCCGCAATTGCCTCCCATGACTCTGTCCCTACGAACCTCCGTCAATCGGCTCTCTCAGTTTTACGCACTTTCATTACAGCGGCATGGTCCCCGAACCTCGATGAATTCAAAGGGCAGGTCCTGATCAACGATGTCAACAAAGCCCAGATTCGACAAGTACTTCTAGATTTGGCGACCACCACCGAAGTGGCCGAGCGAAAAGTCAAGTCTGGAGCTAGCTTCGCCGTCAGCAAAATTGCCAGCGCCGATTATCCAGAACAATGGCCCGAGTTGCTTCCTGCACTTCTGCGAATCATCAACGACACCAGTAGTACACCCGGTGCGCTGCACGGCGCATTGAAAGTTCTCCTGGATCTAGTGGACACCGGATTCAATGAAGAACAATTTTTTAATGTTGCTCGAGATCTCGTCAGCACATTGTTTAATGTGGCCACCAACGAGTCGAGAAAGCCAATGCTCAGGGCATTGGGCGTCGCGGTTTTCCGCTCGTGCCTTGATACACTCGAAATGGTTCTGGAACAGCACAAGGTAGCCGTTAAACAGTTTATGGATGAAGTCCTTACCGGGTGGTCTCCATTCTTCATCGAAACTCTCAAGGCCCCGTTGCCACAGGCTCCGACGGAGCAGGAAGAATCCAAGGATACGGAGGTTCCCTCGCAATGGAGGGGTGTCATTGGATTGAAGCTACAAGTTGTGAAAACCCTAATGAAGATCCGAATGATTTTTCCCGGCCTATTAGTTGCCCAAAGCCCTGTTTATTTTTCGACTATTTGGACAGAGCTGTCAAACGCCCAGGGGCCTTTCTACCAATTCTACATTGAAGATGAACGCCAGGGCCGACTTGTAGACGTGGACGGACTTCCTTATACACTGGATTTGCTGGTTCTGGAGGAGCTGGATTTCATCCAGAGCCTCTTGAAGGCACCACCAGTCAAAGCAGAGCTCCAGCAACAGCTACAGAACGCAGGCCAAGCTGGAGCAACTGCTGGTTGGCTGCCGGAAATTCTGAAGTTGGCTTGCTCCTATGCTCAGATCACGTCCGAGGAAGAGGGCTTATGGGACATTGATGTCAACCTATTCCTTTCCGAAGAAACTTCTGTCACAGCAAACTACACCCCTCGCACTTGCAGCGGAGACTTGGTAATCAAGTTGGGAGACTGGATCAAGGACGCGACGACCCAAGGTCTTCTCGCCTTCCTGAATGGTGTTTTCTCTGATGCTTCATCTTCCTGGAAGAGCCGCGAAGCCTCACTTTTTATTCTCAACGCTCTGCTCAGAGATTTACATGAGGTCTCGCAAGAAATCGTGCCGGAGCTTGCCAGTGGTTTCGGTGGGTTTGTTCAATATGCCATTCAACAGGAGCAGGAGCTCCTAAGAGCTCGTGGCTACCTTGTTGCGGGAATACTGGCAAAGGTGTCCAATGTCGGTGACGCTTACCTCGAGGCGACTCTGGCAGCCATCTCTAAAGATCCGTCAGAAGTCGTGAAGGTAGCTTGTCTCCGCGCGCTACAGGATCTTTTACCTTCGCTTTCTACTAGCACCACAATTCCTCTCCAGGAACCGATAATATCTGCGGTATCCGATTTCGTCTCTGCCCATGACCTTCGCGAGTCATCCGACACTGATGACCTTAAGGTCACTTTGGCCGAAACTCTCCGTGATACGATCATGGTTCAGCCAAGCATAGTTCTCTCGTCTACAGCCCTCGACGTACTATTCAATATTGCGAGCAACGGCGCTACAAACTTCCAGTTAACCATGATCATAACGGAGGCATTCGAGGACATAGTCGAAAATATCGCAGACCAAGGCGCCGATTCCTTTGTCCGTCTCTGTGAAAAGGTCCTTCCTTCGATTATGGGCGCTGTCGATGTCGGAAACTTGACCCAGGAAATTTCACTGACAATCTTTGCTGCGGATCTCCTACGTGCTCTGACAGAGGGAGCCCTCGAACCCCTGCCAGCGGGCTTTGTTGAAACCGTCGTGCCGAAAGTAAACAGACTACTGCTCGACTCGACTGATGCTGAGCTTATTCGACCCGCTACGGAATCTGTGAGACATATCCTTGCACACGATTTCAACCAATTCATCGCCTGGCGTGACCCGCAAAGTGGCAAAGAGGCAATCGAAGTTGTCTTGGTGATCATCGATCGTCTTTTGGGCCCCTCGGTCGACGACCACGCTGCGACAGAGGTTGGCCAGCTTGCTGCCGAGCTAGTCGAGAGAGCGGGATCAGAACGGCTTGGTCCGTATCTTCCACAGCTTCTTCAGGCCGTTGCACGCCGCCTTGTCACTGCCGAAAAGGCTCAGTTCATCCAGAGTTTGATTCTCGTGTTTGCCCGATTGACGCTTATAAGTGCACGGGAGGTCGTTGACTTCCTGGCGCAAGTGGACATTGGCGGGCAGAGCGGATTGCCTATTGTGATGAGCAAGTGGCTAGAAAACTCGGTCAATTTTGCTGGGTACGACGAAATTAAGCAAAACATTATTGCGTTGGCAACCTTGTACAACCTGGAAGACCCTCGACTGGCCCAAGTTCAGGTCAAGGGAGACCTCATTGTGCAGGATACTGGACGGATCAAGACTCGATCTCAGGCTCGCAACAACCCGGACCGCTACACAACCGTGACAGCGCCTTTGAAGATTGTCAAGGTTCTCGTGGAAGAGTTGGCAGCTGCATCGGGCAACAAGGAAATCGATGCGGCTACAGCGGCAGCGTTGGAGGAAGAAGGTAGTGACGATGGCGACGAGTGGGAGGATGTGCCGGACAACACTCTTGATCTCAGCCTAGGCGTGACCAAGCAAGAGCTGATGGCGTTTGGCGAAGGCGGCACTGAAGGGGTGTTTGGCGTGCGCAAGCGGGATGATGAGACCCAAGCGTTTTTGTTAGACTTCTTCCGAAATGCGTCTACAAAGAACGAATTCGGGCAGGTGTTTGCGGGGCTGACGCCGGACGAACAAGAGAAGCTGCGGACTTTGGGTTAATTGTGGACGTCGTGGACGATTTATGTTTATGACTTTCTCGATGTGAATAATCTCCGTAATGATAGATTTGAGTGCAAACATGCAAATAAATGATACCACAAATGACGAAACGTACGTCGACGTTGTCAAGATGAAACCATCGAATGCTTGTCAGGCAGACAGGCAGCTGCTGAAGAGGCCCTAGCGCGAGCTTTTGGCGGCCACAGCCTATGGGGGAGCAGCCTGGAGCCCGCAGGGTCTGCCTTTTTTTGCTGAGGGATTGGATTCTGCACCCGCACCCGACAAAGTGGCTGATCGACTAAGTGATGGACAATTCACACCGGCCCGTGCGGGGCTTTGCTTCCAGCCCTCCAAGGTTGCTTGCTTGAAGGGACTGAGACCGGCAGAGAGTTGGGCGGGAGAGAAGTCGGATGATCCGCTCGAGCATGATACCTTGCAGACTGAGGTATCACCCTGCTGCTCGACGCCAAGCTGCAGCGAGCCAGCGACTGCAGCGACCCCAAAGCGATCCCACCGCAGCGGTCAAAATGACCCAACTCCTCTGTCCCGGGACCGCAACCCCTGTGCCTCTCTCCCTTTCTTTGGCGTATCTGCAGCCATGAGTCTTGGTGTTCCTCCATGAGCCTGTCAAACACGCCTGCTGGATCGTTGACAAACTTTCTTCCGCCAAAAGCGAAAAGCCCCTCTTATGACTGTCCGCGTGGTCCAGCTCTCCTCGTCCGCCAGCGCTTTCTTCTGCTCGCACCCGCGTTCCCGACAGCTTGGGTCCTTTTCTTTGCCGTCCTTCGTGTTGGATCGTGCTTCCAGAAGCTGTCAACCCACCCCCCCGGAACATGCCGCCCCCCAATTTCCATGAGCATATCCAGGTCGATGTAAGTCACTTTCGCTCTTGCCTCGTAGTGCCTATAGCTTGTTCAATTCCTTTGCAATTTGTTTGGCACAATTTGTATCAAAGCCCCCCCGTGTTTGCACTTTCATGGTGACATGCGACTGCCGTGCCCCTCCCTCCCCCTCCGCTCTCTTTAACCGACCCCATGAATTGATAATTCTGCAGACAAGTGACGAAGACTCTCTTTACGATGCCGACTCCATAGCTAACTCGAGTCTCTCGTTCGCCTCGACCGTTCGAGATTACTACTATGAAAATGGCCGTCGGTATCATGCCTACCGGTACGGCCAGTATCCAATACCCAACGATGAAGAGGAGCAGGATCGCTTAGCCATCACCCACCACCTCTTCAAGCTCCTCACTGGGGGCGACCTATACCGCACCCCTCTGGCCCAACAGCGGCCACCAAAGCGGATTCTCGATATCGGCACAGGAACCGGAATCTGGGCGCTGGAGATGGCTGAGGAATTCCCAGAGGCCGACATTGTCGGCACTGACCTAAGCCCTATCCAGCCAAATTTCTCCCCGCCCAATTGCACATTTATCATCGACGATGCAGAGAGCGATTGGGCGTTCACCAAGGATGAGGCCTTTGACTATATACACGCCCGCTCTATGGGTGGTGGTATTGGCGACTGGGAGCAGTTGCTTAAGCAGGCTTATAACCATCTCAAGCCTGGTGGCTGGATTGAGTTCCAAGAATTTGAAGTCGGCGTACGCTCAGATGATGGCACCCATCGAAAGGCACCGTTGCTTATGGATCTATCCAAGAAATTAGATGACGCCAGCATGCAATTCGGGAAGCGGATGAGCATCGCTTCCTCGCTTTCTGGGTGGCTAGAGGGGGTTGGGTTTAGCAATATTACGGAAGATATATACAAGGTAGGTACCTCTCTTTTGACGCTTCCGTTAGCAAGTTGCTCACTCTCAGTGTTAGTGTCCAGTAGGCACGTGGCCCAAGAGTCCGCGTCTCAAGGAGATTGGGCGCGTCGGCAAGTTGTCAGTAATCGAAGCCATCGAACCATATTCGCTTGCACTCTTCACTCGAGTACTTGGCTGGTCCTACGAAGAAGCGCAAAACTACGTCAACGAATGCCGCCGGGAGGTAATGAATTCGTCATGCCATTTATATGTGTTCTTTTATTATGTCTATGCCCAACGACCTCTGGATGATTTATGAGAACGATATTGAATGATGTCTGGACTTCTTACGGCCTTTTTCCTTGTCCCTTTGCACTTTGGCGGCTCTCTCTTAGATATATATACTTCATGGTCCCACAAAAGTTGGTACCAAGCCTGGGCAGTCAATATAATATGCTGCACTTCAACTAAATTCTTGATATGTATACATATAACTTCCATGTACGCCCGCAAACCCATTTTGCAAATCTCACTTTCAGCCCTGCAAGGAAAACCCAACTCCCTCACCAGTCCCCATCGCAACCAAATTCGCCCTCATTTTTTCCGCCCTATCCCCAATCCCAAACGCCGCGTCCTCCCTGTGCACCCAAGCCCCAACGCCATGCTGCAACACCGCCGTCGCTCTCACCTTCTTCTCCTCAGCCTTACTGGGCCCTGTGCCAGTCCCAGGCTCTTTAACCCCAACACTCCCATGCAGAGTCAACCTCGACTCCTCCGCCCCCTCCCTCTTCGCCTTGTAAACCCCACGGTGCAAGATATTGCTATCATAAAACACCGCATCCCCAGGCTGGAGCTGTACAACCAACTGCCCCGGCATATTATCCTCATAAGGATCCGCATTACGCTCTGTCTCCGTGCGCACACGCCTATGGGACCCGGGCACAACAATCAGCGAAGCGTCCTCACACAGCGCAAGATTATATTGCGCGTGCGACTGTCGACCACCGGGGCTCTTCGACGCGAGCAACCGCTCCTCCTCCTCGGGCGAAACATCGGCGGGGATATCATCTCTATGCCAGCGCAGCGCGAAGTCATGGTTCTCAGGCGCGACGAGCAGGTTAAACAGTTCCATGACTAGACTCTCGGGCTTCTCCGCTCCTCCATTAGCAGTGCTGGAGTTGGAATTCGGGTGGCCTAGTAGCTCTTCCACAACGGCTAGTATGCGCTCGTCGAAGTAGAACTTTGCGAACTCGGTCCGCCCCGGCATGTCGGGGTGGAGGAGGTGCTGGACGCCCCAGATGCCGCCTTCGGAGGCCGGGGGTGGGACGTTTGTTGGCCAGGGCGGGAACTGTTTGGGGACGGTGCGGAAGTGAGGCCAGGAGCCTGTGCGGGTGCGGGTTGTGGCATGTGTGGCGGCGTGGATGAGCGTGGTGAATTCCGGGGAGGATGGTGGGATGACAGAGGGGATGACGACGAAGCCGTCTTTTTGGAGGGATTGGAGATATGAGGAGGCGGTCATTGTGATGGTTTGTGGTTGAGGTTGAGGTGATTATGATTATGTGTGGATGATTGGGCGCATTTGAGACGAAAGGGAGGAAGTTGGAGGTATAAAATAATTACATTTGCTAGGCGAGGTTGTACTTTGCTGCCGACACCGTCGCACTGCTAAGCTCCAGTTGTGGCTAATGGATACTACTGTCGCAGCTGAAGAAACAACTTTCAGGTAGTATGTTTTACCCCGCGCAAGCACTGATAGCAGAGCGGGGTTCCCAAACAATAATAATGTCCGTAAATATTGCCATGCGAGTCAATCTTTTTTTTATCGCAAGCCAGAATAAGGTTTCCACTTAATGAGGCCGGTTTATTTATCTCTCTTTCGGTTGCAGTAGCTTTCTTTCAGCTTCCTCGGCACGCCTTATGAGATCACGATCGCACTGGGCTGGGCTTGCACAGTGGGACCGGCAACAATCAGACGCCAGCCATCTCGTGTGAGTCCAGCTCTCTTCCTTCCAACCAAAACACAACCGTCCTCTTATTTTCTCCATCTCCTCGACCCTATTTTGCCTCTAGTACATCTCCACTCGGAAGCTCACAATGGCCCCTCGAATGAGTCTGGGTCTGAGTACCCTGCTCGCCCTGGGCCTTGTCCTGCTCCTGCTCCCCTGCCAAGTTCACGCTTTCGGCGCCGGCAGTACGCTCCACTCCATATTCCTCAGAAACATCTGCTGTTACTAACTAAAAATACAGACATCGCTTCTATTTCAAAGGTCGAAGGAAAGAATTGGCGCCATGGAGATATCGAAGACATGCTCAAGACTGTGGCCTTTATCAAGGGCCACAAATGGACATCCAACATGATCAAGCGCGTTTACTTTGGGAATTGGTTGAGGGATTAGTGAGTATTTATTTACTTATTTATTTCGTGGGTGAAATGAAGCTAACCTGTTCCTTACTTGCAGCTCCCAGGCTATGGATGTCGGTACCCTCAAGAGTCTTCCCGCCGATACCATTCGCATTCTTGTTTGGATTCTGTCGTTTTTGACATTCGGGTATGCAACGGCAGAGTATGAGGTCACGGCTGATAGATTGGGAGTTTATCGTCCAGAGGAACACATTGAGTGAGTGCCATATTTGACAGAACTTTTTGATGAACGACTGATCTGACTGGTATATATAGCAACCCGAAAGATTATGCGGATAACGACGATGCCCGCAAATTCGACGAGCGCCTGCGAGGCCCCATTCGTCCCGTTGAGCTCGACATTGATCCCGATACTGGTATGAAGAACTATATTGCCAACGAGAGAGGAGATTGGGCGACGAGTGCCGCGTATATAAAGTACAGTCTTGCTCGCAGCATTCATTATGGGAGACTATACACCAGTGGGCACCGCAAGGGAAATGAGGAGGACCTATGTGAGGCCCTTCGATGCCTGGGTCAGGGCCTTCATACCCTTGAGGACTTCGCGGCGCACACGAATTACTGTGAGCTTGCGCTCCGGGAGATGGGCTTCCACAGTGTATTCCCACATACCGGTACCCAGACCCAGATCAACCTCCGTGGACACCATGTCTTTCCGCTTGTGACGGGAACATTTGGAATGGTTGACTTCTTCCATTCTGTGCTTGGTGAAGCGACTGACCACTTCACTCAGTCGGAGGTCAACGAGATGGATACTGCACTTGGGAATGCTGAGTCGAACTCGTCCTCCAATTCGCTCAGCTCTCTCACCGGACTTTTGGGGAAAGTACCTGGATGCAGTGATCTAGTCGCTGAAGCCGAGGCACTTAAACGTCGCTCGGAAGCTCAACAGTCTGCGAACAGCCATAGCGGTACTCGCAGTGGATACGCTGCAGCTGGTGAGTTCGCTCGTGGATTCAACGACGACTCCGAGCACAGCCGCGGCTTGAATGAACAAACCAGGGCAAGCGCACCATCAAACGCAGACACAAGCTCTGGCAAACCCACGGGATTGCCTGGGATGCCGGATTTCAACCCAGCGGACACCATTGCTAAGATCTACCCCATCCTCGCCTTCCGCGACAAGGTTGTTCGGAAAGTGGAATCAGTTATTGAGAAAATTCCTGGTTTGGAGGCGCTGGTCGAGAAAATTTCCGAGACATTGACTGTCTTCATCATGTCTCTACTCGCCCCCTTCATCCGGCCCATTATCAACGCCGCCTCCAAGTCTCTGCAAACCGGATCTTCGGGTGTGATTGAGTCCTCTTCAAAGCATCAGTTCGAACCCTGGACCAACCCTCATTGCACCGACCCTACACACTCCATGCTCTCGAAGGACCATTTTTCCAACATCCTCAACGAGCCTGCCGGTGAAGTCGCTTCCGCCATTCTTAGATATGTGGCGCCCCGCGTTCTCTACGCCTGGCAAGACATCAATATCCCGGAGCAGCAAGTACTGCACGATAGTCTCGACGTCTTCCACCATCCTGCTCTCCGGAACATGCGCAACGATGCCCATCGCACCATGTTCGAAGCCGTCCAAGCTTGGGTCCATGCCATGCCTGACCGTGGCGCCAAACTCAACGACATCCTCAGCGCCGAGGGCGTGAGGAACGGAAAAAACAACGGTGGGGAAGTCGGCCACTCCCATTCCCACGGTGGATTCCCAACCTTAGGAGGCGCTGCAGCTTCAGCACACGGCCAAGGTCACGGCCACAGCCAGACTTCCAGCCACGGGTATTCCTCCCACCAATCCTCCCACCAGCAAAGCCACCAAAGCTCTGGCTCGCAGCTTCCCTGGGAAAAGCTCTCGGCCCTTCCCATCCCCGGAATCCAAAACATCGACAAGCTCAGCAGCAAACTCTCTAGCTTCGGTCTTGGTGGTCTCACCGGGTCGTCGTCAAGGGACGATACACCAACCCACTCACAGTCCCAGCACCATCACTCTGGAGGATACGGGCATTCACAGCCTGGGTCCGGGTATAACACTCCTCCTCAGGGATACGGCCATGAGCATAGCCAAGGGCACCATCATCAGCATCACCATCATCAGCACCAACATGGGCACCAAAATGAGCACGGTCACGGACAAGGCCATGGGTATGGACACCAACACGGCTACGGAGGTGGATATGGGGGCGGATACTAGGGTCAAGTTATTTGTAACGACTGACGTTTAACTTTTACACGAAGCGGGTATGAGAAATGAGCAAAACGAGCACGGTGCATACAGATAGGATGGTTGGGGAAGTTGGTGGTTACCTCTTTTTTTCCTTATTGTTGCTAGAAATTCCGTTTTGGTATTCTTCGTAAAGCTAATAAAACAATATAATCGGTGTGGGAATGAGTCAATTAATACTTTAAAGTATTTGATTGGGGGTATTATCGCTTCCAACAAACTCCGGCATCTTCGCCGTAGTGAAAACGAGTTCAGTACAGTCGAGACGGCCTTGCTGTAACAGGCTATGAGCTATAACTAAAACATGGTATTGCACAAAATTCATCACTCATCCATCCCAGTATTAAAAACAAGAATAGTAGGAGAAACCGCAAGTTTACAATTTCGTCCCCTCCCTCCCCGTATCGCTCAGCCTCCTCGGCCTCAGCAACCCAGGGGCATGATTACTTGGCCCTGCTGCAGCTCCCGGCATTCCAGGCCCGGTCCCTGAGTCGCCGCCATTTTGCGTTCGTTGTCCTTGGTGTAGCCGTGGATTCATAAGCCACTGCATCTGCATACGGACACTGCTAACGGCGGCATTTGTGTGCGCCATGTCTTCCTTGAGCCGTAGACACTCGTTCATGATTGCCATGCTTGCACGGGCATCGAGGTCTGTTATGGCATGGGAAAGCTGGGCGACCTCTTCGCGGAGGGATTCGTGAAGGGAAAGAAGGTAGGTTGTTGCGTTTGTAAGGGGGTTGGTGGATGCGTCGGGTTCGGTTTGGGATGGGCCTGGCCTGAGAGCGTTTGATGAAGAAGGGGCGGCGACGAATGAAGGGAAATCGTCCCCAGGGTATTCTGGATCGTTGGCATTATTACCATTGTTGTGTGCGGAGAAGGCGCGGGATGATTCAACGAGGGTTGAGCGGATAGAAGAAAGGCCGTCATCCAGAATTTCATTGCGTTGTTGAAGGTGACGGACTGTTAACTCCATGGAATCAAGTCGGGAGTTCTGAGCTTCGAAGTACGGCCCTATCGTAATGAGAGGGCAACTTTGCTCATGGGAGCTCAACTCTGCACGTTTCATCTTGATAGGACAGCCAAACTTGGATGCGGCGCATGGGTGGATCGCTTCAGGGCAAGCGTCAATGTGTTCCCGGAGGGCTTTTCGGAAAACGGTGACCTGGCAATCCGGGCAAGTTGTTTGGAGACTTGGGCATAGTTCTTTCACATGCTCCTGTGTGAAGGCAATAAGTTAGCATGTTGGGCAAGTATAGGGAATCTAACGGGTGTACCTCGTAATCCTGCTCCATGATGTCTTTCTCGCAACGCAGACATTTGTGTAACTCGTGCATGCACTTCTTCTCCGGGCTGAGGTCCTTCTTGCGAGTCCTTTGGTCGCAATCAGGGCCAGGGCAGTTCATCAATTTATAGCTGCAGTACTTGTCTGCATGGGTCTGGATATGGCCCCTCGGAACAATCTCCTCGCAGCCTTCACTCGAATATGGACATCGCACCGAAAGGTCATCGCACATGTTGGTTAGGAGTCGGGGAACATTAAGGTAGACATCGTGCGTAGGAGTGCGGCATGTGGGACAGGTAAAGCCCTCCCCATGGCGGCCGAAGGTGAAGTCCTCTCGCCCGGCGGCGAAACTGTGGATAGCTATATTCAAACATGCTTGACAAAATACATGGTCGCAGCCAAGGCGCACCGGTCGAATAAAAGGGCAGTGGCAGATTGGGCACATGAGATGATCGTCATAACTAGAGATGTACTCGAGCCCGCGCAAGTCAAGGACCTCGTCGGAGTCTCCGCCAACATCCATGGCGAGAAACTGGTCGAGTTTCATGATGAAAGTGATGAAGGCCCCGCTTCCTCCAACTTATAGTACGCCGTACAACAGCTGACCTCCAGCGAAAGGGGGGAATGTTGTCTCAAGGGGCCGCCAACTCGGGTTTAGTGTGGGTGAGATGATGAAACAATAGCTGCGAGTGACAGCGCATCAGGGTCGCACAGTGGCTGAACTCGAAGGAAGGGGGTTGCGACTTGGGAGAGCGGTGTTCGGCGGGAGGATATGAGGGAGTGGATGATGAGGGCGGGCGGAAATAGTTCGGCATGATGGAAGGGCGAGGCGGAAGAGGAAGTGGTCCAAAAGTGGGAGTGCGGGGAGGCGAGAATGACCGTCACGGTGACTGCCGTCACTACTGCCAGTGGAAGACACTGCCGAGCGCAGCCAGAAACTGCCCGTTTGGTTGTCCAACAGGAGGAGCAGTCAATGAATATATCCAGTCTATTATTGTCTTCTTTATCACTCTTAGTGTCGACGGGATTCTCGACTCTCGGCCTGCATCCGTTTGCATATTAGCGCTGAATCTCCGCAATTCACGCATCGACCTCATCAACCTCATCAGCCCCAGGCACCGACCATCGCCAGTCATCAACCTCCATCAAACACCACCATCTGCCATCAAACCTTGACCTCCTCTCTTTCGCCTCATCCACTGCAGAAAAATAGACCAGGCTCTGACCTCTCACAATGCCGAACCCGTCTCAACTCTTCCTCCTTGCCGATCACATCAAGCTCTCCCTCCTCGAACGCCAACGAGCCATCTCGTTGAATCTAGAGCCCAACAGCCAAGATGGCGAGATCTCCCGCTCACTCGACTCACTACGAGAAGGAATCGAAAGCGTCGAATCCGATGTTACGAGATTAGAAGAATCAAACGATGATGAGGCCTCCGTTCTAAAGGACCAACTGGTCCATCTACGGTCGCAACACAGCGATCTATCGTCGCAATTCAACGGGCCTTGCAGCTCAGCTGCCGATGATGACCGGACAGACTCGCCACAATTCCAAAATGTCAAGAACTCATCGCCGGACCTAAAACAGCCCGTTCCGCAGCATCCGCCGTCCAAATCAGTTCGTTTCATGGACGATTCCGCCGACGCCGAAGAAGATCTAAACCGTCGCAACCTGTTCCAACCATACCGAGACTCGCCGTCTCCTGAGCGCGTTGATACGTCTGACATGTCAAATGACCAAATATACGATCACCATGAGCAGGTAATGCGGGATCAGGATGACCAGTTGGACCGGTTAGGCGAGTCTATCGGGCGGCAGCATCAGCTGAGTATCCAGATAGGGGATGAGCTCGACGGCCATGTAGCGCTGCTGGACGGGATAGACGGTGATGTTGAGCGCCATCAGAGCAGACTGGACAATGCGAAGCGGCGCATTAACAAGATTCGCAGGAGTGCTGGTGAGAACTGGAGCATGATGACGATCATCGGGTTAATTATTGTTCTTGTTATCCTGATCGTCCTTCTGAAATGAGTCTTGTATGCCTGCTTTTTACTGTTTTGTCTCAGTTATACCTTGTCTAGCGGCGCGATGGCGTTGATTCTCAGTTTCATATCTGCTCTGGGTTAGAACCACTCTTGGTGATCGGACACTCCTTGATTGCGTGGGACGGCGTTTGGGGGTAGCCAGCTTATATTGTGACGATTCAAATTTTATATACTCCTACACTCCTGAATTTATCTTACGAAAGCAAGATTCGATCGTATGTTGATCAATTAAGTTCATTGCCGTCACTTGGAATGAAAATTCCCCTAGGGCTATATTATGCGTAGTACAAAACAGCCCAATCTGAAGAAAATATTACTTAGAAGCTCGGTAAGAGAAAAAGCAAAGCGCCAGGCCCAGCTATTTTAACCCTTCTTATTAGGCTCGTTCTTCGTCTTATCTTGCAGGTCAACAAAATCCTCTTTACCCTTTACCTCTCCCCTATCGGCTTTGACCTTTTGGCACTGGTTAGCAATAGCTCAAAAAACTAACATAAGGTATATAATAAAGATGTCGAGTAAAACGTACCGATGCCTCACTATTGCTAGCAAGGTTCTGGTTCCATTTCGCCTGTCCCTCCTTCTGTTTCTTGATCTGATCCTGCTTCTCGGATTCGTAGTGCTCGTTCAAGTCGTCGCGACCTGGGAGGTCTACTAGTTAAATTTTTCTGTCTTTGCTTCGGCATTATGAAAGGGATACTTACTCTGATCTCCCTCCTTTAGGCCCGAGCGAGCTGCGGATGTGTGCAATGCGGAGGTTGTGGGTGCGAGAATGGCCGTTGAGCCTGGTCTGAGGGAGAGACGGGTCGACGCGCGGATGGAGGGTAAGAATGACATGATGAATTTCGTGGTTCTTTTAATCCAATTCGCTCTTCTCCAATCTGTCTACCAGGTTAATCCGAGGCCTGCTGGATTAAAAACGGGAGGCAACGGAGCTTACAGATGAATCGTGGGTAGATGATGGATGTTGTACGGGGAACGCTGGGAGTCAACTTTTTAGCAGCAACGAAGCTAGAGGGGCCAGAAGGCAGAGGTATTTAAACAGGAAGCTCCAGCGAGGTGCAAATGGCTTGCGAATCCAATTCCCTGAACGTCATGCCCCCCCAGCAGCCAACCAAACGGTGTGGATTTTGAAGACAGGCGGATGACGTCATGAATACTCCAACGCCGTTACGATGGGCTTCGACCTGGGTCGACTCGTTAACCGAGGTCATCATACTCCAGCTTTCGGGGAAATGGGTTGACGGATGTTTATTTTTGAGAATAAACCTGGAGATACAGACTGTGTTGGTTGGACTTGGTTTAGCATAAATTGAATGGCCATTCAATGGTCGACTTGTTTCGTATATAAAGTGCAGTCTGTAAATCACTGGGAGCTTTTCAAGTCCTATTTGGCTAGCACAACAATTATACCTGTACCTTAAAGTATAAAATAATTAGTAATGAGTGGTCTGGAATTCTTTTCTAAGAAGAATCCAAATGGCGTTGGATTATACTACCCCAGAGCCAGATCATTTGATTATCAAAGGTGGGCTGTGGTTATCTAGTAAAGAGCCCAGTATACCAATCAAGAATATATATCCTTGCAGTTGCTAATATTTTATATGTCAGGTTGCATTACATTCTCGAGTTGGGCAGTTCTATTAATAGAGGCATATGCCAGCAAGGACTCTGCATGCGGTGACTTCGAATGGATTGAAAGCTGTGGGATGCCCTTCCTGCCGATTCTTTCAAATAGATGTACTACGGCCATGGTCAATAATTAGGCCAAGCATGATCTATCTAGTTGAAAGTTGTGGTGAATAGGGATGCCCATGGTATCTGTATATATTTTCAATCACCAAGGCTCCGATCTCCATTATAACCATATATGCCGAGATCACAACATCAATAACCAGTCTCTAATGAAATCATACAATCCATCCATAAGAATAACAATTGGCATTTAGTGGTTCTTCTACCTTGCTTACATGCCAACAACTAAGATACAACCTACATCTCGTTTGCTGGGAGTAATTACGGCGGTTCCAACACTAATAAACGAGTATGTGAAAATGACAAATGAGATCTCATTGAGACGACAGAAAGGTTCGGATATCTAAAGAATAAACTCAAGGACAAAGAATTTTATCTGGAGAGGTCTGCCCCTGGGAGACCATATATTGAACGCTGATCCAATCCATGGATACACAGCCAGTTGACCTAAAACAATAGGGACTGCGTGTCACCAGTCCCAAACCATATACAAGAAGCAAAAAAAGAAACAAAGTAGAGAGGTTAGGCAAGACATATGCAAGATAGAAAACGTCGCAAACCTTCCGAAACAAAACCCAACCAATGCAAGACGTATATCGTTCCCGCCTTTCTAGATCCTTATAAACGCATGAAAATCCATTCCCACCCAAAATTTGTAACCAGCCTGATAAAATCCCCAAAGAAAAGTGGCAAATATCGCTATGCGGATTTCGCAAAGCCGCCAAAGTACTCCAAGAAAAACAACTCCGTGCCCTCCCCTATGGCAAATATCGCCGCTTTCTATACACCATCGCGGCCTAAACCCCAGGGCCGATAATCGGTATTTTGGTTTCTCCCTAACCGAAAGTAGAAAAACAAGGTATCGCTGGAGAATGCAAGAATCGAATGTCGCAGGGCGCCGTCGCTCGCAGGTAGTCGAAGAAGCATCAATCTAGGAAATCGTGATCGGAGGGTGTATATACAAACAAAAACAATATATCCTTTTATGCTCCGCGAGTTCGTGAATCAAAAAAAGGTGAGTTTAGGTTGATCATAAGGGTTCGAGGTCGTGTCAAACGATTAGAGAAATAAACAAACAGGGAATATTATGACCCGCGGTTAGGGAGACCGACGATGCAGAAGCTGAGCGATATCGAAAATGGAAGAAGTCGTGGGCGGACAGTGGTGGCTCTTGCCAGCAAAATGGCGGCTTGGCAGGTCATGGCTTTCACCACCGACGCTGAGCGTTCTGCATCTGGCCTGGCGAGATGGAATTAGGCGGGCTGGTCAGGGTCATCCCAGTGTTGGGGTTGATGATAGGAATGACTTTTCGAGTGCGAGCAGCTGAAGGTTGCTGGAAACCCGCCTGATTATAATTACCGACCCCTGAGTGGAGGTACGTATTGGAAGAAGCGGGAGACAAGGAAATAGACGGTGTAACCTGCTGAACAGGCTGAATCTGATGCTGGAGAGGCGAGGTATCGGGCGAACCACTGGAGAGAGACGAACGATCCGAGGAAGCAGAGTGGATTGAGTGAAGCTGAAAAGGTTCCAAGTCAATAAAAGGTCCTCTGCAGCGACCGAGAGTCATGGGTCCCTTGGGGTAATAAGAGGGATTCAACCCCGGCGAAAACATACATCGTCCTCGGTCAGGAGACCTGGGCAGAACTCCAGGTCGTCGTCCAAGTCAAACGACCGTCCGGCCTCAAATCGAGCACGGAAAGCAGTCACAGAAGGGGCTTCAGCCAGCTCCCGCATGCTCTTCACACCACGGAACTGACGTTGCGCATTTTGAGCAGCCATCTTGGGGCCCCTTCGGGAACGGCCACCATGGTGGTTATTTGAGTGAAGATGGGCGGTGGCGCCATGGTGAGGGGCTTGGTGGTGGTGCTGTTGGTGCTGTCCGTAGAAGAAAGTCGACATATTGGCGATAACGTATTAGAAGTAACGAGCAAGGAAGAAGCACGTTTCGGTCGTTCAAGTGGTCAATGTACACGGAGTAGTAGCAGTGGATACAAGCAAGGACCAGAGTCGGGTGACGCTGAGCAGTGCAGGGCTTGAACGAAATGGAAGGAAATATAGCAAGGAGGTAGCTGGTATGCGGACGGGGAATATATTCTGTATAAGGAGAATACTAACGCAGGGGGGCGAAAGAAGGAAGAATAGTAATATATGAGGAAAGAAGAGAAGAGAGCGGTGGAAGGTTGGGTTGAATTTACGCAGTGTGGGATGGGGAACAGATGGAATCGAAGGCGGGACCAGAGGGAAGAAAAGAGGATTGAAGAGAGAACCGGAGGCAAGACAGCCAGACGCAGGAGAGGGGCTCCCCCGTTTGGCCATTCCAAGTCTTCAACGAGTTTCTGGGGCTGAGTTTGGAGCGGACTGGGTGGAGCCCATGTCGACCTCAAGGGCTGGGAGACTGTCACTTACCGTAACTTACGCCAACAGCTTTCCAGTCCCACCCATTAAGCCTGTAAGCTTGGTCACACAGCTGTTCCACAAGCTCCGCGCTAACCACAAGCCTTGAGGTCACGCACCAATTTTAGGGCAGGCTGGGTCCAACCAGATCCCCAGGAGCGGCAGCTCAGTGGCGACACCAGAATATTAAGCCAATAGATAAAACGTTGATTGAGACCAAGTGGAGTTTCTTACAATTTTTAACGAAAACCCGCCAATGAAATGCCGATTACTCGTACTGGGCGGCTACCAAGTGGAGATAAATGACGTTCAATATTGGGTCTAACCATCTTTGACTAAGCGCTTCCTGCCCTCGTCCAAAGTCGCTGGTGGTGGGCCGGGGGCTGCTGGAAACGATCAAGATTCATTCCGGTTTAGGCGCTTAAGGCTGCCAGCTGTCTGCCTATCATCGCCGCGTTGGGACCTTGAAGGTCGTCAAGGAAGGATGGTTAATCTCTGCTAGGCTGCGCCAGTGCGCATTAATGCAGGAGACCACGGTACAGCCTCGAAGTGAGCGACTGAGGGGGAGGTGGGTCACCTATGATTGGATGGGCAGACCCAGGGCAAACAAAGGGATATGGATGGGAACGCTCAAGGAGCTCGCTTCGGAAGCGCAGGTCTCACACTCTGTTCCGGGTGCTGCTCAAAGCACGGCAGGTATGCATTTGACTCGACGAGTCTTCTCCGTCTCATCGTTGAAAGTTGAAATGATTGGGGACCTGGCTGGGCGAGCTCTGAAACTGGAATCATGCGGCAGGCGTTTCCGAAGATAGGAACGGCATGCGTTGGCAAATTCTCGCTACGCTGAGAGCGGACAATGATTTGCAGCCAGATGATCTGTGCCCCGCCCACAACAAACAGATGTCATCGGTGATTTGCTCCCAACGCTTCCCCATCCCTTCCATGGAACCGTGCGACGATGTGACTCGGTGGCGCCGGGCAGACTCTTGATATGGCCCACGCTGTGTAGCACAGTCCCATACAGTCCATGCAACTCTGAAGAACGGGCACTAATTTGTGACTGAGCAGAATTCGACAAATATAGAGTTACTAATGTTTAACATCGATATTCGTAGACATCCTACTCGGCGTCGCCTTGGAGCTCGACCTCACCTCCTTCGCAGTTATTATAATCGACTATTCATATTAAAGCCTAATTTCTCACCGATAACAGGGGCCGGGGCAGGCGATTGGAAGATCTGAGGGAACAGTCAGGTCGGAACCTCCTCTTCCCGTCTTGAGCCGTTACAAGCCACAGACAACTGTGGCTTTGCTGTTTCATTGTCCATTGTCTGCGCCTCGCGATCCTCCGATTGAGTCATCGCTTGGAGTCTTCCCCAACAAGGAATATAGACGGGTTCGAACAGACGGCATGTCGAGGACCGGGGTTGGGGTTATTCTCGTCATTCTTTGGAGCCTTCTCCATTGGCTCCAACAAATACATGCTCCGGATGCCTTTCTTCATTCCCATTCCCGCTCCATAACTAGTTATCCAAAACAATTACATAATCTATGGGAAACATCGGAGTAACTACCCTTCGGATGTGAAGGAGAAATCGTGACTCGAATCTCAGTCTCACTCATCCATAGTATTAAGTTCTTTGTTCTTCAACTGAAGAAGTGTAAGCACTCAGTAGCACTCTGTTCAATAGCTGGGGGAGTCCTATGGTGCTTACTTGCGTATGCAACAAGGTACAGTGGGCTCCAGCCAGGTACCCAGCTCTTTACCCCAAACGGTGTTTGCTATTTGATCGATTAAATACGTAGTATTTAGGCCATTCTCCGGGGGGGGCATGGGGGCTGGCGAGGTAGCTAGGTATCACTTCATCGGCATCCCAAGTTTATCAGATGCGTTAACTGTAGTTATCCTACTGGGTTCAAATCCGGGGGGAAATCGATCCCCCTACAGAACAACATGCCTGGCTCCAAAGAAACGCATGCATCGGCCGATTCAGGATTATTTTGCTTGCAGGTGTTTCTCCCCCTTGCCTGCGTTGCTCTTCGAGTTTGTTTCACTGCCTAGATGCAGAAGTGATGTAAATCTTGCAGGACGCTCCAGATCGGAGATGCCAAGCAGCCCATCAGTCTATGGTCCCGTATTGTAGTGAGAATTAAGAATTGGGAATCGAAGCTGGAGGGGCCGGAATTCATTTCCAAGGCGAGGATGTATATATTGCTAGTCAGTTCTTCGGATACCCGGCTAGCTCACCCAAGGGATGAAAATGTAAGAACTTCTATCATTATGCATGTGGGCCATTCAATGTATGTATGCTAAACATCGCAAGGCAACTCAGTGCCAACCAAGCTTGCGAATTCATGCGATAACGCTGAAGTATGTATATAAACAGAGTCCCTGAAAGTTTCATTTGTCCAAACTTTTGGTCTTGACCATCCGCCCCAGGAGCTCTTTACAGTTCTTGTCATTGTATTGCTCCCAGGCTTCGTATAGTGATATTAAGTCTTGCGTACTTTCGATGACTGCCTTGATATCGATTTCGCTCTCGGCAAGCCATGAAACTAGTTTTTGGATCCGAGGAGGAGGACCAGCCCCTCCTCTGTCCCCAAGAGCGGCGAGAATATTCATGCTACCTTCTCGCATTGCCCCTGCGATTGGAGCCGCAGAACCATGGAAGGCTGTCTGGCTGCTCGGCTTAAAAACAACGGCAACGATGATTGCCATGACCGCAATGACGTGAGGCGGGTATAATAGCGGCAAGTCAGTGAGATAATGATCGTTGATTACTGACCATGCGAGCGCGACCTCATCTGACGTGAGGGATAGCTCAGACTGCAGGTCTGATAAAGTTCGGTACGGATGATGCACAATAAGCTGGGAGTGCATTTCGGAGATCAGAGAGAACTCGCACTCGCCTATTTTGGAGATATCAGGGGCGATGAATTCTGGAAGTGTATTAGTGATTCTGGGAGGAAAGTACGTTTGGGCGATTTTCTTACCTGGCCAGAGCCCTCGAGCCTCACCTACGACAAACCTGATATGTTGCGGGCATTCCTCCATCTTGCAGGCCAGATAGAAGGCTGTGGTAAGAACAAGATACGGGTTCGTTGTCCTTATTTCGTTTTTCGTGTAGTATCGCTTTATATAAACCTGGGCTGTTGCAAGTGCCTGCTGTCTTGTTGACATCCTCTTGCCAAGTTTATTGAGCTCTATGTAGTTTTAGCATGGTTTCTTTTAACTTGATAGTATAGTGTCTTACGTTGATTGAAATATATATTAAGCAACCTTTGGTCCGGCAGAGGGAACTGCGAGTGCGCGGTTTTATCCTTCTCCCTGAAGCTCTCTCGGATCTCCGCCAGACGTTCCCTGGAAAATAGCCAGTGTCGGCGCTGGGTCGACGCCCAGTAGTTCGCAGCCATTGTATATAGAACTCCGGGACTTGTTTAAGTTCAGGTCGATCGTGTCATCATGCCAAGTGGGAGTTGCTGAACGACGACGCCTGCCAGACCTGCAGGTTCCCAAAATTTTCAGAAAAAGTAAAATATAATATATTTAATGTTGACTGTAGTCCAACATAATTACTTCACCTCTGTAGCAATAGACAGTGCAGTTGAGATGGTCTGAGAACCAGGCCAAGTAGGTACTTCCCAGAATGGGAATATCCAGGACGATCAAAAATCCCGTGATCAATGGTCCCGTGAGCCCCGGAACTTATTTCTTCCGCCGCGATAATCCACGAAGCAAATCATGGTTCCGGGATTTCTCATGGCCATTATCGGGCTTGAACGCCAATCTATGATGCCTGTAGCTCCTCGGGTATATTTATAATTGCGGATTCGATGCTCCTGTTATTACTACGCCCATACTACCCTTCTGAGACAGGGATACACTTGCTTCGAGCTCTCTTGACCCCTCCTTGAAAATAATGACGGGTGGCCGATAACAACTTACTTCCAACCGAATATGGCCAACGGCGAGTCGAAAGATGAGTGTGACCAAAGGGTTACCAGACTTTGGAAACGCCTGGGTGCCGAAAAGAAGGATCACTTGGATTACAATGGGTTAAAGAAGGGCTTAAGGAAGATCGATCACCGTGAGCCTCTCCATGACCTCATCTCGTGCTTCTGATAGCACCTGACCGACAGAGGTGATGCTAACGGCTTTTTCTCTCGTTAGCACTAAAGAATGCTGATTCTATGTTGCGGAACATCTTTCGGTCCGTCGATGCCAACAGTGATGGGATCATAGAATACTCTGGTAAGATCACACGCTATCGGGTCGTGACGAGTTCTCGATACTCGAAACAGCTGGCACCAGCTGGTGATTTGATCAACCTAATCATTCCTAGAATTCCGAGCGTTTGTTGACCGTGCTGAGCTCGAGCTCTCGCAGCTTTTCGAGAGTATTGATCACAACCGCAACGGGGAAATCGACAAAGACGAGCTCAAAGCCGCTTTCGCAAAATCCGGCGTCACCGTTTCGAAGGCCAAGCTAGACAAGTTTTTTGCGGACGTGGATACGAATAAAGATGGAGTTATCTCATATCCAGAGTGGAGGTGAGTACCTCACGACATGTTGCTTCCCCGAGGAAGCCTCGCTAATTCGCCCCGTGTCATGCAGGGACTTCCTCCTCTTCCTGTCCGGTTATTCGGCTTACGACCTGCATGCCGTCCTGTCATACTACACTGCCACGGGAAATCTAAACCCGGAAGGAGATGTCCACATCAACGATCTGCAGGGTTTAGGTACAGACCACTCGTTTCTTACACGTTATATTTTGGCCATCAGAGCACTTTTGTACAATATCTTCCCAGCACACATTTTGACAACCCTCCTCCCGTCAGCCCACGCGGAAGCTCCGCAGTCTGCTTTTGCGAATGATTCCTCCGCCTGTGACGGTGAATTAGAATTGGAGTGGCTGCCCATACCCAGGACCGTCGCCATGTGGATGTCCTTCCGATATTATGAACAGAAGTTGACCGAGAATACCCCTCAACTAGGTTATTTCATTGCTGGTGGTATCGCAGGGGCCGTGTCCAGGACAGCCACTGCGCCATTGGACCGACTTAAAGTATATCTCATCGCGAAGACCGGATCAAAATCGCCCGCCGTCAGTGCCGCGAAAGATGGAGCTCCACTTAAGGCGGCTGGGAGAGCCTCCAAGTCCCTGGTTGATGCGGTGAAAGAGCTCTGGAGGGCGGGCGGTATCCGGAGTCTTTTTGCAGGTGCGTAAACAGAATATCCCTTATCATCGGACCATACTGACGGATAGAAGGCAACGGGTTGAACGTTGTCAAAGTCATGCCCGAATCAGCCATAAAATTTGGAGCCTACGAGGTTAGATTTCCCAAGCGAACGGTGCCAATGTGCTGATGTATACTAACATGCGGCAGTCTGCAAAACGTGCCTTCGCTCGTCTTGAGGGCCACAATGATCCAAAGCGCCTTAGACCCACCTCACAGTTTCTATCCGGAGGATGTGGTGGAATGGTTGCCCAGTATGTCGCTTGGATACAGTCTTTTAAAGGTCAATCATTAACAGTCATTCAGATGCTTTGTTTACCCCCTTGATACCCTGAAATTGTAAGTGATTAAGGCAATTTCCCGATATATTCATATTGCTAACTTAATATACTAGTCGGATGCAATGCGAAATCGTTGAAGGTGGTTTGAAGGGCAACCAACTAATCGCGGCTACAGCTCAGAAGGTGTGGAACAAAAATGGCATGTTCGGATTCTTCCGTGGTCTGCCGCTTGGTCTTATGGGGATGTTCCCCTACGCGGCCATTGATCTTTCAACATTTGAATACTTGAAGCGCACCTTACTTGCTCGAAAAGCACGTCTACATGGCTGCCATGAAGACGATATTCCTCTTAACAATTTCACAACAGGAGCTATTGGTGCCATTAGTGGAGGTGCTAGCGCCTCTGTTGTTTACCCTTTGAACGTCCTTCGAACTCGAATGCAGGCCCAGGGCACTATCCTCCATCCAACAACCTACAATGGTGTCATGGATGTCGCCCGCAAAACAATTCAGAGCGAAGGTTTGCGTGGATTCTATAAAGGACTCACTCCGAACCTTCTTAAGGTCGCGCCGGCTGTGTCTATCAGTTACATCGTCTACGAAAACTCGAAGCGAATGCTCGGTTTGAGGTAGAACTGTTGTGGTGACACTGAACAGGAACTTTGGTTCATTATAATATTTCTCTTCTGGAGAGCTTTATCACGCCTATCTAGGGCGGGGGCGCCTACAGCAAGTGGAAGGCCAAGGAGGCATTTGCCTACACCCTCAATTGTCAAGCCGCTACGCATCGTAGAGCTCTTTGGCGAAGCTCTCTTGACCCACCAACCTCGACACCGCACGATACTCCGATACCCTTGACTCGACCCCCCTAACTCACGCTTGTCTTAATCATACAACGCGATTTATTTTCTTGTTGGATCTTTGCAAGCGTTTACCAAGATACCCTTGAACCCGTCGCCTTCGGTAGGATGACGTGATTTTCCTACATAGAAATCCATCATCATTTTTGTTGCTTGCTGAGCAATATGCCAATGCACATACCATTCATCAGCAATTCTCAATATATTGCTCGCCGACGTCCAAAAACCTCTCAGCGCCCTAGTCAACTAATTTTCTTTTTGATTTCTCAACTCACCGGCTATTATTGCCGGTCAAACCATGACATCTCGTTTTGGCACGCACGGCTTTGCCCTTTTTTTTCGTTTTTTTTTCTACAGCAATTTAAACTCGCATGGAAAGGAGTCCTGCGATGAAGCATTCTATGGAGTTTTGACTTCCTTTTTTTTGTCTTGTCTTTCCCTCCACAACATCATATGTACAAAACGGAGACTTGGAATTATCGGTGGAAGGCTTGTTCCCTTTTTCCCACTTGTTTCTCATTTGTACCTAGTTTGGGAACTACCGGTGTGCTCCTGTCAGGATAGAATTATATAGTGTATAGAAGAAGGACGAACATGAGAATTATTTTGCAGGCCCAAATTTACTGGTAAAGGATAGATATAACATTTCGGAAGACCGGGTTTTTGCTTCCAAACCTCGCCGTTTCCACAACATTATACAGTAATTAGTTCTTGACACCCCCAACAGCCCTCACCTCCTCATCCTTGGGAAGAATATCCGGCGTCGGCCCAACAGGCGTAATACCGAACGGGTTAATCTGCGAATGGCTCTTTGTATAGTGCTTCTTGATGTGCTCAAACTGCGTAGTTTCCTGGAATGCAGGAACATCCCAATACAGCCTCCTCAGCCACGCATGGATAGCCGGATACCCAGATCGGATATCCCGTACATTACACTTGAAGTGCTGGACATAGACGGGGTCAAAGCGGACTATCGTAGTAAAGAGCCGAATATCCGTCTCGGTAATGTTGTCCCCAAAGTAGTAGGGTGATTTGGAACCCGCGAGATACGACTCGATCTTATCGAGGGAGGAGAAGAGCGTAGTGACGGCCTTCTCGTAAGCCTCCTGGGTAGTTGCGAATCCGGACTTGTAGACGCCGTTGTTGACATCGTTGTAGGTCCATTCGTTTGTGGCATCGATTTGGGAGCGGAGGGGCTCCGGAAAGAGGTCGACCTTCTTGTATTGGTCTGCGAGGAGGTCGTCGAATTCGTAGTAGAACATGCGGATGATTTCGGCGCTTTCGTTGCTGACGATACGGTTCGTCTTTTTGTCGTAGAGGACGGGGACTGTGAAGCGGCCTTCGTAGTTGGGTTCGTTGTCGAAGTAAATATTGCGCAGGTGTGTGAAGGAGCCGTGCAATGGGTCTGGGGTAGTGTTGGCTCCTGGGATATTTTCGTCCGCAGTTGCGAAGCGCCAGCCTGGTTGAAGATGTGGATTAGCATTCTATTATCTCAATTGGGTTTGAAGTTCGAGTTAAGTTTCTTACCTTGTGGGCCTAGATGCCAATGCACCGATGTATATGGGATGATATCCTCAAGGCCCTTCAGTTTGCGCGTAATCAGGGTTCGGTGCGCTGCGAATGTCAGTTCCCAATTCTTGTTAAGAGCAAAAAGTAGGAAACCAACCCCAAGGGCAGGCGTAGGAGACGTAGAGGTGGTATCGATCTTTCTCAGGTGGGAACTGAGCTCCAGGTTCCCTAGAGATCCAGTTTCGGAAGACCGATGCTTGACGTTTGAACTCCCCGGATTTATCGGTAGGGTTCACCCAATCAGTAATTTTTCCAGAGTTTCCTGTCTAAGGGATGTGTGAATTTCTGCCAGAAAACCATCAAAATGCGTAGTAGTAGCTTACAGCCATGTTTCGTGTGGCGGCGAATGGTGGTGCGGGGATGGGAAAGCTTCTGACGATGCTGGTGCTGAACGATCTTGCAACGGATTTGGAAGGTGATAAATGCTGTGCGAGCTGACTGACTCTACGCAGCACGGGGAACATAGAGAATTAAGGGAAGGACAGTACAAGGAAAATATATGCTTAAGCTGTAGGAGATGCGGGGAGCTTTAAGGAGGATGACGTTGATTACGGAGGGGTCACTAAGCCTGATTCAGCGCTGACAAAGTGGTTGCTCATCACCACATAAGACTGATTACACACGCAAAGAGTGAGTAACTTAGTTAATTCAGTAGCAATGAACAGCGGTTGGATTCGAGTATCTCTTAACAACGCAGTATGACCAATGTATATCTGTATAACTGATCAAGGGTTTATGTTTTTACGTATGATCTATTCAAACACGAGGTTTAGCCCCGCCTCACCATCACATACGGTATCTCGACATCCTCTTCGGTCTGATCTTCGGCGGTCACCTCAAAGATAATATTCCTCTGATGAGATGGGAGTGGCTTCTTGCTTATGTGCTCCACTAAATTGCTCATCCTGTTGCAAAAACGAACATTAGTAACGAGGTTTTGGATGTGGGGTATTCCGATAACTTACTTCATGGGAAGACGGTCCTTAACCTTCGCGGGACCGTAAAAGCTGGCATACAGAAGACTGACACCGGAGCTGACCATGCTAATATCGAGACCCAGGTCTGCGAAGTGCTTGATAAAATCCTGCAGGGGAATATCATCCACCTCAAAGCGGTCCCAGATTTGATCGATAGATACTTCACCCTGCTTGCCCTGGTACTTGCTCTTAGGGCTTGCGATAGGCTCACTGAAGCCGAAGAATGGAAGCGCTAGGTTGATGAACCCGTTCTTGTACTGTTCAATGTCATCCTTGCCATCAATGATCTTCACCAGTTCCAACGCCACTAAACCTGTGACAAGTGCGGTTGTTGTGGCGATGGCGGGAATGATCTTTCCGGCAATGAATTTAGTCTTGTGGCGGTCAGCTGGGGTAATCTCGTAGTTCTCCGCGCGGAGATTGCTGGCTGCGGTGATGAAGTCGATGTGATGGTTGGTATCATCGTCCTTCTCAAACTCAACCGGCTCCAGACGGAAGCCTGCAAGCGATTTTGGAGAGGGAAGAACGTCGACCAGACGCTGGACGTCGTCAGTGTCATCGAAAGAGGACCCAGAAGCTTGAGCATTTGGATCGGGATCATTCTCATCGGCCTGGATCTTTACGCCGGACTTGGGCGTGAACTCAGGGATGATCATGTTGTCGATAATCTTTCTGTAGTAGCCCTTGTCAGCGCCAGGGTCCTTGATCCCGTAGTTGAAGGCATGGAGGTTAGCTCCAGCGATAACGAATCCGAGATGTGTAGGGTTGGTGCTGTCGAACTTCAACGGCGAGGGAGCGCGCTTGGGTCCGGACCAGAAAGGTTGACCGGTGGAGGTGGTTGAGTCTTTGGGGAAGTTGTAGAGCAATTGTTGGATGGCGTTATTGTACTGAACCTCAAATTGGTTGCGAGCCCATACAATACAGTCGTCGAATGTCGAAGGCTTATCAGTTACCAAGAAGTCACGCAGGTGCTCCAAAGTCTGCTTCTCATTACCAGCCTGTTTGAGCGTTTGCTCGATATAGTTAGGCTGGGACAGGTACATGTTGACAGCCTCCGGAGGCCCAACGAAGAAGGTTTGGAAGAGATCCCGGGCCCAAGCGATTGTATGCTCAATCCGGTTGGGGAAACTCTTAAGCGTACACATCGGAAACGACTTCTCTGGAGGATCCTGAGAGCTGGAGTAGGACTCGGTGATACGTGGAAGGACAACCTGGGTATTGCCCTTAGTTCCAAGGGTTCCACTCTCCAACAAGGGCTTTCTGAAGAAAACGCAACGGCGATCGACATAGGTTCTTGCCTCAACATTGTCAAGGGCATTCGTGACACCGTCAAGACCGTCCCAGAAATCTTCGTTGAAAATGTGCTCGGTGTCTTGTCCGACGCGGTCTTTGAGGGTTACGATCTTGCCGTCCAGCTCGGGGTTCATCGCCACAACGGCGGCGGAAGCACATTCACTCTTGAGCTTGCCAACATCTTTGGTGCGGAAGAGGAATTGCCGGTTCAGGTTGCTCTTTTCAATCTGATCCATATCGGTGACAAAGATCTTGCCCTTTGGACCGGTTCCAAGACCCATCATGGCCCAGTTTTTGAGGGTCTCGCATCCAATAGCTCCTGCACCGACAAGGAACTGGGTGAGGTTGGCGATTTTATCTTGGAACTCTTTACCGAAAACAGCTATTTGGCCATCGTAGCGAGTTCCAAGAGGCTTACAAGCTTCCTCGGATCGAGTGACCGAAGTAGGTAACGACTCTAGCGAGTCGAAGTAGAGCCACTGCTGCACAGGGCCGAACTTGCCAGACACTGCCTTGAGTACTTCTTGTGCCACAATACCTCCGAAGAAAGCGGCCAGGGGGTTTAGGTCACCCTGAGCCTGGTAACTCAGCTCCTTGACGAGCTTCTCGTCCAACTCAACCTTGTCTTCTTGACTAGAGGCTAGGTCATTCGCTATTTTCAAGATCTCCTGGGCATCGCTCTCATGGTGCGGACGAGGGAAATGTCCCTTAGCCTCAGCAAACTTGTGTAGAGCTTGAACACCAATGTGGAGCTGCTGTGGACGGTCAAACTTGGCGAAATCTGACATCACAAGCTCTGGTTTCTTGATCTGCTCAGAGAGTGGCTGAAAATCAACGAATCTAGGCATTTTCACCTGTGTGAACAGACCGCCACCCTGGTACGTGCCGAGGTCGGACACGTCTCCGATAGTAAAGGAGTAAGGTCCCTTGACGG